CTCTGAGTTGGAGATGAACTATATCGAGCGAGGAGGTTCACGGCGAAACATATGTCTGGTATAGTGTGACTAGCCAGGTACATTAACGCTCCTACAGCACTGAGGTATGGCTTTTCAGGACCAAGGATTTCTTCATCATCCTTTTTGGGACCAAGAGGATCATCACTTAAGCTTCTAACTACCATTGGGCTGGTCAATGGGTGAGCTTGGTCCATATTAAATCGCTTGAGTACCTTTTCGATATAAGCCGATTGATGCACAAGGATTCCTCCTTTGATGTACTCAAGTTGTAATCCCAAACAGTACTTTGTTTTGCCTAGGTCTTTCATTTCGAATTCTGCTTTTAAGCAGTCGACTGTTTGGGAGATCTCACCAGATGTTCCGAGGATGTTTAGATCATCCACGTATACTGCTATGATTACAAATCCTTTGTTTGAGTACTTCTTGATGAAGATGCATGGACTTATGGGGTCATTTTTGTAGCCTTCTTTGATGAGGTAATCACTGAGGCGGTTGTACCACATACGCCCACTTTGTTTCAGTCCATACAAGGATTTGTTCAGCCTGATGCAGTATTGATCTCGAGATGCATTTTTGTCTTTTAGTTCAATGCCATCTGGGAGTCTCATATATATTTCGTTGTCCAGGGGCCCATAGAGATATGCGGTTACAACATCCATTAACCGCAGATCAAGATTTTCTCTTATGGCCAGACTTATGAGGAATCGGAATGTTATTGCATCCACCACTGGAGAATAAGTCTCCTCATAATCGATTCCGGGTCTCTGTGAGAATCCTTGTGCTACAAGCCGTGCTTTGTATCGAACGACTTCACCGAGTTCGTTCCTTTTGCACACAAAGACCCATTTGTGGCCCACTGGCTTGATGTGTGATGGGGTCCGGATGATCGGACCGAACACGTTTCTGAGTTTGAGACTCTTTAACTCCACGTTTATGGCTTCTTTCCATTTTAGCCAATTTGTTCGATGTGTACACTGTGTTATTGACGTGGGTTCTAGATCCTCTTGCGTGAGCGCAACATCAAGTGCTACTTTGTATGCAAAGAGTGCATTTAAGTCGACTTCTTTTCGATTCCATTGTATTCTGGACATATTGTAATTGATGGAGATCTCATTGTTATCTTCTGAACCTGGAGATTCGGCGTCCCGAACTTCCATTGAGGGTTCATTAGATTGAGTCTCAGCCGCGGCTATGTCTGATATTGCAGGAATCCCGGTTTCGGTTATTGCATCTTTCTTTGATTTCCGGGGATTCTTATCTTTGGAACCGAGAGGTCTGCCCCGTTTGAGACGTGGTGCAGACTCTGTAGCAACTTGGGTCTGTCCCGTTGGGACAGCTATTCGTACTGGTGCATTACAAGCTGGGATGTACGATTTGGTTACTTTGGTCGGATCAGCAAAGGAATCTGGCAATTGATTAGCTAGCTTTTGATAATGAATAATCTTTTGGATCTCTGAATCACATTCTAGAGTCCGAGGATCTTGCCAATTTAATGATGTTTGATTCCATGAAAGATCTTTGACCAGCTTGTTTGTCTCACCACCTAAAGAGGGATATACCGATTCATCGAATTGGCAATCCGCATATCTGGCCTTGAAGAGATCTCCAGTGGTTGGCTCGAGATATCTTATGATGGTGGGAGAGTCAAAACCAACATATATTCCCATCCTTCTTTGAGGTCCCATTTTGGTTCGATGTGGTGGAGCAATGGGTACATATACTGAACACCCAAATGTTTTGAGATGGGAGATGTCTGGCTCATGACCCGAGAGTAGTTGGGATGGGAATATTTGTGTTCACTAGATGGCCGGATGCGTATGAGTTCAGCAGCATGTAATACTGCATGTCCCCATGCTGAGGCCGGGAGCTTTGATCTCATGAGTAATGGTTGGGCTATCCATTGAATGCGTTTAACGAATGATTCAGCCAATCCATTTTGAGTATGGACATGTGCTACAGGATGTTCCACGGTTACCCCCATGGCTATACAGTAGTCATTAAACGCTTGTGAGGTAAATTCACCAGCATTGTCAAGGCGGATAGTCTTTAGTGGGAAGTCAGGGAAATGGGCCCGCAATTTTATGATTTGGGCCAAGAACCTAGCGGAGGCTTGGTTCCGAGAGGACAAGAGACGAACATATGACCAACGGATCGATGCGTCTATAAGGACCATGAAGTACCGGAATGGTCCGGAAGATGGATGTATAGGTCCACAGATATCGCCCTGGATTCTTTCTAGGAAATGAAGTGTTTGTTTAGAGATTTTAACTGGTGAAGGCCGAGTGATCAATTTGCCTTGAGAACAAGCTGTGCACATGAGGTGTTGAGGATAAGCTCGGTTTTCTTTGAGGGTATGCCCTTGAGAGTTTTGAATTAGTTTACGCATCATATTTGCACCGGGATGACCGAGCCGGTCGTGCCAAATAGTATAATCAGTAAACCGGGCTTTGAGAGTGGTATTAGCTTCAATCATACTGACTTTAGCATGGTAAAGTCCAGTAGAGAGCGCGGGTATGGTTTCGAGGATTTGTTTATGGCCGTCTACGGTTTTAGTGACTAGGAGGGATTCTTTGTTCCCTTGACCTTGGGTTTCTATGTGGAAACCATTCTGTCTTATATCCTTGAAGCTCAGAAGATTTCTCTTCGAACTAGGAGAATATAGAGCATCTGGTATTTCAAGTTGTGTGCCATTTGATAGCAACACATAGGCATGGCCATATCCTTCGATAAGGTTTGAGGGACCCGCGATGGTGCTAATATTTGCGGTTTGATAGGTTAGGTTTATGAAGTAACTTTTGTTTCTTAAGATAGTGTGGCTGGATCCACTATCTACGACTATGGTTTCCATTTGCTTTTCCACCTTTGGATTTCTGACAGGCTAATGAAACTGGGAGCTAATAGACCTCAGTTAGTCGCTACAAATTCCAAGGATTGATCACCAAAACTGGAGAAACTGCTGGTTGAAGAAGGAAAAACTCGGATCTGGTTTTTTTTTTTTTTCGGTTGATCGTCGTGTACTGTAAGTGTGCGTGAGGGCGCGTCCGACGTTGGATCGACAAACGGTTTTCACCAGTAGATTCGTCTCGTCGAGGGCTTCGATTTGATATGTAGATCGTCTTCTGGTTCCTCACGGTTTGGAAGATATGCGTCTTTTAAGTTTCGACTTGCTTTTAGGGTTTTGGTGGTGGCCGGATTTATTAGGGTTTTTCGCTCAGAGAGTCTTATCGTGCTGATAACGTGTTGTGAAAACTTAGAAACTTTATTAATCACTGGAATGTATATATAGAGTACATAGGGAATCTAGGTTAAATACAATGCCCTGATGAGCCTAATGGGCCGGTATAAGAGTCCATATATGATATGTGTTATAACAAAGAACACTTTATATGGTAATAATTTTTTATAATAGTTAAATTTAACCAAAAATTAAATTTTGATAAAGAAATGATATAAAAATAACGATTATGATAATAATGACGGGTACAATGTTATGATATGTGTCTAATCGTGATTATGCGACTGCGGCACCCAAGTCAGGATTATATGACTTTTTTTAAAAAGCTAATCGTGAAATGTGTATATATTTTATAGACTTTATTAAGTCTTGAAGTTTTGGAGTGAGTCTAATTATTATTACTTTTTTCCTTTGTTACTTTTTTCCTTTGTTTCATCTTGTTAGAAGTCTGGAACGCACGAAAACAAAAGGATTTATTATATGTGAGGTGTGGTGAATAATTTTGTATGTGTGCGATAAAATGGATATAGAAACACAATTGCATTCGACCAAAAACAGAAACACAATTGCATTCGACCAAAAACAGAAACACAATTGCTAGGCTATTAATTTCACTGCCGAGATGTTACAGAATAATCAAGGGTACATTCTTTGAGTGAATTTTTATATGTTTACTTTGATTTATGAAAAATACCATAGGTTTCATTATGCATGCGTGACTACGTGTGTAGGTGGGGATTTGAGAACATTGTTTGAGTGTGTGCGAGATATGAGTCATTACATAGATAAGACTGAAGTGAAAACTTGTCTCGGTGTTGAAGATTGTGTCAGTTTGTGTTAGAAATAGAAAGGTGGAAACGTTTTAGATCTTCTTCCCCGTGTGAAATTTCTCTAAGTGTTTGTTTTGTCTTCATATCTGATCTGAAAGTGTTTTTTTTTTTTTTTTAAAAAAAGAGGACTATCGATTTTTAATCAAAAAAGGTTTTTAAAAGCATTAGTATCGATTTTTCCGTGGACCAAAGAGGAGATGGTTTGACTTAGTTTCAACCTAGGAGATGGGGAAGAAGATCTTGGTAATTTTACCCTTCTTCTATGTTCCAACATATTCAGACTTAACTGTTATGTTAACAAATCTGGTTCAATTGGTATGTTATACACAATGATCTCTTTTCATATTTTTTCCATGTAACGTTTACTTTTGAACCTTACTACCTTAGCTATGACCAAAAAAAAAATTTAAATGTATTTAAAACTATAATTTAGTGATACTTTTAATTATTAAAATTTGATCTAACTTTTCATGTAGTGAATGATAGCTCGTGGAAAATCAAGCCATTGATTAAAGGTTTACATATGGTCTTTTATGTTTGCTGGTAGTCACGTTCATACGAATATGTGAATACCAACATCACGCCAACTAAATTTTGGGTTTTTGCTGCACATTATTATTATACACAACTTGCCATTGACCGTTCTTCACATCAACGGTCAACTATTTTAAAAGAAAAAAACAACATTTCCACTATTCTTAATCTCGTCTGAAACTTAATTAGTTAGCAAATCAATTCTCGTTAGCCCCCTTATATGTTGAAAATGACATTACAAATCTTAAATTTAAACTCTTCTTCGCGTTAAAAATTCTTAAATGCGACTCTATATATTTGCTTTTTCAGTATTGTTCTTAAAAACAGCCACAAAATAAATAAATAAAATAATATGAAATATAACGTCCGAGTGTCGTCAAATTGAGACCAGCTCAAAAGACACGGCTTCCTTTGCGTTACACTAATATTCTCCTCCTTTGTCTCTGCAATCATTCTTCTTCTCTGAGCTGTAACACAAGAACAAAAAAACAAAGAAAGACTCTCTCCAAGTCTCGCCGGCTTCCATGGAAGATTACGGCCGTCAACGACCGTACGGAGACGGAGGGATGCAGATCCAGCCTTACCACGGTGCTCCGGGAGCCGGCGATTTCAGGAGTTACAGCGCTTCGTACGCGACGGCGACGGAGAACAATATATACGATCTGAAAAAGGGGAAATCGATAGCGAGATCGAAATCGTGGGGAATAACGGACCCGGAGCTCCAGAGGAAGAAACGGGTCGCGAGTTACAAGATGTATAGTGTTGAAGGCAAAGTCAAAGGCTCTTTTAGAAAAAGCTTCAGATGGCTTAAGCAGAGGTACACGCAGGTCGTCTATGGTTGGTGGTGAAAGTTTTCTCCTTTTTTTTTGTCTCTTCTTGAGCTTTGGATCTTCTTCTATTTTTGATTTCCTCAAGTAATTATGATCTGTATTGTCTCTCTTTCTCTTATATATCTCTGTGTGTTGTAATCTTGAATGTAACTGTGCTGGCTGCATTTCCACAAATCATATATGATCATTTAGTTTCGCAAAGTAAAAAACCTTTGGATAGATATCTTCTTGTGGAAATTTTATGCCCTTGACTAAGATTATTTAGTTTACCAAAATATTGTTCAGAGTAGATTGTGAAAGGTTCAATGGTTTTACCAAGTGAATGAGATATGATCAATATACATCTATAGTCTTATTTACCATTAGATTTTGATATGGTTAAGGGGTTTTTTTTTTGTGTGTTTACTGATTACATCTGGTGAGGAATCAATCTCGCACTAGCTGGTTTTAATTTTTGTATTCATCCCATTTGCATAACTCTTCATCAAAAAGCTCTGCCTTTATTCAGCAATAGAAAACAATTTTGCGGGTTAGAATGATCCTTGGTAAAAATTCCTTTAAATCTTGAGGGTTTCCTTTCTGAGTAGAGTTTTTTTAGGGGGACCGTTTCTCAATTAACTTACTTTGTCGGCTTTGATCTGAGCCTGCACTTGCAAGACTCGATATGTTAATCTGTCATGGAGATTATCCACTTTGTGATCAGGTCAATGTTTTCCACTGATAAGTTCTTTGAACATAATAATAAACCTGTGGCAGACTCATACTATTCTAACATATCACAACATAATTTCGAATATCGTTACTCTGTTTCAAGTCTTCTACAGCATAAAGGGAGTTTTGTGCCGATAATATAAAAGACCTCTTCTCGTTGACCCAAAAAAAAAAAGACCTCTTCTCTTCCACTATCCAGTTTCGGTTTATTTTACAAGGCGTTGGCAGACAAGATTAGCTCAGCTAAACAATGTTTTGATGCTTGAACTTTGTTTTGGGTTATTGACTATTTAAATACCTCAGCTTCGTCAACGTATACTCGAGTCATATTTAAAGGTAACGCTATATATGCACTTGACATATGTATGCAATGAAATTGACAAAGTTTTGATTATAAAAACATGAAAAAGATAATTTGGACATGAAAACGCCAATGAGCTTTTGGAACAATGGAGGTTAAGCAGTCTTTGCAACAAAAAAAAAAAAGAAGTTAATTATTCATCGAAAAAGGTCAAAAAAATTCGATCACATAAGCTTAATTTTGTTGCCATACACACTGATATGTTTGAATAAACAATTGCTGCTATAAACAGAAAAATTAATATTTCCACGGCCTTTCAACAACTATAACGTAAGACATCGGCAAAAATCATTCCGTCGATAAATTTCGGAGCCCAACTTTTTCGGTTTTTCGTCGGCGTTTGGGAGAATCATGTGGGAGTCGATTTGCCTGACGCTTCTGGCCACCGCCGGTAACAATATCGGCAAGGTCCTGCAGAAGAAGGGCACTATTATCCTCCCCCCTCTCTCCCTCAAGCTTAAGGTCTCTCTCTCTCCCCCTCTGATGTTTTCGATTTCGATTGCATGATATTCCCCAAGTCTCAGTTTTCGTTTGAATTGGTCGGATCTCTGACGTTCAAAGATTAACCCAACTTTCTGGGAATTGTGGATGGAAATTCGATTTCGTGTTGGAAATACAGCTAATCCGATGATTCATTGCGGTATTCGAGTATTCAGGAATTGGATCCGTGTTATGGAAAGCTCACGTTTTGATCACAATTTCCGAATTTCAGGTGATAAGGGCGTATGCTGAAAATAAACCTTGGGCGTTAGGTTTTCTTATGGACATTTTTGGGGCTTTGTTGATGCTTAGAGCACTATCGCTTGCGCCTGTAAGTGAACTTCTCTATTCGGATGCAAGAGATAGTTTTGCCTTTCGAGATGTCTAAGGTTGATGATAAATGGCTGATTTGTGTATATTTTTTTGGAAACCTGCTTTCAGGTCTCTGTTGTTCAACCAGTCTCAGGATGTGGACTTGCCATTCTTTCCGTCTTTTCACATTTTTATTTGAAGGAAGTCATGAATGTTTTTGACTGGATCGGGATTACCGTCGCCGGTATTGGCACCATAGGTAATATCTTGTGCTTACTGTTAGCTGTTTAAGATATGATGATACCAGAGAAAATCACATGTTAGATTTTGAGGATTTATCTATTTGCTCTAGGAGTCGGTGCTGGTGGTGAGGAGCAAGAAGCATCATTGATATCTGTCTTCCAGTTGCTGTGGCTAGCATTTGTTGTTGCCATCTTGTTTGTAGGTACCTTTCATCCGTGGTATTTCATAAGAAAGTCTTCCTCTTTTGAGATCATCTTCTTCTATATTATGTTGACTGATGGCTTTCCCTTTACCCGTATTTATCCTTTCCAAGTCTGACGAATCAAACAATTGGGTTTCTATTTTCTTTTTCATCTTTTTTTATCAGACAATATCACTTTTTTGGTGTGGTAATTGGCAACGTTTCTGATAACTCTTGTTTTGAAAATTTGGGATATAGGTACTACTAAATGCGTGGCTTCATATCTTCAAACGCCAGCGCAGGGAGCAGGAGCTGGTATATTATCCTCTTAACTCTCTGATTGTTTAGTTTTGTGAGCTATAAGACCTAGTATCACCGCTAATGTTATTGTTGTCTTTTTTTATCCTACCAAACCCACTTAGCCTCGTTTTGGTTTGCAGGTAGAATATGAAGTGGTGGAAGAAATTATATATGGATTGGAATCTGGAATTTTATTCGGGTATCTTTCGCTACCCATGAACATCAAAGAGCATATCTTTTTGGTCTTACATTCCTAGCCTCTGATATTTACCTCTCATCATCTCCTATATATCCATCAACGTGTGCTGTTGATTTTCGAAACATATAAGGACCAATGTGCTGGTGTATCTGCAGAAACATTTCCAAAGAGACTTAAAACTATATTTGAACTGTATTATAGTTTGGTATATAGCTGACAACAGTTTATAATTCGTTTGATCACAGGATGGCATCTGTAGTATCAAAGATGGGTTTTGTATTCGTGGAGCAGGGATTTTCTGCTATGTTCATTCCCATGTGCATTTCTATTAGTATATGCTGTAGTGGGACAGGGTTTTTCTACCAGGTAATTTCTCCTTGCAAGGCTTTTTTACGTCCTCATAGTCTGATCTGCATATGAGTATGGAATATACAGTTAGTTATAACATAAAAGGATTCTCAACCTGTGGTTTATATACAGGTTATTTAAGTCATGACGATACCATGTCTTTTTTTTTTCCTTACTTTACCAGACTCGGGGACTAAAACATGGGAGAGCAATTGTAGTATCCACTTGCGCTGCTGTGGCATCAATTGTAACAGGTGTGGTTGCAGGAATGTTTGCTCTTGGTGAGAAATTGCCAACTTCACAATCTGGACGGCTTTTACTTCTCCTAGGATGGTAAAGTTCTACTCACTATCTTACTGTATTGTCAGTATGTTAGTTGAAAGAAATTCAGATTTCTATCAGAGCCATTAGAGATGAAACATCATATTGATCTTGCCTTACATATCGTTGTGTGCATGAACGCAGAACCGATTGTAGAAGTATAGTGTTTAGATGATTAAAGACTCTTGAAACGTTTTTTGCAGGTTATTTATCATGCTAGGTGTTGTATTACTTGTGACTTCATCACGGCTTATCCGACATCTTCCACGGTCATTCCGGCGTTCCAGACAGAGCAGTGTAGAGAGAGGTTTCAGCATAAGGCGGACAGCTTCTCACGTAGCAAAGGATACAAACCCGAGTGCTGTTATCCAAGCAGCGACATTGCACCATCTCTTATCAACCCCATCAAAAGAGAAAGACTAAGGCTTTAACAAATTTCGATTCGGTTTATGTTTGAGAGATTTGATTTGTTAACTGCCTGAATGAGTAAAGTAAAACCAAATCGGCCGCTGTTAAATATTTTGGCTAAAGCTTTATAATGTCTTTGTTTTCCATGGTCTTCTTTTCTTTGGTACAATACATTAAATTAATTATATTGAGAAAATTATAAACTCAAAAATATTGATGTGCAAGTAGGTTGTTGGTACTGAAAGTGAAAAAGACCGGTTAACCAATTTTAAGTTGGGGGAAGAGATGGAAGAAAGTGAGATATGCATAATGCAAGAGAGAAACCCGAACATCAAATTAGGTTGGTGCTTAACCTATATTGGTACCAAATCAGGACATACATCAAAAACTGAGGGAGACAAATATGTTTGACAATGAAGTGACACACTTCACATTTTAACTATTTTAGTATTTTACCATCTCCTACTTTTTCATCCTTTATTTTACGTGGGTCCCATTCCCACACCCCGGTTCAGCTTTTATCTTTTGGTCCCGTTTACAGAAAACTAAGTGTCACTTGTATAAAAATGATGATAATTTTAAGATTATTATTTCAGACCATCTCCAATCCTACTCCAAATTTCATTGCAAAATAGAGTTTGTAGCATGATTATCTTCAACCCTACTCCAATTCTCACTCCAAAATGGAATCAAAAATGAAGTTACTCCAAATATATAGAAAAAAAGTTAGAGTTTCTCCATTTTTTGGTCATAACTTCATTTTGGAGGAAAAAATAGAGTTTACATTAGAGTAAGACCCAACTCCATTTTAAAATTACTCCAAAATAGAGAAAAATATAAAATCATACATTTGAGATGCTCTTAGGAATCGCTATTAATAGTTTGTATTTGGACTAACTGAGGTTTAACTACACATAATTATCATTATGCGAAGACAACAACAACAATTGAGAATTTATTTGAACCTAAATATTAGGTGTTAATCTCGAAGGGGATGCAAAGTTACAAAAAAAACAGAGTTTTTGAGCGCTTTTGACCCACTGTCTTACAAAATACTCGATATCATGGGTTTAAACTAGTTGGCTGGTATCGGAATTTAACGAAATCCAAATTCCTAATTTTAGCTAGTTTTGTTTCTATTTTTGTTAATGTCTTCAGAAAGTTTTCTTGGTGGTGTAAACAGAGACTCTAGTGAATTGGTATGAGAAGTATCTATTCTAGTGGATTTCGTTGTGCTCATTACTTTAAAAAAAAAAAAGTGGAAAAGAATACACCAAACTTTGACCCAATTTATTGTAAAAACTCTTTATTGCTATCTAAAAACACGTTCTATGATAATCATTCATTACCATGAAGGTCGTCATCATCACCTTTAAAACTAGTCAATGACTTAATCAAAATGATCTAACGTAAAAAAGGGAAATAGAGAGAAATTGACACACACAAACTCAAGAAAAAAAGAAAGAAAGAAAGAGAGAACATATCAAATCCAATCATTCCCCACCACAAAAGGCACTTAGCAGAAAGAAGAAACCCATCAATGTCCAACTTGGTCACACATCATCATTCACATTTTTGTGCTTTTCTATTGAAGCCATCGAATGAAACAAACAAGGGACCACACTTCTATTCTAATGGACATTCACTATGATACGACACTTGAGGGACTTTTCTGCATCACCCACAATCAAAAAAGATTCCTCTTTTCTTTCTTTGGGGGATTTCAACATTAACAAAACAAAAGCTTCAGACTTTTTTTCTTGGTTCTTTATAGAGAACACCCCCCCCCAAAAAAACGAACAAACTTAACGACATCATCAAGCAACACTTTCAAATTGGGGACCCAATGTGCTGTTTCAAATTGCAACAAGATTTGAGTTTTCTTATACACATTGTGGATCCCTTCAAATAAATCAGACTAAACTTGAAATGGAAGTAGCATATGCTAACAATAATGTTCTTTCTTATTGCGGCTTGCTTTGTTGTCCCGGGTAAGCTCCGAGTTCAGCTTTCCAGCTTTCGTGCGATGCAACATGCTTATGTGAAGGAGTATATTCCTGCCAATAATATGAAAAAAAAAAGTTTGAGAAACAAAACTGTTGGAATCTGCGATTACAACAGAACTCTACACAAGTTCCACACAAATCTACCAAACACGTCTCTTGTCTTTTCAAAGATAAAATTCTGCATTGATTTCAAGGATATTGTGTTCACTATGTAACTAATAACCATTGATTTCTTCTGTACAAGATACAAGTGAATACATAATCACAGAACAAGAAAAGGCGAAGTCTATGTACCTCCATCTTCTCCATAAGCTCTTTGGCTGTTGGGGCAGAAACCACAATATTACGTGCGCCTGGTTTGATAAAACCTTCTTCGACGCCCGTATCAAATAAAGCAAGCAAATTGTTATAGTATCCATCAACATTCAATAGACCAACCTGCAGAAACAATCACAAACGAATCAACATAAGGATTAGTAGCCTCTACTTCTTCTCGACCGAGCAAATGAAATGTGAGAATACCGTCTTCTTATGGATACCAAGTTGTGACCATGTTATCATCTCCAGCAGCTCCTCCATTGTTCCATAACCTCCTGAAACAAAAAAAACAGTGGGTTTCGATAGTAAAAACCAAAACTTTCACCTATACAAAGTTTTCTAGATTCGGTTATTAACAAAAACATTTCTCACCAGGGAGCGCGATGAAGGCCTCAGCTTCTTGCGCCATTGCAGCTTTTCGTTCGTGCATATCTGCAACAACTCTTACTTCTCCAACAGTCTCACCTGATATCTGATGAAACTCAAGTCATAAGATTGGGGTAAAGGTAAACTATACAATCCCCAAATCATAAGAACGCACACAAGAACCAAGCGGTAGTAAAAAGAAATGAATAACATTGAAACACAATCATCATAAGATAAAATTCAAAACACAGGCCATGTTTGCTACTTCCTGGAAAAACATGAGCTTTTAAGAGAAGAGACATACTTCAATTGGCATCAAAGCTTTGGGAATGATCCTGCAATTACAGAGAATCCAATCAGAAACCCTTAGAAAAGTTTGGAAATGAAAGTAGATTGTAAGAGTCATAAGCTGTTTAGAGACTAACCCGAGAACATGGAAACCACCTTCATAGACTCTCCTGGATATAAGACCCATCAACCCAACGCTTCCTCCTCCATAAACCAAGTCAATCTTCCTCTTCACCTACAATTTCCAAAAATTCCAAAATCCAATCACAAAAAACGAAGATACATTCAGAAAACAGAGGAAGACTCATTAGTGATACTTCAAAATCTTGATGAAATTTCACAGTTTTTGCAGATGACAACAAATATCTCTGGGTTTAAATAGTCAACAAACGTCGAAAAATGGTATTTATCACCAAGAGCTTACAATATCTGTATAAAAATTTCTAATAGACACAGCAATCACAAACCCATTGTGTGAAAGTCATATAAACGATGAACAAATCACCTTAAATGTTCGTATTAGGTGTTAAGAAACCGAGAAAAAAAACACTGATTCTTCAGTTCTATTCGGAAAAGTTGATTTTTGTCAGTGATGTTTTGAAAAGTTGATGTTTTTATCACAAAAACCAAACGAAAAGCAATCATAAGAAGAAGAGAAGAGACGAGACGAGGGAGAGAGAGAGAGAGAGAGAGAGAGCAAACGAGTTCATTGCCGAGTTCGATGGCGGCGTCACTGAAAACTTCTCTGTTACCAGAGTGGCTTCCGCAAAAAACACAAATTTTTCTGAATCTGCTTCGCTGGTTGTCTTCCATTAATGGATAGAATCTACAAAAATCAAGGTATTTCCTCAAGTCGCTAAAATCCCAGGGAAAATAAAAATAAAACAACGCTGAAGCGAAATAAAGTGACAAGACGAAACCTTTGTGTGATGATATTATATACGGATGCAAACAAATCTCTAGTCCGGATTGGAAGAATCGGCAGAGAGCCTGTATTTAAAATGTTTTTTTTTTATTAATAGAAATGGGTTATATAGGGCTTTAAATGGTATTTAAAAAATGTGGTGGCTGTGGTGAATTACTGAATTGGTATTGGAGGGAAAAAAAATGATTTTGGTGAAATTTGGAGGATAATCTATCTTTGCCTTTAAGGAATTATAAAAAGGATCAAGAGGTAAGATAACTTTAAAATTATTTGGCGAAAACAATTACGGTTTTACTAGACGAAATAGGTAAAGTTTATCTACCAGACTAATTAATTTAGCAAAATATTTTTGAAAAACTTATGAAAAAATAAATCTTGAAACAGTAACTTTATTGAATATAATTAGTTGTATGTGTTTTTATTTTTCACCTCGAAAACTTTTTTCAAACATATTTATATGTTGAATTATGGGTTTAAGATTTGAAACTATTTGATTTTTCTAAAAATGTTTGTAGTTGTATCCATTGTTTATCCTATAAAAAACAAACTTAACTTTAATTGATTATGTTCTCTAACAACTATAAATCATACTTTTCTGTTGTGTTTAATCTTTTAACTTAAAATCGTCTCTTTTCAAAATGTATATGTATTTGTGTATATACATATGTATGTATTGACACATAATTCTTTATTATTATTATTTTAAAAAAGAAAATATATATAGATATATATGAAAATGATTTTTTTTTTGTTGGATCTGACATGAAATTACTTATGCGTGCGTAGATATGGCGAACAGAAGAGAGGAAGCCCACATGAGCCTCCACAGCTGCTTCCCTCGTCTAACGCCAATCTGTCGTCATTTGTTTTATATAGTAAAACTATTCCAATTCATTAATTAACGTGTTTTATTATTTGTTTTCAAATCAAAAGAGGCTATTTAATAGTTTTCTTTTACCAAAGTCTTGTAGATTTATCATTCTTAAAACAAAATAATATGTGTATTTGTTCACATTGACCGATCGAGGCAATTTTGTAGTAGTATACTATAATACACTGCAAACAGGCAAATGCACGCACTTAGAATAATGCTATATCGTTATTTTATTTTTATTTCCTTTCTTCGTACATGGCCGTATCTTTGCTCACGATATAAAAAATTCGATTGAAATAGTATTGAAATTAAAGTAACATGAATGTATCATTTCTATTGCAATTATTACATTATTGCATTCAGAACAATATAACATATTTGGATGATGATGTTACATAGAAAGACACATTACTTTTTATATTTGAGTTAATTTTCTGAAACATTTGAAAAGTGACGTTCCCAACATGGCTTGCTGTACTCGATCTCCGTATGTTTTTATAAACCAACAAAAGCAGCATCTATCATATGTTCGGTTCTTTTTCTTCCTCCGAGAAAAATTAGGTTTAATTAATACATGCATGAAAAACATTAGTTCATTTCTCACCGTCAAATGAGTCAATAATTGTTCGGACCAGTGCATTTATCTTTTCTTTCAATTTTGACACCCGACCAATTTTGATTGCTAATCACTGCAACTACTCACTGTGTTTAATAATCAAATATCCAATAACATTGAAACAAACATCATATGCTCACAGTTAACCATTTGCCAAACGAACATAAGCTAATTGGAAGGTACTACTTTATTAACTAAAGAATTACTACTAATACGTTTTGTTTAAAGTATGTATAAATTAGATGATGAATCAATTTGTAATTTCAAAAAATGAGGATTATATATGCAAAATTTGAGCATTATAAAAACATATATTTTTTGTTTATATTTCACATATATGTTTGGTTTATTGTTGTCAATTTGTTTTCTTTCTTTTTATAATATCTTATAATAGAGATTCCATACGACTCAGTTTATAAACTAATCGTATAGGTCTTTTTTTTTATGTCAAAATCTAGATCACACCCAACATAATTTCACTTCTTTATTTTCAGCAACGGTATTTAACTTGAATAAGCATTGCAACCGGAAGTTGATAGGAGCAAGTTACTACATGGAGACCCTCTTCCATAAGAACAAAACGAAATAATTTACTGATCGTAAATTGTGGCTTTTTCTTTTACAGAAAATAAATACTCAAATCTTATGGTGGGTTTCAAGTGTTTCAAGTGTTTTTGTCAACATGAACTTCATTGTGGGCGGAGGAGCTTACGAAGATGAAACTAAGGTACATATCAGTTTTGCTATTTTTCGTAGTTTTGCAATAAAGTAAATATAAAATCGATTTGGGCGAAGACAAAGAGATGACTAATATGCATTACATATACATGTATAGGTCCATACCGTGTACATGGGAGATAGAAAGCATAATGATCCGGAGCTCGTTACAGCCTCACATCTCGACATGTTAGAATCCCTACTTGCAAGGTACCAACAAACCCAAATACTTAGACATGTGAAAGAAAATGTTGTTGGAAATAAAAATAAATACCATCGGTTCACGGGCTTTGTGGAAATATCGTTTCAGCATGGTTTCTCCGGTTTTGCGGCCCATCTATACGGATTTTCAAGCTAAAAATTTCTTTGGTGCGTGCATATAAAAATGTATATTATATAAATATACAAAACAATATATGAAATAAGGTTAAATTGATGAATTCGAATCCTCATAACTTTGAATAGAGCATCCGGATGTCGTTTCTGTGACACCCAATGGTTACTACGAGCCGCAAATAACAAGAATATTTGATTACTTGGGGCTTTCTCAAAGCACACCAAAAGGACTTCTCCATGATGCCAAGATGGGTGAGGATGTAAATCCCATGCATCTTCCACCTTACCAGCCTTAAATATGAAAGGCTAGTAAAATATTTATCAAAAAAAAAAAAAGATGGGTGAGGATGTTATCATCGGTGTCTTCGACTCAGGTACGTTTGATGGATATAAAGCTTTCATAGAGATATACTATTATGTTTTTATCAACTCACAAAGCCAATTCCATTTACTACTTTGGATGATTGACCTGGACTGATGGCTCTCACAGCGTCACTATCCCTTTATCGATTAGGACAGAGATTCTTAAGAATTTCAACTTTTGAGTTTGTATTGGTTCCAATATTATCATATCTGTCTTCTAAACTCAAAACGATCTACTATTATTGTGTCTTATGATGAATATGTAACGTTTATAATTAATTGAGGCCTCAATTGCACCACTCAAATCTTCATATAACATGAATATGAAATATGATAATTTTTTCGTATAACAAAATCAAAATCAAATAAAAATCTATGTATATTATGTTATATAGGATGATAAAAACAATAAGAATTAATTATAAACGTTACATTTTCATCTTAAGACACAATAATTTCAGTTTTTATATAGACTAATATTTTCAGTTTTGATATTACATTTCATACTTTTCACAATGTACACTATATTTTTTTTCCTAAGTACAAACAAATTATACATGTCTTATCTAAGTTAGACATATTTTGAAAATTTTGAGTAAACAAATTATACATGTCTAATCTAATTTAGACATATTTTGAAAATTTTGAGCAAAATTTAGTGAATAAATTCTTTTCCATCAAAATTGGTTACTATTTATAATAATAACTCTTTAATTAATACTTTCACTTTAAATTTTTAATTAATAAGGTATAGTTTGATAACTTCCATTGAATAAGAAAAACGTTGATGAGAACACTTAACTCTTTTGTAACTTAAATATGAAGCATATATATATGATATTATCTACTGTTAATGACTTTCACAGTGAATACTCAAAACAATTAATAAAAGACACATATTGAAAAGTATTGACTTTTTTTTTTTAGAGAAAAAGGAAATGAAGACCGCTTTGTTTTTCATTTTGCTCATACTTGTTTCATCATGTAAGTTTATTCTAGGTTACTTAGGGTAAATATGTATAATATTTTGTATTCTAAAATAATATACTTATTGGATTATCTAAAATAATATACTTATTGGATTATTCTGATTTTTATTTTGATAGGTGCATCAAAAGAGAAGTCACTTTCTTCCAATTTGGCAAAGAGTCCTCAAATTGACTTTCAGAGAGAAGATCTAAGTTTACATGACGAAGGAGATTACTTCCATGAAACAAATGAAATTCAGTTTTGTCAAGAATGTGCTAGGCATTGTTCAAAACGGAACACACGTATGGAATCTTGTCGTGAGTCAACTTGCCTTTGTTCATCCAATTTGGCGAACAGTCCGCAAACTGACTTTCCGAGAAAAGATCAAAGTTCAGATGACGGAGGAGATTATAACTTCAATGAAAGAAATGAAATTCAGTTTTGTCAAGAATGTGCTAGGCATTGTTCTAAACGGAACACACGTATAGAATCTTGTCGTGAGTCAACTTGCCTTTGTTCATCCAATTTGGCGAACAGTCCGCAAACTGACTTTCCGAGAAAAGATCAAAGTTCAGATGACGAAGGAGATTATAATAATACCATCCCTGAAAAGCCAACTCCTATGCAGTTTTGTCAAGACTGTGCTAGGCATTGACTGAACAAATTTATGCAATCTTGTAGAAATAATACTTGCCTTTGTTCATCCCGGAATGTTAACTAAGCCTATGATTCTTGTTTTGATTAACGATTTATGAAACACCTTATATTATAAAATTAAATTGGTGTTCTTGTCTTTATATGATACTATTGAATCTCAGTCCCAGTATCATTGGAATATAACGAGTGCCGGCTGCCGACAATGAACACGAACAAACTTGCCATTTTCAATCATAAGCTGGTCCATGATCACATTTATGGGACAAAAGTTAGCAAGTGGCTCTCATATAACTAGCACAGAATTAAAACAGAGTGACGGGAACAATTTGTCAATCTCCTATAGGTTATCATCCGAAAAATCACAAACCTATCCAAAAAAAAAGAAAAAAGATCATGCTCTTCCTATCAGTCTCAAATAGATACAAGATCATGCAAAATCAGCAGTTGACATTCATATAGGCCGAGACATTTAGGAAATTGATAGTAAGACTTAGATCCCAGCTAGACATAACGCAAGATTCAGATTTCTAGTTCCATCATGTCCTCGTCATTAACCTCCTGCAAACAAAAAAAACAAAAAAACAAAGACAAATGAAACAAAAAGAAATAAGTTGAACTTGGGACACAACTTCTTTGCTTCTTACTTTGTCCTCGAGTGTCACACTTTTATTATAAAAAAAAAATATGAGAAATTGGCTTGTGTTTTTGCTCTCCGAGTGGCATAATCTCATCGTACCCGAGTTTTTACTCGGACTCTCTTTTCTCTAGACCCGACGACCGCTTTTACCGATAATCATTTATCTAAAAAATACATCTATCTTTAAAACAATGACAGAATCAGTAAATTCACGCTTTATTTTTCCAATTTGGCAAATTTGGGGATTGAAGACCAAAATTCCCGTTTTTCGTTTATGGGGTTATGTACCTCTTTTAGAAAAAACACAAGAAAATAAGTAGTATATGTTTTTTATGTACCAGAGAATTGTGTTGTTATATATATGCTTTTTACGCAAAAGTAGTATATATTTTACACAACGTTTTGAGTTTAGAAGACAGATATGATAATATTGGAAGCAATACAAACTCAAAAGTTGAAATTCTTCAGAATCTCTGTCCTGATCGATAATGGGATAGTGACGTTGTGAGAGCCATCAGTCCAAGTCAATCTACCAAAGTAGTAAATGGAATTGGCTTTGTGAGTTGTGGAGACGGTGACCTTGTAGCTGAGTTTCTTCACACTGGAGTTGAATTGCAATGTGTTGGGTGTGACGGAGATTTTGATACCCAAAGGAGGCTCAACGACGAGTTTGTAGAGGGAGTCGACAGGTCCAACGTTGGTGACGGTTCTTGTGAGAGTCACGTCTTCCTTGAGGAATGGAATGGTGATGGAAGGCAAGTTGAGTTCGAATACAGAGGGCTTTGTAGTCGGACATTTATACGTTGTCTGAGATAGTTTTGCGATTATTCCCTCGTTGTAATCAGAAGCACACAGGAAACGCCTGTAGTCTTCTGCGTCTGCATCGTAGACAAGACCAGGGTCTGCTGCTTTGTTCGGGCTCACCAATCCACCCCCGTAATCAAAAGGGTTAGCCTGTCTCTGTGATAATCCGTCCGCGAAGATAGGTTCTCCATAGGGATCCGTTGTGGAAGCTTTAACCAATATAACAAAGAGTCATTTCGTTAATTATACATATATCACTGTACATTTTAACTCAAATATTTATTTTGATATGCATGATGCATAAGAATAGAATTCTATCAAACTGGCTAAGATATGTAATCTAATGAGCCTCGTTATACAAACACATATATATACAGTGCATGTTAATTATTATTTAAAAAAAAAAGTTGACATAAGTAACTATATATATATACCTGTAGTGATGAGAGCAGATCTAATGGCGGCAGGAGACCAGTCAGGATGCACAGCTTTGAGTAGCGCAACCACCCCGGCTACGGCAGGTGTTGCCATTGAAGTTCCCGTCTCAGTAAAGTATCCGTCCTCGTGGCCCATTATATTTGGGTTAGAAGCTGCTAGTATGGCAACACCTGGCGCTACCACATCGGGCTGCAGATATATATATATAATGTTGGTGTTGGATGAAAAACAAGTTAAAAAATAGAATTTAGAATATATTGGTGTAGGTATATAGAAAGAACAAACCAAGTTGTTACCTTGAGAACGGACGGAGATACGGAATTGGGTCCTCTGCCTGAGAACTCAGCAACCTTAGTAGCTATAACTGGTCCAGTGACTCTGACTGAACGGCCTACTTTTATGGTCGGCGAACTGCAAATTAATTGGGTCTTTTAAACTACTAAACAAAAACAGCAAGTGTGTAATTTCTCTTTTCTTTTCTTTTGATCAAAAACAAATTGCAAATAATAATGATAATTAATAATAAAGAGGAATCACATTAAAACAATGGTATAAAACTAATACCTGGTGGACTGTATGTACTTCAACATTGTAGTCCCCTGTTCATAGTCTATTTCGAGTATTATCAGAGCTTCCGAAAATGTGATAACATCATTTCTTCTGGAGGCAAAGATTACACCCCGCGCTTGAGCGTGAGTAGCACTGGTCAAATAATCATTTTTCGCATCTCCATTTTTAACTATAAAAGCTAGTACCACTTTTCCCATTGCTGATTCTTTCGTTATATCTCGTGCAAACATTGCGTACATGAGACCTGCTTGAACCTCCTTATCCCTAGATGGGATTCGTCCCTACATAGTAATATAGATTAGGATGTCACATGCATGCCTATATCGATATTAACTATATATATACGTATACAGTACTAGTTATGTTTACTTGTTTCGTCTTACCATTAAGGTCTCATTGTTGCCAAGTGTCAAAGGTGTGGGATACCAACGGTCAATAGTGGTGGCACCAACTGTTATGATCCATGGAGCTATGTTCAAGACCGAGTAACCCTCAGGCCCGGTGTTTCCTGCGCAAGCGACCACTGTAATGCCCTTTGAGATGGCGTGGAACGCTCCATACCCTATGATGTTACCTTCGTCGACTTCATTAAATACAGGGATCGGTCTTCCTATTGAGAGCGTCATCACGTCCACCCCGTCCGCTATGGCATCGTCCATGGCCTTTAGTATGTCCGTGAAAGCGCATGACCCATCCTCTTTTATCCAACACACTTTGTAGATCGCGAGACGTGCCTTAGGTGCCGCACCTCTCACCGTGCCCACTCCGAACCCGCTGTCACTCACATTAGGGACGAAATTGCCCACCGCTATGGAGGCCACGTGGATCCCGTGACCGTCCTTACTCCTCGGAGACATGTACTCGCTGTCCGATATTTTGACTTGCGGTTTGTAAGTCCTTGCTCCTATGAGCTTCTTGTTGCAATGCTTCTTTGCTTCGAATTCCTGACCATCCTCACAGTGCCCTTTCCACCGACTCGGGATCGGCCCTAAACCTTTGTCACTAAACATCGGCGACTCTGGCCACACGCCTGTCAGACACATAATTAAGTCGTGTTAAACTATCTTGCTATATATATATTGGAGCGACATATATCTCTATGAAAGCTTTATATTCATCAAACGTACCTGAGTCGAAGACACCGATGATGACATCCTCACCCATCTTGGCATCATGGAAAAGTCCTTTTGGTATGCTTTGAGAAAGCCCCAAGTAATCAAACATTCTTGTTGTTTGCGGCTCGTAGTGACCATTGGGTGTCACAGAAACGACATCCGGATGCTCTATTCAAAGTTTTGAGGATTCCAATTCATCAGTTTATAACCCTATTTCATAAATTTTTTGTATATTTATAATATGCGTCTTTTATATGTACGCACCAGAGATTTTTTTAACTTGAGAATCCGTAAGATGGGCCGCAAAACCGGAGAAACCATGCCGATAAGTGTGAGTCATGGCCTCACTCGCAGCTTTTTTGCTGAAACCATATTTCCACAAAGCCTCGTTAGCTGATGGTATTTATTTTTATTTTCCAACAACATTTTCTCTCACATGTCTTAAGTATTTGGGTTTGTTGGTACCTTCCAAGTAGGGATTCCAACATGTCGAGATGTGAGGCTGTTACCAGCTCCGGATCATCATGCTTTCTTTCTCCCATGTACACAATATAGACCTATATATATTCATGTAATGCACATTAATCATTCCTTTACCCCGATTGAATTTTCTGTTTCTATTATATATTACGTAATTAATAATAACAAAATTGTGACAGAACTACCTTAGTCTCTTCATTGGTTCCTCCTTCTACAATGCTTAACTCCACGTTGAGAAACAACACAAGACTTATCACCGAAAAAATCCACCATGAGACTTGAGAGCCCATTTTTTCCTTTTGGAGAAGGAAAAAACACACAAGAGACCAGTCAATGTCTCACGGCTTTTCGTTTTGGTGAATATGCTTTACAAAATGAACGTTCTTGTATTTATAACAATGTTCCGTCTAAAAAAAACCAACAATGTTCTGAAACGACTTATTTAGCATCAACTTCTGATATTATTAGGTTGTAAAACTCAACTACTCTCTCGGTATTTTCTAATTTAAAACATTTCTCTAGTTTTCTCGATCCCATAGTTACTGTAGCTAATAATATCGACTTATTTAGTTTCTGGTGACATTATAACGTTGTAAAACTCAACCAATATTCTGGTATTTGCTTAATTCTAAACTATAGTTTCTATTTTTCTCTATTTCGTCGTTATTGTAGCTAATAATAGGGGTTTAAGAGTTTGTGGTGTCGTTTTAAGCTTTAACCCAATCTTGATTAAAAAAATGCCTTCTTTAATTGTCAAATTGCCTAAATTTACTGTTTTAATTGTCAGATTGTTGGTCTGTTAAATAACGTTACATACTTACATTAATCGATCAAAAGTTCTTAGCATGGGGTTTCAACAAAAAAGTTCTCAACAGGGTTAGAATAAATTAGATTCTGAAAACTCTGGTCTTGAAGCAGTAAACTACTAAACAGTTAAAGGTATGCTTTTATTTACTTTTCTCAGGGTCCAACTCCTAGATGACTCCAAACCCCCATGTTAACTGGCACTACAGTATTTATATGTATTGGAATGGAAAAAAAATATTGAAACCCTGGTCGGTATTTTAATAAGAAACATGATTAGTGCTTTGGACATAATAATTCAGCTATGGCACCAACGTGACGCAGACGTTAAAGAAAAAAGAAAGACACCATAGTGACGCAATCAGAAGTTGACAGTTTTTTTCTCGTTGAAAAAGAAAAAATTTACGGAGACAAACGGCTCATGATGTCATGATCTGAATTTGCCCACCCATTAATTAATGCTTCTTATGAATTTTTCATAAAGTGAATAAAAATCCCAGAAGATCAATATTTGTGGAACAAAATAAAACTAAAAAAATCAATTTTTTAAGAACATAGGGAATACTATTATGAATTAAATGCATGCCATACATAGAGGTAAACATAATTAGTAAATTCTTATGTTGTGAAAGTGTTGTACATGCAGTATAATGGTCGACAACTCTACATCTAAGTAAGTATAAAATATAGAAAAATATTTTAAATTATTTTATTGTTACTTTTTAAGACTATTAATAAAGACCATTCGAATCCCTGCGAGTTTTTAACGATTTCGACCGCCAGTACAACTAGTGACATCAATTGTACATAGAGTATTTCAAACTCGTGACAAATTCGACGAGCTCGATATATAATTTGCTTCTGTGAGCAATGAAAACATGCTACTAGTCCTAGAGTATTTCGAAGAATTTTCTCCCCTAATTAATGAGCCACATTTTGCCACATATCACACTCAGAATCACATTATATATATCTTCTCCAATTATTTTTATACTTTCATATAAATGATAATTTGACCCATGCCTTTCCAGCCTTGTTACAAACATTCTTCTTTCCTATGCATATATTATTCATACGTACTGATCGTTAGTGTTACGAACGATGGAAGATAAATGAATTTTACCTTGAGTTACAAGTCTGATTCTGAATGGTAAACATGTTAATTAATGGCATGTACAAACAATTTTTTCTTAAAAAAAAACTCGTACCCCTTCAATCAGGTTAAATACAATATATTTTAATATAAAAATACATAGATTCTCATTAGATGGTCGGAACTTGGGATATTATTCGGTTGGAGTGAACCAGCCTTCTGCGTCTTTTCAAATATGTACCGGGTGCAATATGTTAGCTGCGCACATAACATATTTACCAAAACAAAATAATTATAATATTCGTAAATCATATCTCACCAGACAATAACCGTTATAAATCAGTCGGTAAAATAAATAAAAATCATTAGTAAATAACGTTTAGGTTGTCGGTAATGCGAAAGATATGTGTGTAATTATTTCATCACTAATGATTTTTTCCGAAGTTCTTCACCAGTATTTATGATACGTAACATAATTGAATCTTTCCTTCAAAATGTTATATATATATTGGTAAGATACCGTTGTCGACGTTAGCAGAGACATGGTCTGCTGATCTGATACTGATGACGTCAAGTGGCTCCAGTTTACACAGAGTGAAAATAAATAAAAGACGTCAGCATCATTTATTTATCATATATGTCCATGTGACCACTTCCTATCTCCTCTACTTCTTCCACTCTCTCAATTGTACTCTTCCTCCTCTACGTGTGTTTCACGCTCCATTTATGTTCCCATTCAACGTGCGATTTTCACACTTACAATACCATTTTCCTTTAAATTATTATCAACTACAAAATTAACTACCCAAATCTGTACATTATTTTTATGATTGGAACAAAAAATATCTACTAGTATTGAGTGTGTGATAACATAGTTTTAACAACATTCAAGAATTTACATAACTTTTTTTTGTCTAGGTATTTTATTTATCCCTATTGAATACGTACTTCATGTAAGGTAGACGACAGTGACATCTAATGAATTTTCTCATTGCATGTTATCTTCTTATGTAAACGTGTAATTCATTACAAAAACTTTTAATTTACTAGATATATAACTCTCTAATTTAACGTACATGTGTATGTCTGATTCATTACAAATACAGGTAATTCATTAAATACTATTTTGTTATGTATCTCTAATGTATCACATTAATTCAAATAATGTATCACATAACACAAACTCCAAACATCGATTTCTTTTTTTTTGACAAAAAACTCCAAATATCGATTTCATAAATTGAAATGCATATAAAAAATATTGCTGGGATAAAAATCACATGTCACGATAACAATGATCGTAAATCGTCAAATCATCGTTGGTTTCCTAAATACATTATTTATATCATTGCCATCTACCCAAATTACTCTTGATATTATTCCCATCAATTAATGAAATCATAAGTGGTAGCCGGGTAAATTTGTGTGTGTATGTGTTCAAACAATTATTCAAGGTGATGTTATTAAACAATTAGCACGGAGATGGTCATATAAACTTGTTCGCACATGTGCCAACCAAATTTTGAATAAGAAAAAAAATACAATAACCACTTTTTGATGCAGCAGAGAATCATATTCAATTTCTGTGTTTTGGCCTTATTAGCACTGATTAAAAATAACAATTCTTTTTACGTCATGGGATTCAAACAATAAACAGCAAGAAGACGTAAGACTGACGATGATGCTGCCGTATAGCGTATATATCAAGCTATATATATATATATACAAAAATACATTTCGAATATCTCGTCCACCACGTATGCCAGATATCATGGAAACTCAAAATAAAACGTTTTCCTTTTTTTTGCTCCTTTAAATATCAGTTAATAAACAATAATACATAGCTGTACTTTTTTTTTGTTGATGCAGTTTACTATTATTGTACACTCATTTACATATGTTTTCGTAATCATATTAATATATATGTGACTATGTATATAAATATTGCTTTGTCCGAATTTATTTTAGAAAGCTTGCAGTTGCAGTATTTAGTATTTACTGAAAACCATTAAACCATTAAATATAGTCTTCTAACAACATAGTATTTACCGAAAGCCATTAGTTTTGGAATGTTTTTAATTATTTCGAACATCTAAAAAAAAATTGTCCACTCTTAGAAGAAAGAAAGAAAAAAAAGTGACAAAACAATTAATAGAAAACAAAATTAAAAAAAAAAATTGCCTAATGGTTACGTCATTATAGTGACACCCAAACTCTCCATTTATGGTCCTTCTCATTTCGCGTTGACATCAACAAATCTCACACTCCCTCTCTCTCTCTCTCTCTCTTTCTCTCTCTCTCTTTCTAATGAAGACGATGCGAGGTTTAGGGAACTGTTCGAACGACGCCGTTTCACTAGACCTGACGGTTCCTCCTCCAGGAGCACCATCTCCGGTCTCCTCCGGCGCAGCCTCGACGAGCCTATCGTTCGATGAAGAGGAGACTTCAGAGTCGAAGATCGGACGGCTGATATCGGAGCATCCGGTCATCATATTCACTCGATCATCCTCGTGCTGCATGTGCCACGTCATGAAAAAGCTTCTATCGACGGTAGGAGTGCACCCAACAGTGATAGAGATCAACGACGGAGAAATCGCTTGCCTCGCCGTTCAAACCGCTCCTGTGCTCTTCATAGGTGGAGCTTGTATCGGTGGCTTCGAGTCTCTTGTCGCACTTCACCTTACTGGTCATCTTATTCCTAGACTCGTTGAAGTTGGTGCCTTATGGGCATAATTGTAATCTTCTCTTTTCTCAGTCTAGCCTTTAAAAAAAAAATTATAACTATTTTAAGAAAAATCTTGTAATAAAAATCCATTGTAAATTTCCTGATCTACGCTTTCTGTTTTTGAAACACAAAAATGTTTTCTTCTTTAAATTCCTTGTGTACTTTATCTTTCACCAGTTTGGCTACTCTTGTTTAGACTTTAGATTATCACGTGCGAGATTTCATTCCATCATAAATTACAAATTTTGTGTATATTTCCTACTATAATTTCCGTATCAAACTGTCATCTTGATTAAATTTTTTTATAAACAAAATTTGTAATGTTGATTATGTTAGACAAATTCCAAAGGATTACTGATTTGAAGATGATATAAAGTACTGATTTGGCCATTTTCTTGGTTAATATGGGGAAACAAACTGAAAAGGAGTCATTAGTACATTGGGTCTTTTAGTAAATAACGACCTCGAAGTTATGAAAATCTATATGGTCTTATAATTATTCTTATATGTATATAGATTCCGTTGATTACCACGGAATCTGACTACTATCTTTTCCTTGGACAATTTAGGATATGGATTTCTTTATTTTCCTTTTTTTTTTTGAAACGTAAGAGATTTTTCCACAAGAATCTTTAGACTCTAAAAGTAGGTGTCAAGAGCAATTATTGCACAATCACTGCCGTCGGATTCGTCAATACGTGAGACTACCTGTACACTATTATTTTATCATTTTTATTGATGGATTTACGGCTTACACGTTTTTATTGGTAAACTCATTCACTACTAGTTAACTTTGAATTGAAAAAAAAAAACATGAAACTTAACAGTTCTCTCTCTCAAGTCTCAACTAGCATACTTCATTGAGAAGTCAATTCGAGTCGAATTGTGTCTTGTGATTTTGTCCCGTAACACGATTCACCCAAACTAGATGATTTTTACGAAGGTGGTTATTTACTAGTATGTATGTATATTTTATCTTGGCATTTAATTTTCTCTAATAACGTGACCTTTCTTAAATTTTAGTGATATTTCATATTTACGAATAACATTAATTATGTTATGTTGAGCATAAGATTTCACATTTTCAACCCCAGAAAAAAAAATCTACCCTTAGATTTGTACCTACCCTACAGGCACATAAATTATATAGTCACACAGTTTGGGAGCTCCTCAGTGGTGGGGCTTGGTTAACCTTTAGGAAAAACACGTCATTCTTCTTTGAAACAACGACCATATTTTGGGTTTATTATTATTTATTCTCTTTTTTTTTTTTTAACCTAAGCATATATAGTAAATAGTTGTATAAACTGGAAATAATTATGCAGTTGTGTTATGTATTTTCGAAATGCAGTCGTTGCAGTTGTGTTGCTCAATCGGCAGCAACGGCATATCACCATCTTCAAAGTAAGTAGGAAGAACAATAAAATAAAGGGATCATCAACTTGAACAACCCATGATTTAGTTTGATTTTGTTTAATTATTGAAAAAGCAGAGCAGCAATAACCAATGAGAGTTGAATGATATAAGGGTTGCACAAACATTATATATAATGCCTTTTGACAATAACAAAAAAACATTAGATATAACGACAATATTGAAAAGTGAGATACCGAAAGAAAAGAAATGATTAAAGGTACATAAGCGAAGGTAGTAACAATGGCCACAGTTTAAAGGATACAGAAAAAGACAAATGTATTATTAATGTGAGCAATTTATTTTTTGAACCAATTTTTGAGACATCTCCACCACAATTCTACGAAGGGACACTGATTAAAATTAAAATTAACAAAAATATATAATAATCCGAAGTCCATTTTGACAACAACATTTAATTAAGATAAACATTAGTGATTTCATGATTTGGTTTATTAAACAGCCCTAAAGGGAGACTGTCTTACGGTCACGAGTTCGAATTCCAAATGTGGAAATTCTGATTTTTATTTAACATGATTTGATTTCTGTACCGAAGAAATCATAGGTTAAAGGTCCAAATTTTTTTTTATAATAAAGAGTTTGTTAAATTTTGAGCCCAAATCTGTATTATGAAATATGAAGCGTGGCTGTGAATTTGGCAGTTAGATTCACTAAACTGTTTTACTACATAGTGTGATACGTGGCATAGTCCTATTGCATACAAAAAATGATTGGTAGAAAGCGAAATCTGCTATGGTAAGCCTGATTTTTAAATACAGTAAATATAAAGCTCGAAAAATAAAATCCGTGCAAATTCATTAGAGGAATATCACTCTGAAAACATGACAAGACTGCAATAATTAATACAGGGAAATGAATAACCACACAATAACTTGAATACAAAAGACGCATAATAATTCTTAAATTAGTCCATGACCAAAAGACGGAAACATCTTCAGGCCAGTCCAAACCCGGATGATAATTATTATCATCGTTATTAAATGATTAATTAAATTGCGTTGGAATTGACTTCAGCATTTCTCATGCTCCAAGCTTCCAGAGACGACATGGTCACACTCCTTGTTCCATCATTGAACATATAAAGCTTAGCTGCTTCACCAATTGCCAAATTGGGATAAACCCTAGAGGTTATCACATTTCTTCCTCCTGCTCCATAGCTCTCTATAATCGAGTGATCGATCTATGAAACAAAAGTAAACGTGTTATTCAAGGGCTAAATTGTTTGAAGACAAAACAAAAAAGCCAAAAATAAAAGAAGTGACGTTGCAAAAAAGGCTGAATCCAACTCACCAAACATCTTAATGATATCTTCTCATGTCTTGGATCAATGTCTAAGACTGTTCCATGAGTAGATTTCTTTATGTTGTCTCTCAACGAAGACCTACATTTCCGTTTGTTAAAAATGAAACATCAGATTTACATAAGAGAAAGAAACAACATTTGGTTTCTTTGTTTTAGATTATAGTCGAGATCTTACTTCTTCTCATCGCTGCCCATGATAACTGAATATCCATTTCCGCAACGAATAATTTTGAAGAAGATTGCGGTTTGTTCCGATAAATCACTACTAGCCAAAGCTAGCAACCCAAAAGGCCCATAAACGCAGCTAACCAAGCTATCACGGTCGAACAAAACCGCATCATCAACTTGGTCAGAGTCCAGTATTTGGGAATTTTCTTCCAGAACAGGCAGATCAAAAGTCACTTCTACGTCGGCCTTTAACAATAACAAGAGAAACATAAGTAGTTGTTGTTAAACCAAAAGAAACTACTAGCCGATTGTTTCTAGAGACAACATCGATTGTTTGTTTGTTTATTTTTAACTGATTTGAAAACTCAATAAAAATCCTGTGTTATTGGAACGTTGATTCTAAATCTTTGTCAATTTTTTTCTATCTAATGGTTTCTAACAACTCCATCATTTCCGTAACATAAACATATGCGTAAACTTACTTGCGAAGCAGTGATGCCTGAGATTTCAAGAATCGAGCTGCCTTTGAGTTCCTTGTTATCCAAGGTAACTTGTCTAGTCCGGAGATTGTTAATTTCTTCAATTGGCCATTGTATCAGCCTCTTTCCACTTGTGTCCAGCCATATTTCTCTGGGAAGAGACTAACGCCAAAAACATAAAAATTTATCAAACTAATATTGTTTTGACAATTAATCTCTATAAGTACTTTCACATTCATAAACAATATATTAATATTTACCAAGAGGCCAGACCATCCTTTCTGAAAATCATCTTCTTTGCTATCAGTCTCTATAACCCATCCCCAGTTGATCCTTCGATTCTTAACGCTATCGAAGAAGGCCTTCGATGCGTAAAACGTTCCATGATCATATCTCAAATCCGCACTTGTGTTAGTGAACTCAGAATCCGCAGCAAATTCTTCAGTCTCGGAAGAGTATGTACCGATAACATAGCAATCATGGCCTCCAAAACTCGATTTCAAGACATGCTTCACACTAGCATTGTTCACCGAAGTATCTGCACCTTCTTTACCCGTTATGGAAACCGGGAAAAAATCAGGGCACTCCCACATTCCAGTGTCTTGTGACGCAAGTAAAGGAACCGGATGCCTTGTCCATTGGACAAAATCATCACTGTGGTATAAAATCGCCATTCCTCTTTCAGTATCTATCTGCCTAGCTCCTACGAGAACTCTCCATTTCCCATCTTGGCCTTGCCATGCGGTCGTAGGGTCACGGAAACCATCAAAAGGGATGTCATCTGGAGGAAGCATCACAGGATTGTATTTTGGCTTTACCCACTCTCGAAGCAAAGGGTCGGAAACATCCTTAGGTTCGGCAATCACTGTAACCTGCTGTCTGTTAGGCTCGTGGAGTCCGGTGTACATAATTACAGGTTTGCCATCGGGGAGGATCGTTGCGGATCCTGACCAGCAGCTGTTTCTGTCAAAGGGCTCAGTAGGAAATAGGGCTGGTTCGAGTTGGATCCAATTGACCATATCTTGTGAAACAGAGTGCCCCCATATGATTATGTCATTGAATTCAGGAGCCAAAGGATTGTGCTGGTAGAACATGTGGTAGAATCCTTTGTAATACATTGGCGCTGAAACAACATTAATTTATAGCATAAATATTTCATCATCTACAAACTTTTGAGGGTTCCTTATATCACAAGTAAGGACTTCGTAGAGTTCTTATTTACCGTTTGGATCTTCAGAGATTCCAAGATGCATCCCAGTACCAGAAGAAGTGACGTAACAAAAAGACGTCGGTTAATTATTGATGATAATACTGAAACTGTGAAATTGCTTAACGAGTATGCGAACTCGTCAAAGAATCTACTAGTTATGTTAGAAATTCAAAATTTCAAGCTTCACATTCCCAAAAAAAAAACAAAATTATATTAGTAATAAATTTTCAAATGAAGAACCTTAATAAAATTATTCTAATAGGCTGTTTTATCAAACCAATAAAATGTAGACCTTTATCTAGCTACAGTAATTTTTGTTTCATAGAAAATTAACGTTCCGAAAGATTACCTCTATAATGTTACTTCACAAATAGCTATCAAAACCAATAGGTTCCCATATGAACGTAATTCACATTGTATTGTAAGAAATATATAACCCTATTCAGTAATTAAATTTTAAAGTAGAAAATAGCCATGAATTGGTTTATGAACTAACAGTATAAATGATCTTTGCCAATTTATATGATAGATGAATATAAGCAAGAGCAAAAATAAAGAAATATAACCGTTAATCCAATTCCTATGAGGTTGGAAATGGAAGGAAGTCCGGTTTAAAGGAAGATTCTGGAGGTTTCCATGTTCAGCCATTGATAATCTTCAGGGAATTGATCCTCGGTGGTTATGAAATTAATGTCTTATGTATATGTGTATGGCTATTTATAAGTAATCTTGAGATCTTGCGAGGAATGGCGTCGTCATAAAACTTCATTCTACTTATAATGCCATTAGCGTTGACATTGACAACTTCTTCTCATTTTGCCTTAAGCTCGAAGTATCGTGGAAGAAACTCTCAAGATAGTTGTTAATTATGTATGTAATTATTAATATTATCAGGCTTTTTAGTAATTGGTCTTTATTAATAAATTCTTTAATTAACAACATAAGGTCTTTGGGTTGATTAGTCATTAATCATTAATTTAAAGTAGGGATTTTTTTATTATTTGAGGAAACTTCAGCAGGCGGGGTTAGTACTTTTAATCAACTTGGTCGATGGTCTTTATTTATGTATTAAAAGAAGTATCATTTGCAATGATAGAATTAGAAGCATTTGAAATTTTTATAGATAGAAGGAGACGGGACGGCGTCAATTTTAGTATACTATAACTTAATCCTTAAAGTTAATGAAAACATTAAACACAGCAAGTAATCGCACCAATGACAGTGTGGTTGTGAATGGAGATTTTCCATAATCTGATAATTTTATAGATTTTTTAGATTCTGATTGTTAAAAAGCTTATTGTACTAACCAATAAAAATCTTGCTGTAAAAATTCTAGATAATTTTAAATTCTCTACGGTGTTTAAAATCAAACGACCAATTAACTAACCCTTACTTAACGGGTTTGATTATGATCAAAATTTTAGTAGGGATTTGTATTCGTTTCCTGGCACTGGCGACAACAATGAAAAACCCGCTTTTTTTTTTTATTGTTATTGGTTATTGGTTCTGCGAAAAAACATAGGGATAATTTGAGCATTAGATATAACGATTATAGATTTTTACATGAACCGATATTGATATATTGATATTTTAAACTCTGATATTTTATAATATAAATTGAACCGATACTGGAAATGCAAGGAAGTCCGGTTAATTAAGCATGTCGTTTTGAAGAAGATTCTCGACGTTTCCATGTTCAGCCATTGATGATCTTACTCCGTAACGGGATTAATTGATCCGAAAATGATGTGTCTTATGTATATTTATAAGTATTCTTGGGATCTTGCCAAGAAGATGATTATAGAGTCGTCACAAAACTTCATCGTACTTATGATGCCATTAGCGTTGACATTGGCAGTAAGTTCTTATTTTACTTGAGCTTGAAGTATCGTGGAAGAAACTCTCAGGATAGCTGTCAATTATGAGATTTAAATTATTGTGATTATTATATGCTTTTTGGGTCCTAGGTTTTTGTTAATAATATCATTGACAATGCAAGGTAAGGTCTTTGGAGTAATCATTAATAGTAATTTCTATGATTGAGGAAATTTCAGCAGGCAGGGTTAATATAATATTTTTAAAATCAACTTAGTCGATGGTCTTTGTTTATGTATTAGAAGAATTCTCCTTTCAATAATCAATCATTTTTTTTACAGCAATATTCAATCGTTAAATTTTTCAATTTTGTGATATAAAGCTCTATAAAGCAAGGAGAACACATTTTTAAGTACTCTATTTTCTTAATAATATTCTATTTTTGTAATAAAGATTAAAACATTCGGTAATTTTTGTAAATATAATAATATATTACCTTCATTGTAAAATACAGAGGGTATTTTTGTACGATTAATTTGGCGTAATCTTAAAAGCTAATCGGTAAAATTTAGTCGCAGTGAGCCATATCTAAACTTTGAGCTTCCAGGTTTCTCCTCCGCGCGACGATGTCGGAGACTCGCCGGAGTCAATCTAGCCACGATCAAATCGAGAACTCCGGTAGCTTCACATCCTCTCTCGTTCCATGACCCCTCAATATAGTGGGAAAAACCATATTCTGTATCATTGTGTTTTGATCCATACGCTTAGACCGATCTGATTGGGAAATTGATTATAGAAATCTCCAAACAAGCTTAGTTTCTTTGGGATTTATAGCTGCTTGAACATTGTTGGTGATCGGATAATTTTTTTGGTTCTGGAATTATGCGTAGAGATTCAACAACGAAAAGTTGTAATTGAGAACAGTCATGGTGAGAAACTCGTTGGAGTTTTGCATGATACCGGCTCAACAGAGACTGTTGTCATCTGCCATGGATTTCAGTCATCAAAGGTTTTCTTTTTTGGCTTTGTATCATTCTCATCAGTCTTCTTCATCATTTGCAATGTTTTGCTCTAATACTATAATCGTCTAGGATCGGATTCCCATGCTTACAATTGCCAATGTCTTTGAAAGAGCAATGATCACTTCTTTCCGGTTTGATTTCTCTGGCAACGGGTGGGTGAATCCTCTTACTATATCTTAAACACATAACTCGTGAAGTGTTTGTTGCTTACTCAAAATGTTTCTGGGCTTCAGGGAAAGCCAAGGATCATTTCAGTATGGTAACTACCGCCGTGAAGCTGAAGATCTGCGCTCTGTTCTCCAACACTTGCGTGGGGAGAACCGTGAGATTTCTGCAATAATAGGACATAGTAAAGGTCTGAAAACGTAAAACTAAGGGAGATTTCATGTTTTTGGATTTCAAGAAAGGTAATATGTTGACTGGAGCGTCGTGTTGTTGTTGTTGTCAGGTGGAAATGTGGTGCTTTTGTATGCAGCAAAGTACAAGGATGTGCAGACTGTTGTGAATATCTCAGGCCGGTTTTTTCTTGAGAGAGGAATAGAAGGGAGGCTTGGTAAAGACTACTTCAAGAGAATTAAAGAGAGTGGGTTCATCGACGTTAGGAATCGAAAGGGTAAATCTTTCAGCCTTTTAGCCTTTTGATTGTTAGAGCCAAAGAACATGGTGCTGTTGAAGACAACTCTTTGCCCTTTTTTTCTTTGCAGGAAAGTTCGAATATCGGGTAACAGAAGAGACGCTAATGGATCGTCTCACAACCAATACTCGTGAAGCATGTCTCTCAATTGATGAAAACTGCAGGTAAAATCTCCAATCATTCTCGGTATCATCACACTCTACAAGGATTTGTCTCTTTTGGTTTCAGTCTGATAGAGTAATTAATGATTCTCTTAATATATCAGGGTGTTAACAGTTCATGGGTCAAACGATAGAATCGTGCCAGTAGCAGAAGCAGCCGAATTTGCCAAATACATAAAGAATCATAAACTGTGTCTTATTGAAGGAGCTGATCATGAGTTCACGTCTCACCAGCATCAGCTTGCTTCTATTGTTTTCTCATTCTTCAAATTGGATTTCGAGAAAGATGATGATTCAGGTGATACCAGTACAAGTAATGGAGACCACATGAGATTAGTTGTTCCCATTACTTCACGAATTTAAACAGCTGTTAATGTCTAATGTGAAGTTTAGTTTTCCATGATAATGATAATAAAAAAGGTTTGGATAAATCAGTTAAGCACAGTAAAGAGATCGAAATGTTCTTACAGTGGGTATAATTTTGGTGTCAGGTAATGTCTCAAACTCTCAACAATCGATTGTAAAGGTTTAACTTGTTTTTTTTTTTTTGAGGTAAAGAAGAGAAGATTCGAACACTGAATTCAGTATATATATCGAAGTTGGTGAAAGCTGAAAATGGGTCACGAATCAAGAAAAAGCATTAAATTATAAATTTTCAAACCCACCAACAGAAATATTTGAAGAAACACGTCTGGAATTATCGAGATCCGAACAAGAAAATAGTATGATAACCCAAACTATACGTTACGTAAGTTATTATAGCGATGCGATTTCCTCCAAAGACATGGGAGGACTCAGGAACTAGATTTGTCTACAAGAACCTGCCATGCCAAAAAAACCCAGACAAAGGTGATCATCAAGCCGCCTGAACCTTCTTCCCATCTTCGATAAAGTAAATGGATCTTTCAGGCACCTGTAAACACAGTAATCAAGAGTAAGGATTGTGAAGCAGATTTACACTAGTTATTCAAACGAAGTGAGAGATCAAGTGAATGCAGAGGAACACGAACAAAAGAAGGTTAAAAAAGAGGTAAGTTATGTTACGTCGGGCCAAGTGTCTGTAATGAATTCCACGATATCATAGATTATATCTCCTTGAACGTCAATTTGCTCCTTTTCAGTTGGTCCCTGAAACACAGTAAATTAGAAAGAAATTAAAAAACCTCAGCATAAGAGGAAGAAAAGAGAGTAAAAATGGTTCTGATGAAGTGAAGGGTCAAAAGTCGTATATAGAGAATAAGATTTCATAGTTTTCTTTGAAATCAGAGAACCAACAGGTCTAACTAAAGCAATTACAAACTCTCCAAAACCAGAAGCAGCTGCTCAACCCAGATCATATATGCTCCCATTGGTTACAAGATCAGCTGGACCAAAACCAGCATTCACTAATATATCTAAGCACATAACCTATTATTCATATTCGATATGCAATCCATCTTCTACATACCTTGACAACTGATGCTCCAGTGGCAAACTTCTTCCCCAGCTTTTTGGATGCGTCACTGAGTTTTATCCCTGATGAACAAATTTTAAAGCTCGTGAGAATGAGATTATTTCGCTAAGATATATCACCAAAGAACAAATAACTTACCAAACAGTTCTAGTCCTTTCACAATGGTGATACATTTGCGCTTGTTGCGCACAACCTTTTCTATAATAACTTCTTGTCTCTCCTATTCACGATCCGTAAATTAGACAATTGAACAAACAGGGAAACGAAGAAGGAACTTGGAAAACAAAACTCAGATATGCAAATCACTTAAAAGAAGAATGTCCAAGCATGTCTGTTTTGAACGTTTCTTACATTCGAGTAACATGGAAGACAAAAACTTACTTTCTTTTTTACTTTTCCCCCAGGAAGCCGTTTCACTTCTTCTTTCTTGGATGTCCCTCCTATAAATTGGAAACTCCAATGATTAACAATTCAACAAAAACAATGCTGAATCCTTTCCACATATGTAACAGCTCGAATACAGATTCCTCAGCAAAAGATAAACATTACAGATGCTTCCAGCCATTAAGCAACATATAGTTGGCCTTCTACATGCCGATGCACAGTATCAAATATGTGTACACATTATAAGACTTACATGTACTAAATACATTTCACAGCTCTTTTAAGAAAATCATGCAAATGTATGTGGACACGCGTGCACGGTTACATACCAGTATGAGCTGAAGATGGTGCCCCATCAGCGCCACCTGAAGAGATTCCCACGGACTGGAGTTTGTCAGAAACATTATCTGCTGCCTTCTCATTAGCTTCTGCACATTAAATTAATATTCATATCAAATGTGACTGAGTTGTCAAAATCAGATTAAACTCATTTACATATCAGTAGAACAAATAAGAAGAACCGAAAATTATATACTTTAGCATTGACAATCCAGCATTATAAATCGAAGATACACAAAGAACAGCAGTCCAAATAGACATGGTTATCTTAGGAAGACCTGTTTATCGAATGCTTACAGAAATATTCACCAAACTGTACAGACCCATAGATATTGAATCAAGAAAACAAAGAGTGAATTTCTAAGCTCTTCCAAGAATAATAAATAAAAAAAATCGGAGGAATAATCTAAAAGGTTGAATAATTTAGACGGGATTTTCAATTAAGAAAATCACTAAAAAACTGCAAAGGAATCAATGCTAACACAGTGAAAATCAAACGAGTTGCGAGAACAGGACGAAACTTAAGAATTAGGGTTTGAGATATATAGTTTTTTTTTGGGGTACCTTTGAGGAGATCAGGATAGAGATCCGGGGCGTTTTCAACGAGCCATGGCTTACATCTCTCGAAATCGGGACCGAATTCGCAGTATTCCGCTGGAAGAGAGCAAACCCCGCAGTACAAAACCTTCGCCGGCTCGAGTTTCTCCGCCATAGATGATATTACCAAGTGCTTCCCTTTCGAAACGCAAAAATGAGATTGCTTTGTAGCGAAGTATCAAGCTTGTGATAGGGAGAGAATCTGATTTCTACTGTTTTTTTACTTCTTCTTCTTCTTCTTCTGTTCTTCGCTGCCCCACGGAGCCAATGATGTCGGAACCCAACAGAGAAGAAAAGTGAGAAACTAAATGCTGGGCTTCAAATTTTATTCCAATCGATAAAATCGTATTTGACATTTTTGTTGAATTGGTTCGATTTGGGCCTGCTTTAAAACTTTTTTTTAAAATGTTTTTAATCATTTTCGTCAACTATTGACTTTCTCTTGAAAATATTGTGAAAAGTAAAATAAGTTCCATAACAGTACACCAAATTTTTCTATGTACAAGTACAGTATATAAGCTCTTGATATATCTCAAAAACACGTTTTTCATTTCTCTCATTTTGATTTTCAGACCGCCAATGTAAAGTGGAAACACATTGTCTGTATATGGTCACATAGCTCGTTAAGCATAAAGGAAAGAACAACATTGGACAGAAACTAGTTTCGCTGGGCTTCAAACGCACCTCTTCGAATCGGAATCGATTTATTAAGAGTGATAAAATCAAACTGTGGATTTATCTTTTATTAGGAGATCCTGATGGCAATATAGAGTACGTACCCTTCTTTTTTTCGTCAACATACCCATTTTCGAAAGGATTTTTATATTTGATCATATACAGCATGCAGCAGCTGCTGCTTACCCATTGAAAATGGTGAAATATGATTTTCCTACTGACGTTGAATATTATTACATCAGGAAACCCCAAAAAGAAAAAGAAAAAAAAGGAGAGATCAGGTACGTTCTCTTAAATGGTGATATCATGTGAGATCAGATGGTTCAACATCTAACATTAAACACATCTCTCCCATTGTGTTCTTCAATATTGTCTCTTTCCTTTTGCACTTTTAAGGTTCTGTTCATGTTTGTATGTTAATGTTATGATCCTACTTAAATGCTCACTAATACTAGTTGTTTTCAGCTATTGGCATCTCCAGCTTTTTAGTACACCATTCCTTATATTACATTTATATTTGTATCCATTATATAATTTAAACAAGAAACTCCCAAAAGAAAAAAAGAAATGAAAAAAAAGAAAAATCCAAGAAATTTTTAGAAGCCGTGAATTCTCTGGCCTTCTCTACTAAGAACAATATCTTATCTCTCTGACTCTTCTCTGCAAATTAATAACTAAAAACTGAGAAATCTTCTTTTGGACCATTCCAAAAGTTTCACAAATCCAGAAAGAAAAAAATAAAAGTAAATAAAATAAAAGATTTATAAAAAAAAAACCCAGAAATTTCAATTGTCAAATTATCAAATCCAATGTTGCTTCCCTTAAAAACTCCATTTCCAGACCTTCACGCTCAGATCAGACTTACACTTAGTTTTTTTGGAGGTTGCTACGATCGGAGTTTTCCCTTTGGATACTGTTCCTTCGAATCCTTGGCATGTCACTTTGATCTCTACTCCTTCGCTCTTCAGCTTCCCCATTTGCATTTTCACTTTCGTTCGCATCTGGATCTCGAATCCCACTCGCGGGCGCGTCAGATCTGATTTCAGATGCCTAGCCTCTTCCGGATCCAGCTCACGCGCCGACGTAGACGTCGCGATCACGCCGCGAAACGACGTCTTGTTCTTATTCCCGCTGAAGAACGCCGGTACGGTTCCGTTCCCGAGCATCGCGCCGGATTTCGCGGAGTTGACGGTGACGGTGAAGGGATCGTAGGAGAAGGTGAGGTGCTGGTTGGGATTCTCCGAGAGTAAAGTGAAGTTGAAGAAAGACGAGAGATGGGAGACGGAGGAATCCGATGCGGTGGTTAGGTTAACGCGGCCGATTCGAAGCGACGGGACGGAGAAAGACGGCGGACGCGGGTGGTAGATCACGTACATCGCGGTGGCGGCGATGGCGGCCATGAGAGCGAGGATCAGAAAGATCAGAATCGACCAGAAACAGCAACAGCAGCAAATTCGCCGGCAGCTTGGCCGAGATTGGTGGTGATGGTGACGACTGTAAGGCTGTGGACGGTAAATCGGACGGTTAGCCGGAATATAGACTTGTGGTTTCTGATTAGCCATTCCGTTGGATGTTCCGTTACCGTTAACAGTCGCCGGAGCTGGAGGAGGTACTAAGGAACCACCTGAGGAAACTCCATTAGTGGCGGTGGCTGGCTTGGAAGCTGGAAAGACTCGATCAGTCATCTTCTTCTCCGATTCTTTCTCCTCTGGTCAGATCTGAGCACACAAAAGAGAGAGAGAGAAAGAGTGAGGTGGAGAGGGAGAGAGAGAGAGACAACACTGAGTTTTTTGTGGAATCTTAATAGCTTTAAATTTTGATAATTTTTTTGGTCAGTAATTATAGAATTATTTATTTATTTATTCTTAAATACTTTTATGTTTTTGGTTTTTAGTTTTTCTTAGATTGTTGTGAATGATCGTTTGTGACTTCCATGCCAAGTCTGTGGAATCTTCAGTGGGTGGTAAAATAACTAATAATTTAACAAAGTTTCCCCAAGTATACTATAAATGAAATTTCCAATTTATAGTAACTAAAAATAGACTGAACAGTGAAATTTGGATAATTGTAATGAGATCATTTTAGGGAAACTAATGTATACTCTAATTAAAATGAGGAAAAACGGGCAGAAGAGTAGTAACATTATAAGTCATGTAATAAAAAGTCAAAAAAAAAACAAAAATTATAATCCACCGACAGATAGTGGTAGCAGTTCACTTTTTTCTTCTTATAAAATAAAAGCGATGCACGCAATTGAATAAGTTTGAATTTAAGATCGGTGCAGGTTAAAAAAAAGAGAAAGAAATATTAAGTGAGTGCAGATATTGAAGTAATAGATTAGGGATCCGAAAGTTGATATAATTATAGAATAATCCCTTTTTCTTCAGAGAGTAAATCCCAAGTCAATAACTATATCATCGCCTCATCGGCAATGCTGCACTGCTTTCAATTATGTTAATCCTTTATTTTCGAGCTCCCAATTCCCAAGGTTAAGCGTGATAAATGATTTACTTCACTAACTCTCAAGTATATAGTTAGTTGTACCCTTTACCAACTATATCACCCGTCAATTATAACAGATAGATGCAATACCGTATTATAGTGTTTTTGTATAACGTTGTACCAAAAGCTACATTGTCACTTATGAGTCATCGAATCAAGTATCATAAAAACATCACACATAGCCAATTTTAATTGATCTTTATAAGAAAAGTTATTAATCGTGCTGACATACGAGCCATATGGTTAATGTCGGGTGGACCCATCTACCTCAAGTTTCAGTCATCCGATTTCAGTTTCGGAAAATTAAGCTTTATAAATACTCCCTTCACATTTTAACTTTGATTTAAAAAAAAAAAATCTCAGATGTGAATCTCAATTTATCAAAAAAAAATCTTGAAATTTTTAAAAGAACATCAATCTTAGCGCTAAAATGATTTGTCTAGGTAAATTTAACCAAAAGTCTACATACATTATGCTAAATTATTCGTCTAAATCAACTTATTCTGTCCAATTTAATAAAAACCGGTTCAATTTGACTTGGTTATATCGGCGGATATCCCAACCGTACCGGACACCGACAGGAGCTATCCGTTCACACGTGGAACTTACCTTCGTTGACAATTTAGAAACCCTAATTTTCAGTCTCACTGTACACAGTCGCAGCACTTCCACACCCTTCACAATCCCAATCATGGCGACAGCTACTCAGTTTCACTCCCAAACTTCATTTCTCCGCGGAACCCTAAACCAATACCAATCGAATCAAACCTCGCTCTCCAGAATCCCGATTCTGTCTCTCAAGTCCACCGTGAAGCCACTTAAACGCCTCTCCGTGAAAGCCGCCGTATCCCAGAACTCGGTGAAAACGCTGACGAATGAATCCGGCAATCAGGCTGCGTTCAAGCACTGTTTCAAGAAATCGTCTGGTGGGTTCCTCTATTGCGAGGGAACTAAGGTCGAGGATATCATGGAGAGCGTCGAGAGAAGACCCTTTTACTTGTACAGCAAACCGCAGATCACAAGGAACGTCGAGGCTTACAAAGAGGCCCTTGAAGGCGTGAGATCCGTCATTGGCTACGCTATTAAAGCTAATAATAACCTCAAGATTTTGGAGCATTTGAGGAGTTTGGGCTGTGGTGCTGTTCTCGTCAGTGGAAATGAGCTCAGGCTTGCGCTTCGTGCTGGTTTCGATCCCACAAAGTAAAAAATTCGATTTTGTTTTTTACCCGTTGCTCTCTATCTACTTAGCTTGATTCATACAATCAAATGCCAATTTGGAGAGCTTAGTTTTTTTAATCCGGAATCTGGAGTTGACTTTATCCCAATTATAAATTCGGAGTATTGCTTGACTTGTTGATGGAGTCGGAACATGAGTATATTGATATGGATTGTTCAATTTGATGTAAAGGTGCTGTGATAATTCTTGATATAGGTGCATTTTCAATGGAAATGGGAAGCTGTTGGAAGATTTAGTTCTAGCTGCTCAAGAAGGTGTTTTCGTAAATGTTGATAGTGAGTTTGACTTGGATAATATCGTCCAAGCTTCAAGAATTTCTGGTAAGAAGGTCAATGTTCTGCTACGTATCAATCCTGATGTCGATCCTCAGGTATGGTTTTGTTTTACTTTTTTTTAAACGTGATACTTCGACACAGATGGGAAAAGAGTGAGCCTTTCTTGTTTGTTCCATTTTTTCAGGTGCATCCTTATGTAGCTACCGGGAACAAAAACTCAAAGTTTGGTATCAGGAATGAGAAGCTTCAGTGGTTTCTGGACGAGGTGAAGGCACATCCCAATGAACTGAAGCTTGTTGGAGCTCATTGCCATCTAGGCTCTACCATTACAAAGGTAGCTCCGATTCTAGTACTTTATATGATACGTATTCTTGCTTTAAGCTGGTGTGTTTGATGTAATCAGATGAATATGGATTGCTCCCTGTTCATGTTTCTCAAGTTTGCTTTTGCTCTGTCTCTAAAATCTCAACTCCTGAGCTCTACATATTCTTCTACGTTATGTTTATTCCAGGTGGATATATTCAGAGATGCTGCGGTTCTAATGGTGGAATACATTGATGAAATCCGGCGTCAAGGCTTTGACGTTAGTTACTTGAACATTGGTGGTGGTTTAGGAATAGATTATTACCATACCGGCGCTGTCCTTCCAACACCCATGGATCTCATCAACACCGTAAGAACAACATCTCAAAATTCTTTTCTTTATCTGTTATCAGAAGTCTGGAATTGGTAAAATCTTTACAATCCTTGATGTGTTCCAGGTAAGAGAGCTTGTTCTTTCTCGAGACCTGAATCTAATAATCGAGCCAGGGAGATCGTTGATTGCAAACACATGCTGTTTCGTAAACCATGTAACCGGTGTGAAGACAAATGGAACTAAAAACTTCATAGTGATTGATGGAAGTATGGCTGAGCTAATCCGTCCCAGTCTCTATGATGCTTATCAGGTAAAACAAATATGTTTGTTACAAATTTCTCTTTTGGAGATTTAGCTAAACATCCTCTTGTTCTTGTTTCATAACACAAAAGCACATTGAGTTGATCTCTCCTCCAGCACCTGAAGCAGAGGTTTCCAAATTCGACGTAGTGGGTCCTGTTTGTGAATCTGCTGATTTCTTGGGCAAAGACAGAGAGCTTCCCACTCCTCCAATGGTGAGACAAGGATCTGATCCTGTTTGAAAGCTCAAGTATTGTGGAATCTAATGAGTTAATTCTATTTTGCTACAGGGAGCTGGTCTGGTGGTTCATGATGCTGGTGCATACTGTATGAGCATGGCTTCCACTTACAATCTCAAGATGCGTCCTCCGGAATACTGGGTACCAATACATTTCCTTGTTTTCTTGGGAAAACACAGCAGAGTCAACATCCTGAGAGAAATTTTCATGATGTGAAGTTTAACCATTTGAGTGCTTTTCTATATGGGGGAAAAGCTAATGGCTTTGATTATTCTTTTTTTTTGGGCAGGTTGAAGAAGATGGCTCGATCACCAAGATCAGGCATGCTGAGACATTCGAAGACCATTTGCGTTTCTTCGAAGGTCTATGAAATCCGAGTGTTCCCATTCATCATTGTTGCTATTTTAGTTGAATTATTCAGAATCAGTACTATAATGCTATGTTCACAATATTTTGCGTTAATCGGTAGCTCGGAATGAGTATGAGAAATCTCATCATTACTAGTCTCAGAATTTTTGAATAATGCTATTCATGCCCTTATGAGTAACCCAACAAAATCTACTTAGTAATCGTACAAAATCTGCTGTAAAAATACAGAAACATCATTTGAATTACAAAAGAAAAAAAAAGCTTGAGGGAAGGAGTCATTAATGGATGTCAAGGATGGCCTTTGAGGTCACCTAATCTGATTTAGGTTTCATCACACACAAAAGAAGAATAAAGAAATGTCTCAGATTTTTTAAGGAAACTCAAAAAAACAAAGACAGAAAGAGACGGTTCGGAAAAGGTTTACCTCTGAAACCGAATGCTTCGGTACAAAAGCATAAGGGTGAGTAAAAGCACAGCCACGGCTGAACACAAATGTCCAAGTGAATGCCCACTGATGATATATCGATTCGCATTGTATATTTTGTTGTCTGCAAGTCCTTCAATCTTGGCAACAGCGTAAGCCGCTGCATTCATTCATAAATTATCAGATTATATTAGAAGAGAGTAAACAAGACAAACGCAAAAAAAAAAAAAAAAGTAGTTCTGAGTCAAAAACCTGTTGCCCAGAGCCAGAATCTAGAGTGAGTATATTTGGGAGGTAACAAAACGGTCATGACCGGAATCGCCAGGCAAGGAATCAACTGGAACGTCATGCATAACCGGAGATCATTAAACACTCTGCCATCATATACTAAGACGCATATAATTTCAATCCTTTAAGCTGCCTAAAGTCATCAACATATCCAAATAATAATTTTTCAGATTTTTAATGTTACCTGGCGTAAGCAACGCTGAGAAATGATATGAACACAAGCAAGACGAGGCAACTCAGTCCCACTTTCTCCCCCGCTCTCTCAACCAAAAAACTAGAGAAAAGCGACGAATACGCAATCAATATCTGCAAATTTATACCGTCTTTAATCAAGAAACCAACCATTAAAGCGAAAACGACTTAATCATTCATCTAAGCTTCTTTCCATCAGTTATAAGAAGATAGAAGATGTTTTGCTTGTAGAAAGTAGAAACAACCGAAGAAAAATAAGCGATTCATGGATTCTGCAAAGATGAAAGACCCATCGAAGCTTCTTTATATAGCTTGACTTAAGATAATTCCTTCGAGTTTTTGTTCACAATTTGCTTAATCAATAATTAATAATGTCCATAACTAAAAGAAGATTCATCTAAAAGCTTTTTTCCATAAACTAAAAAGAAGATTATTTCGAAGAAAACGAAAGCGAGTGACTATAAAGGTGGTGAAAAAACGAACAGGCAAAGTTTCCCAGACGATTCGGTTGTCATCAGGTTTGAGATGATAGTAAGCAGAACCAAAGGCCAAGCTTGCAATGCCTCCGTAGAACAGTGTCCATCCCCAGATCTCACCTTTCAAACTGCATTACAGAACGTAATTGAGCTATCTTAAGCAACAAAAAAAAAAGAAAACTCAGATGTTAACACTAATTATAACTCAAATTTTCAAAAAAAAAGAGAAGAGAGAGATAGCACCTTATATTGAAGAAGCTTCCTCCAATGCAAAGAACGAAACCAAGAACACCAATAATAAGAAATGGAAAGTTGGTCATGACATTCAATGTATTTGGCACTCCTGTTCATCAACCAACACAAAACACCTGTCCTAATCAATTTATTACACACATGCAGAGACATACATACATTGAGAGATAGATTAAGAAAGAGAGAGAGAGAGAGTGATGATACCCATGAAATTGCGTTTATCGGCGAAGACATGATGGCGTAAGGAATTGAGAGGAACCTTGGGAGTGATGAACATAAGGATTAGCCAACACAGGAACGATCCCACCAAAATTCTTTTCCTTTTCCATCTCAAGATCTGTTGATTCGTCAACCACACCATTAAAAATCTCTCTCTCTCTCTCTGAATAATTGTAAAAGGTCCAAGCTTTTGTTTAAGGAATTGTTAATACAACTCTTTTTTCTCTGTCTCTCTTTCTGGGTCTGATTAATCTTCCAGGTTAAGAAAAAAAGGCAAGATTTTTACTGCGTGTCGCTTGCTTTTTTTCGTATTTTCGATTTGAAACAACGTGCGGCGGAATCTCCTTTTCGTTTGAGTCTGACGGGTTTGACGATGATCAATTTCTATTGTTGTCGCAGTTGACGAGGACCATTAGACGTCGTCGTTTTACATCTTCCCGGTGTAATTTTTAATTTTGGCCCCTGAAGTTTCTAATATGTTTGTTTCATCCACTCCATATTTGTAAATCCAGTCACACCCATGTTTTCTGTCCAACGTCTCATTTTACTGTGTCACTCAACACACCTCGAAATCAATAATTTTCTGGTTAGTGTTTGGTGGTACTTAAAACAAGTCTGAGAAAGAAAAATTAGAACTTATTTGAAGTTGCTCTTTTTAAAATGCTACAAAAGTTGATAAGTTTTCCAGGAAACAGAGAAACATTGGAGAAGAAAACGAAGGAGAAAAAACAATATTTCGTACCGCAATTCGGCTCAAACTGCAAGCGTAATACAATTTGTCACATATAATCGCAATCAAACTTTCGAAACTATGCTCTATAGTTGAGCAACTTTTCCTCTTGTTTTCATCGATGATCCTCATGAAAAAGTATGTAGCAATTGTGCCCTGCTTGAAATGCTTTGCTATCTACAGTATGTTTAACAGTTTTGATCCACAATGCATGTAACAAGTCATATGCTTATCTCACTTTCAGCTATGGATTTCTAACTAAAATGCGTGCTCACTTCTCTGAACAGAGATTATTGGGCTTGATTTGTGTTGAACACCTTTTTTTGGGTTCTGTCATAACACGCAGACGAAACAGAGAGAGCTTCGTTCTTCTCAATATCAAAAGTTAACATCTCTAACTAAGCCAAGTGCCTTGAAAAGTTCAGAATTCTCCAAGTGACGTTACCTTTTTTACCTTACTCTATTGAGTAACTAAAGCACTGATAAATAAATCCTTACTAGTATGTCTACATCTCTTTTCAGAACTATCTTCGATCATCATTTTCATTTGCTTTTATCTCTTTCCATTTTTGACTTTCACTATTGAATCTAAAGAAAGACTTCAAGTTTTGTGGATCATCATATATATATATATATATAGGACTAAACAGTAATACTTTACCATTCTGTTATCAGATCTGTCAAACAAAGTAACAAACGAACCTTGACACTTAAAAAAGAGTTATTCTATTTATAGATATACAACACTAAAAGTCTAAAGTCTTAATTAGTACGTTTTATTCCAATGATAATAACATATAACGTATGCACAACTCCAATTTGTAATAGTGAGCCAAAAAGTTTCTAAGGATTATTTTAGCTAAAAAGTTTTCAAGGAACAGGACATGGTTCCTCTCCTCGAACCGGCCGTGGCCTACTCCCGAACGCATGGGTTTTTTACTTAGAATTGTAAACTATCGAGGTACTAATTAAAACGTTTAGAAAGTATGAGGGCATTCAATTGCAAATTTTCTTCCTTATGTAGACAGTAGACAATAGTCGACTCTCATTTTCCAGGAAAAGTTTTACTCATGATAATATTACGAAGAGAGAGAGAGAAGACGAGTAAAGAAGAAATCCTTTTGATCGGAGGTATTTTTTCCCGACCAGTTTACTGTCTCTAGGTTTTTTTTTTTTTTTTCTGCTTCCCTCTCCGTCTATTCTTCTGTACTCTTAATTTTTCAGCTTGAAATTTCTGGGATAGAATTTGGGTGGGCGCGAGAACTTGCAGTCTTTTGCTTCCTTGCCGAGAATTTTGCGGAGAAAGCGGAAACGATAGATTTAATCGTCTTTTTCAGTCAAAGTTTTATTTTTTTTGCTCAATTAAAATTAAACTGTCTTTTTATCTTCTATCACTACGGTAGCTACTTTTCCCCCTCTTTTTGTAAGAGAATCCCTAGACTTTTCTGAATTCGATTTCGTGGGTTTTCGTTTCCGGTTCGGTTCTATAGAGATAAAAAAAATATTGATTTCTGTCACTTTCCGCGAGGGGGAGATTTCGAATTTTGCTTCTTTTTTGGGCTCCAAAGTTTTTCACCAATTTTTAAATCTCGGTGCTTTTCATTTGGTTCCTACTTGTAAATCAGCTAGGGCTTGCTCCTTTTCTAATCCAAGATCTGTTTTCTATCCCCAGATTATCCTTTTGTTTGAGCTTTTGCAATTTGACGGACTCGGGATCTGATTTATCTCCGGGTCGTCTCGGTTTGTCGGTAGCTACAAGGTGAAAGAGTGTTCCTACAAGGTAAAAGCCAAAACTTTAGCTCTGGCTGTTATCTCTAGCTGTGAAAGTTTTGATTTTTGAGAACTTTAATTGGAGATTGATTTATGCCCGAGTAGAATTTTAATCGTAGATATGTACTTATTGGTTGTGTGTTGAGTATGAATGTGAAAAATGGGACAATTGAGATTGTGGAGTAATTGCATTTGGCTCTGAGTCCTGTTGACGAAGGGTGAGAAAGTTTATACACTTACTTATACAGTTACAAGTTGATGTTAATAGGTTTTTAATGGAAGACGATGACTCTGCTTCTTCTCGAGATTTGGATGCACAGAACCCTTATGATCGATTGCTTGCTCTAGATACAAGTCCCGTAGATTCAAATTGTAACTTGGATTCAGTTTCTGCCATTTATCTAGCAATGAAGAGTTCAAAGCTGGAGTGTGTCGATGAGGGTGGCCAAGATTCCCTTATAACCTCGGTATGCATGGAGGATGAAGAGGATGAAGAACTCGATGAGTTTGATCCTTATCTGTTTATCAAGAACCTGCCGAACTTGTCATCTGTTGTCCCAACTTTCAGGCCCGTCTTGCTTCCTAAACAGACCCGAAGCTGCCCTCCTATTTCTCTAGTCCTAGACCTCGATGGTAAGGCTACTTTTCACTTGATTCGTTTGGTTGTTATATTACCTCTTTTTGCAGGTTCTAATGGAACACAAATCGTTTCTCTCTCTCGTTATTGCTGTATGTAGATGTGGTGTAACCATAGACAACATGTCATGATTTAGTGTTTAAGTAGTTGATGATCCATAAAAGAGTTTGTTTTGTTTATTCTGTTATATCTATAACACATATTTTTATTTTGTTTCCACAGAGACTCTTGTGCACTCTACTCTAGAACCGTGTGATGAGGTGGATTTCACATTCCCTGTACATTTTAACGAAGAAGAGCATATGGTGTATGTGCGGTGCCGTCCTCACCTCAAAGAGTTTATGGAGAGAGTGTCCCGTCTTTTTGAGATCATTATATTTACAGCTAGCCAAAGTATCTATGCTGAGCAACTTCTGAATGTGCTTGACCCTAAGAGGAAACTCTTTCGCCATAGAGTGTACCGTGACTCTTGTGTATTCTTTGACGGTAACTACCTAAAGGACTTGTCGGTCCTTGGGCGTGATTTATCTCGTGTTATCATCGTCGATAACTCTCCACAGGTATTACATTCTTTTATCAACCCTCTACACAACGAGTACAAACATATTGGATCCTCGATTCTTATGCTTTAAAATAAAGCCGATTGGTAGGATGCACATCCTAGTATAGGAAGGCTTATAATATAGCCTTAACAGAAAGAATGATATGACTAAAAGTTCTTAGTTTGAGGTCTTACTTCTTGTATGTAACCATCATCAAGAATTCTCTGAGCTGTATCTCAAGGCTGTTGCATAATCTCATTGGAATATATGTAAATGACGAATCTTCTCTCTGGCCTTTTCTTTTTTTTTGTGTGTGCCATGTTTTAGGCATTTGGGTTCCAAGTGGAGAATGGGGTGCCAATAGAGAGCTGGTTTAACGACCCGTCTGATAAAGAACTCCTTGACTTGCTCCCATTCCTTGAAAGCTTAATCGGAGCTGAAGATGTAAGGCCAATGATTGCAAAGAAATTCAATCTGAAGGAAAAGGTTGATGCAGCTGTAGCTGCACCTGAGTATCCTGCTGAAGCAGAAAATCCTTTCGAAAGGTAAAAAAGTCTTTGGCCAAAAAAAAAGTTGTAAGCTTTCAAGGCAGAATCTGGCATTATAGGAGGAGCTGCATACCGGTTACAAATTCATGTTCGTTGACAAGAAGGTCAAGACTTAGCTCTTTAGTGGGAAGATGCTTTGGAAAGCTTAATGGAAGTTTTTCTTCCTATTGAGTTGTCAAACGGATCACAAAAGTTGGAGATATATATCTATATTTTTATATATCGAATGTTGTTTTCTTGTTTAGTTTAAAGAACTTGGTGGTATACAGAGAAGACTGTAAACAGTTTAACTGTAGAATAATTGTAATTGTCTCCTCTCTTTCTTCTTTTTTCTCTGGTTTATTTACTATTCCTACACATAATTTTTACCATTGCAACAGTGGCTTTCTTCTTCTTCTTCTTCTTCTTCTTCTATTTTGGGCCAACTGGAATTAAAATCAAACAAAATGAGTTTATGGGTCGACAATTGCGATCGGATAATGGGAATTTTTTTTTTTTCATCTCAGATAAATGTGAATTTTTTAATTAGTTTTTGAGTACTTGGAGTAAAATAGTCAAAGCTATTCTTACCAAGTGGAGGTGGCTTGACGAAGAAGAGTGCGCATGTTAATGGAATCTACTTTCGAAGATGTCGGCGCAGGTTAAGCTGTATTTATCCATTTTTATTTTATTTTATTGTTAAACCTGGAAGAATTTTTATTTCTTTGTTTTTTTAACGGACGTTTACGAGGGGACGTATTTGTTGTTCCTGTAATATATCTCCAATTAAATATCTTTTGACAATATTATTTCCATTTTTTTTTTCAGAAAAAATTAGCGGAAAAAAACTAGCAAAAGGAAGCTTCATTTTGTAGAGAGATAAACTGGAGATTTTTAGAGAGAGAAAGAGAGATCAGTTCGTCGTTGACGATCGATGTCGAAGATGAAGCATCTTTTGCGGAAGCTCCACATAGGCGGAAGTAGTGGCGTCGGCGGCGGATTTGGAGACCATCACAGGTTAGACGAGTCGACTAGACCGATGATCGATCCTAGCCCTATTCCCAGCTCTAGCCCTAGCCCCGCTTCGACTTCTTCCGTCTCTTCTTCTGGTTTTGGTAACCCCTCCTCGACAATGCCGAGAATGGAAACATTTGAGCCTGTAGGCCGTGATCTGGCAGCTGTGGATGGTGTGGATTTCAATTTGATGGAGGAGGAGTATCAAGTCCAGTTAGCTATGGCGATCAGCGTGTCTGATCCTGATCCGCGAGAGAATGCAGATACGGCTCAGCTTGATGCTGCTAAGCGGATTAGCCTTGGGGTTTCAGCTCCCGTCACCGACGCAGATTCCGCCGTTGACTTTCTCTCGCTCCGCTATTGGGTATACTCTATATCCTGACTATCGCTTAGATTAATTATTCTGATTCCTCTGGAGTTTGGGGTTTTAGGGAGTCTGATTGTTCGATTAGCCTGGGTTTAGCGGAATAAGGATTTTGCTGTAACTGATCATTGCCATTGCTTGCACTGTTAATCTCTTGGTTGCGAGTAATCATTTTGTGCTGGAGATACGACGTTTATTCAAATGTGGATGGTTTCTGCCTTGATTATCTCAATGGGGGAATTTAGCTGATCATGCTGTTTATTTTTGGTTTCTTGCAGGGACATAAGGTCATTAATTACGACCAGAAAGTCAGGGATGGTTTTTACGATGTGTATGGGATTACATCCAATTCTCTCTCACAGGGGAAGATGCCACTTCTCGTGGATCTTCAAGCGATCTCCATTTCAGACAATGTCGATTATGAGGTCATTTTGGTGAACCGATTGATTGATCCTGAACTGCAAGAGCTAGAGAGGAGAGCATATGCTTTGTCTCTGGAATGTTCAGAATTTGCTCGTGGTCAGGTGTCAAGCGAGTTAACTCAGAAAATTGCAAATATAGTTGTAGAGCAAATGGGTGGCCCCGTTGAAAATGCTGATGAAGCATTGAGAAGGTGGATGCTTCGAAGCTATGAACTAAGGAATTCTTTAAACACTACTATTCTTCCACTTGGACGTGTTAATGTTGGTCTTGCACGTCACAGGGCTTTGCTTTTCAAGGTTATAACAAAACGTTTTTATAAGTTTCTAGCTTTGCTCATGATCGATTATCGTATTTTTGGCTCTTAGTGACAACACGCGTTATTCCTTTTCCATCACTGAGTTCCCTATTTGGTCAATGCTAGTAGATATAGGGTGAGCTAAACTAGTTCCCTCTTCTTGTTTCTAGGTGCTTGCTGATAGGATTAATCTTCCATGTATGCTGGTTAAAGGCAGCTACTACACTGGAACTGATGATGGGGCTGTGAACTTGATTAAACTAGATGACAAAAGGTATTCTTTGACTGCTGTAATCAGCTACCTAATGTTCTCATTCTAGATTTCTGATATTAGGCTTAGTTTCTATGCGATGGTAGCGATTTTTGCAGAGTCCTGATTCATTCTTCACATGCAGTGAATACATTATTGACTTAATGGGTGCTCCGGGTGCTCTGATCCCTGCCGAGGTTCCAAGCAGTTTTCTTCCAGTTTCTGGCACCGATACAAGAGTATTTCCTGATGATCTGGACACATTGCAACATTCATGCCCTGTACTAGAGAAAGAGATTGAAACGCCAGCCTTTTCAGTTTTGGAGGAAACGGAGTCCAGATCTGGTATGGTGGCAAATTTGCTCACTGAAAACCTTGAAGAAAACAGTGACATATGTGCTGTTGAAAAACATCAAACAGAGAGGTTTGAGCATGATTTTGGAAAGCTAATGCAATCACAGCAGATATCTGGTGAAAACTTGCCGCCATTTTCTGGGAAACCGACATGTGCACAGAAAGTTAAAGTTAAGAATGTCTCAAAGTACGTCATAAGTGCAGCAAAGAACCCTGAATTTGCGCAGAAATTACATGCCGTCTTGTTAGAAAGTGGTGCATCACCTCCCCCAGATTTGTTTATGGATGTCAACCCACAGAACTTGATGGAGAAGAATATGCTTCAAGAACTCCGCCAAGAAAGTAGCACTTCTATGAATTCGGGGGTTCCATGCTACCCAGAAAAGGTAATCTTAGGATACACATCTTTTCACTATTGGAGCACAAGTTTTGTTAATTCTTTCCCACAATATATCTTACGATTCCTGGAGTCTTTTTTTTTTTCCATCTGCACTATATAGGTTGTCGATCCGTTAGCTGAACAACTGAGAGAATCTGAAAGGAACCCCACAGCAATGCAATTGTCAGCTCTTTGTACCTCAGGTGAGGGATAACCCGCTAATTGATGTATGCCGTATAATATTATATTTTCTTGTTACTATTAGTGCATTTAAGCAACTTTACACTGACAACGAATTGGTGAAAATGTCTCACTTCCAACAGCTGAGACATACCAACAACCAGTGGAGGTCGATTTTTCAATAAAGAGAAACTTTGATGTGGATAATATGGGTAAAGTTTCTTCATCGGAAAAGATTGAGATCAGCACTGCTGATGAGGAGCCTTCTGTTTGTGGTAGTCATGACCAAGGAATTAATCCATTTCTCGGTGAGGCTGCAAAGTGGGAAATTATGTGGGAAGATCTCCAGATTGGCGAGCGGATTGGTATTGGTAAGGTTTGGACTATCAAATACTAGATTCCTAAGAAGCTGGCAAACTTTATTATATATTTAGAGTGGTATCCGTGAGAGACTGTTGATGAAGCTTGACACTTACGAATTGTTATCTAGCCTTTATAGTTATGAATAAAATCTAATTTTCCACCATTTTCAGTTTGATAAACTAGAATAGCCCCTTATTATCCCGAATTCCAAGATTTAATGTGCTCTTTTTGTGTACTGATTTTGTTGCAGGTTCATATGGAGAAGTTTACCGTGCAGAGTGGAATGGAACTGTGAGTTATGTTTTGGAGTCTTAATTCACTGAACCTTGCAATGATCTTTAATCTGCAGTTTCTAATGAAGAGTATTGCTATTTTATACGTAAACATCTTGGACTGATTGTGTTTTTCATTTCAGGAAGTGGCTGTTAAGAAGTTTCTGGATCAAGATTTCTCTGGTGATGCATTGACACAGTTCAAATCTGAAGTAACTCCAGATCATTTAATCCTAGGCATCTACTTATCTGTAGAATTCCTTATATAATCTCTTTAATCATACTATGAATGTTTTTATTTTGTTCCAATAGATTGAAATAATGTTGAGGTTACGGCATCCAAATGTTGTTCTTTTCATGGGAGCAGTTACCCGGCCACCAAATTTCTCCATTCTGACAGAGTTCCTTCCAAGGTTGGTCCTCATATTCTTCTTTTACAGTTCGTGTATCAGTCGGTCTACTCTACGACTTTTATTTCTAGTCCTGTTCTATACATGAATTAATCCTTTTATAATCATGAGGTTCTCTGTTTATTATTATTTCTCTTCTTCTTGACTCAGTGGTTTAGAATTTCCTGATACTATGCAGAGGGAGTCTGTATAGATTACTCCATCGACCAAATCATCAGCTTGATGAGAAGAGACGAATGCGGATGGCACTTGATGTGGTATACATGAGTTGCATTGGGTTAAACAGAAAGCACTAGAAGTTCCTTGGTGTATTTTGCCATAATTCATCTGACATTTTCTCTCTACCTGATGGTATTGCAGGCAAAAGGAATGAACTACTTACACACCAGCCACCCGACTGTTGTACATAGGGATTTAAAATCTCCAAACCTTCTTGTTGATAAAAATTGGGTTGTGAAGGTTTGTGATTTTGGATTATCACGCATGAAACATCACACTTATTTGTCCTCAAAATCAACTGCAGGAACGGTAAGTGTTAACTCAAAATAGAAATATTCCTTTTTTTTTCTGAACTATGAATTCTCTTTGGGAAAAAAACAAAACAGAGCAACTTACTTGATAAAATGGCCTGCTAATGTCTACGCAGCCTGAGTGGATGGCTCCAGAAGTGTTGAGGAATGAACCAGCTAACGAGAAGTGAGTAATAAATGTAACGCTATGAGAATCTTAAAAATGCTATTAGAACACAAGTATTGATTGGTGTGCTTGTACAGATGTGACGTGTACAGCTTTGGTGTTATATTGTGGGAGTTAGCTACGTCACGCATCCCCTGGAAAGGTTTAAATCCGATGCAAGTTGTTGGAGCTGTGGGATTCCAGAATCGCCGCCTGGAAATCCCTGATGATATTGATCCAACCGTTGCACAGATAATCCGGGAATGTTGGCAAATGTAAGTCCATTTCTTTACTAAATAAATAAAAAATTCCCTTAAAAGTTCATATGAATCCAAGATTACTCCGAACCCCATGTTCAGATTGTAGTGCTGACTACAGTCACTGCAGAAGTGGGTACAATCCGGTCAAGTGGGTCAGTGTTTGGGTTTAACTGGAATCATAATTTGGGTAGACTAAGCTAAGGTGTTGTTATATTCTGCGTGTAGGGAACCACATTTACGGCCGTCGTTTACGCAACTGATGCGAAGCCTGAAGCGGCTTCAGGGTCTAAACATAAGCAACAGAGCGAACACAAGTGAAAATTTGATGTAAGATATGTAGGCAGAAGCTGTTGCTTCACCTGGTCTGGTTCAAAGAGCCAATTGGTGGGGGGATCGCCTTTTTTCTTTTTTGCTTTTTTTCTTTTCTTTCTTCTTTACGGTTAGATGATGAGAGGAAAGAAAGATTGTCGGGCTAGGGAAAAGCTTGTGGAGTTCAATCGAAGTGGGAGCTCTACAACCAAAAAAAAAAAAAAAAAAAGCCCTATGAAAACCCTTTGTAACTATTACTACTAATATTATCATTGCTACCTGTAACGACAAAAATTAGTAAAAAAAAGAAAAGGAAAGAAAATAGAGATGAAGAGAATACGAAAAATCATATGGTGTTCTGTTTTCAATTTTTTTTTTTCATTTTTTTTTCTTTTGGTGTGGGATGGATTTTCCCCATAATCTGGTAATTGTAAACATGTGGGGATTGTTGCTGCTAATTCTTGTAAAAGCATAATAAAAGTTATTAAAAAAAAAAAAGAGATACTGGCATTCAACGGACACAGGGACGTGTGATCTGTTTACGTATTTTTCTTCTTAATCTCACATTATATATTAAATTTTTATTATGTGAGGTTAAAATTAATTACTTTTGATACGTTTAAATTATGTTATTTTAGGTTCTTTATACGACTGTTAAAATTTAGTTTAACGTGCTAAACTATTCATAATGTACGACACTATAATGAAACAAAATAAAACTATTGGTTATATTAAATGGACACAAATATATAGTTTTAACATTTTGTTTTACGTGATTATTCAATTAGTAATTATATAACTTCTACGTTATGTATTCGAATTTTTGGTAAATTTGATTCTGGCTATGGGTTTGATTTCAAATTTTCAGTGAAGAAATACAATAAATCGACTCGACTGAATAAGAGAGAAAAAATGTGACATGAAAATGAAGTAAAGTTCTGCAATTTATCCATATGCTCTTAGGAGTTTACGAAGACCAAGAGATAGATATTATGTACAATTGTTTTGGTCAACTGGAAAGAGAGAAAGTAGAAAACATGAGGAGAGGAAAAAAGAAATAATATAAGATACAATATTGGGCGTTAAAATGGTCCTGGTTTATATTCGCTTTCAGTCTTTCTGGTACCTGATATATACAAATTACCAAAGTAAGTTATAAGGGAAAATAATGCAATGCAAAGCACTTGACCTAGTAAACCAAAACATGGCGGCCAAAACTTGAAGACCCATAAGTGATACTCACAACTAAGTCGTCTCTCTCTCTCTCTCTCTCTCTCTCTCTCTCTCTCTCTCTCTCTCTTTCTCTCTCTCTCTCTCTCTCACCGTTTAGTAAACCCAAAAACATGGCAGCCAGCGACATTCACAAGTAAGTCGTCTCGATCGAAGAGTACCAAAACTTGAAGACCCATAAGTGACACTCACAACTAAGTCGTCTCTCTCTCTCTCTCTGTCTCTCCGCTAGTAAGCCAAAACATGGCAGCCAGCGAGGACTTTTCACCGAAGAGTACCAAAACTTGAAGACCCATAAGTGACACTCACAACTAAGTCGTCTCTCTCTCTCTCTCTCTGTTTCTCCGCTAGTAAGCCAAAACATGGCAGCCAGCGAGGACTTTTCACCAAAGAGTACCAAAACTTGAAGACCCATAATTAAGTGACAGACGACTAACTCTCTCTCTCTCTCTCTCTCGCTCGCACTCTTATCTCTTCACTAGTTTCATCTTGGGCTATTATGCTCTAACTATCTTTAACTTTCATTTACTATAATGACTTTTAACGTTTTTGGGTGAAAACCTATCCTTTTATTTCCATCCCCCTATTTTCTATATAAATGCATAAGCGTGAGGCACACTGATAAGTAAACTAAGAGGGAATATACAAATTAAGATGAAATCTTCCGTAGTCTCTTCCATGCTTGTCGTTCTTCTTCTTCTTCTCGTGTTTCCACATGGCGAACAAAGGGAGCTCCAGAAACTTAGTGAGTCATTTCGTCTTTAGATATTCCGAAGTCTTTATTGTGTCTACGTTATAAGTAATCAGGTTTTTTTAAAAGGGTGTTTGGTTTTGAGTTTTTTTTTCGGAACTGAATAGAAAGAACAAATAACCACTAAAATTAATGATCAAATTACCTTGAAAGCTGACACTGTAATGCGTTTTGGGTGGTGCAGGTGGAGTAGAGACTTACCATCCTGGTCAAGTGACGGTCCAAGCAAGGGGCATTCCGGGAATCCATATTCCTGAACCAAAACCTAATATTCATATTCCTCCTAATTTTCAGTTTCCTCCTCGTCGTCCAACATTGCCGCCTGGTACTAAGTGCCCGAACGGGAAAAAATACGTGGCATTCTGTAAGAAGTATAAAATCCCATTTGCATCCCCTCCACCCCCAAGGTTTCTTTGAGGCAAATATCGACCACCCTGGCCATTGACCTCCCTTTAAGCTTCGAATGCGTCTATATATATATGTGTGTGTCCACTTTTCTTACGTTGTACTGGTTTGGCTTCTGTGCTTCTTTTCATTACCGAATATGCAGATTGGGTGTTTGTCATACATTGTGTTATTGTCAATTTGGGTTTGTTTCTATTTTCTGCCGCCAGTTTAATAATTATGTTTAATAAGCGGCCGCTAATATATATAAAATATTGTTATATCTTTTCTGGTGTTCAAGAGTACCGGCTCTCTTTAGTTACATTCATATGACCATCCAAACATTTCTTAATTACCAGTATACAATATATACTTGGCAGTACGTAAAAAATCACACCGACCAGTTATGATCGAGTGACATCATAGCACAGCTATAAGATTTAAACAGAGCCTTGAAGGATATATGTCAAATGTGTACAAACTTTATAATTGTCCCATTAATTTGCTGCGCTTCTTTTTTTTTCTTTTTTTAAAAAAGGGTTGATCATTACTGTAGTATATACAAATAAAACTGAAAATTGGAAAATAATTTACGTCACAAGAAAAAAAAATTGGGAAGCTGCGATGGCTGCTACTGTGCTCCTCCGCCTTTTCACTCCAATCCCATCCTCCATTAAACCGCCGTCTCGTCACCGCCGATTCCTTCACCACAATTTATTTCCCAATATACCCTTACCGTCCTCTTCTTCACTTGTCAAATTCGGCGCCGGAAACTCCGAACCCCAACCTCCACCGCCTTTGCCGGAGGCCGATTGTCCCGTTCCGCCTGAACAGCAACCAATCAACGAGTACCAGTCTCTCTCCTCCTCTTTCCCTTTCTCCTGGGCCTCTGGAGATCTCGTCGAGTACTCCTCCAGGCTCTTCGTCACCGGCGCTTCTTTCGCGTTTTTCGTCGGGTTACCCGTTTCCTGGTTCGGATCCGTCGGACCCGAATACGAACCCGTCAAGCGGATACTCGCCGCCGGCTCTAGCGGGATCTTCGTCGTCACGCTTGCTGTCGTAAGGATGTATCTGGGTTGGGCCTACGTCGGAAATCGTCTTCTTAGCGCCACCGTCGAGTGTATGCCTTTTTTTACTTTTCCCTATTTCTGCAAAATTACATGATCCTGACTATTTTCAAATTCAATTTGGATTTCTGGTTTGATTTCTCTTTTGTTCTCAAATTGCAATATGTGTATAAGTGTATCTGTGAGGCATTATCATATTTTACTCATTTCTCTGTTTTCCGTAGCTACCTTTATGAATCAGTGAGTATAACTTTACGTTTAGGATGCGCTGGGTTCTTCATTGTTTGTTATGATGAATCAATCTGTCTCTAAAGTTTTGCTTCTTTTTTGTTTTTCAATTTCTTTCTTCTTCTTCTCTCTTTTGCAGATGAAGAAACTGGGTGGTATGATGGTCAGGTTTAAGATTCGTCTCTCTCTATATATCGGTTAAGCTCTGTGGAAGAAAACATTTCTGTTTGTTAATTTCTACACTTTAATTATGGAATCTTGGAAACAGGTATGGGTGAAAACACCTCAAGTCTTGGCGCGAGACCGTCTTCTTGGATCTTTCTCGGTAAGCTATGATCAATCATACAAAAAATCCATGAATTTTGTTGGTTTTTTTTTACTGTCCACTGTATCATATTTCAGGGATTGCTTTAAAGTTTCGAATGAGATCTGTGAAATGATTTATTTGTGTTTGTGTGGTTTCAGGTAAAACCAGTCCTTGCCAGGCTGAAAAACACGCTAGTCATTCTCGGATTATCGCTCATTCTAGTCGTAAACCTTGGCAATTCTCCAATTGCATCGTCTTACAGAACATATAAAGATCCTAGGGACAGATCCTCGATGCCAATACCAGGAGCGTACAATGATGAAACCGCAAGAACGTTCGAACCAGAGGCTTTCTGTGGGGAACCTTCTTCAGATCTCTGAAATCTCCTCATTTCAATACAAAAACAGACAGCTTCTGAGTTCTGATAGTACATATATCTGTACATTCTTGTATATTTTGCGGTAACCAATCTTTACCTATTGCATTCAAAACATGAACCCAAAAGATATTTGATGGGTTGTCTCTTGATGAATCGAAATCATAACTACAGGTATCGAAAGATGTCATATCAATGCTCTTTCATCTCTGAAACTATCCTTGCTTGCTTGCAGCCTAATTTGATTGTACCAAATGTTTTACAAATTATTAACCTAAGAATATATATATATATATATATATATATATATATATATATATAAATGTTTTTACAAATTATTAGTAGCGAAGCACTTTTGTGCTTCTGGAAGGAATTTTGGTGAGTGAATCCGATAATTGATAAGTCAAGTGATAAGAACATCCGAGTCAAAACACAAGATTAGTATATTATATAACAAACACAATAAATTTAGCTTTTCTAAAATACCATATTACGCCCTTTCTATAATTGTCCAACCGTATGAATAAAATCTACTTTTTCAATGTTAACGCTGTATATATTTAAATACCCGCCGAATGGAGAGAAGATCCAAACAAGAAACGGCCTGAGAAAAATGAAAACCCTAGTAATATGGTGCCTTGTTTCGCAAGCAATCAGTCTAACCGTAAACTCAGCTGACAAAGGAGACGTTGATTTTTCCATACTCATAAAAAACGAAATGCAAAATTCCAAAAACCCCGCGGTTTTCTACCATTGCCGATCGTCAGAGAAAGACATCGGATGGCACAAATCGGTTCCCTCGTCCGAGTTTCATTGGAACTTCGAAGTTCCTCAGTTTGGTAACGGCGTGATGATCCACAACTGTGAGTTCCGGTCTAGCCTAGGAACAGCTAACATTGAGATCAAGACTTTGTCTACAACGGCGATTCTATGCGACGGGCAAATATGTAAATACGCGGTTAGGCCTAATGGGATTTATTTCATTGGTTATGAGTTGTATTCTCCGTTTGGAAGGTTTTTTGAATTGTCGAGACCCGTCGAGAAGCTAGTTGAGCCCTGGAAGCCTTGGTCACCGCATCAATTGAAAGCTTTGCGCCATAGAAATTAAGCACCATACTCCGATTTGAGAGATCCTTAGACTACATTTTCTATGTATTTATTCAAGATTGTTTGTATAAGTGATTATATGTATTCTAGTAGCAGAGGTACATCGAGAAATATGTGTATTTATTTATACATTTGAGGAGCTTGGTTTGGCTCATGGATGCTAATGATTGACTTGCTAATGTTTTATTACCTTCTTTAATAAATTTATCTCTACAACTTGCAGAAATGATTGATATCTTCGCTAAATATTTTGCATATCACATGTTTTTATTTATTTAGTGATTGCCACATACATTACACCTTCTAGCAGCTTTTTTCTTCGAAGCTTCATCTCCTGGTTCTCTGTTGCCCCTTTGTTGATGTCTTGTCTTTATTATTTTTAAGGAAATATTAGGCTTTTCAAGGCGTATTAGATTGAAGATTTTTGATAATTGTGTAAAAGTTTCTTGCTTAAAACAGCACAGTCTGTAGTTGATCGTAGACATCTCATGCATGACCAAGCAAGAATGACCTCAAATAGTAAAAGCCACCTTTTATTTGTTTTTTGTTCACTACGCGTGAACATTCCGGTTTCCTTTTTTTTTGTTTAGTTTGGTTTCGCTATACTCAGTTACTTTTTTTTATCCGGTTTGGTTTGGTTTTGGATAAATAAATAAAAATTTGATTTATATTGCATAAATGATTAAATGTATTTTGGTTTGATTAATAATGAATTTTTGTTTATGCAATCGGTTTTGGTTCGGTTGCATTAAATTTGGTTTATGTTTAATTTAGTAGATATATAACCATTGTTACCATTTCAGTTTCGATTTGGATGTCCATCTCTCTCATTCAGTTTCGAGTCTTATGTTCTTTTGTTTTTCTTCTTTCCAAAAATAAAGAAAACGAGTCCTGTGACTCATGTCTTATAGAAATTACAAATTTGGAAGAGATGACTCTCTTAACGGTGTAATCTCCATCATTCGAGTCTTTTGATCCTCACATGTCCGATTTGTTACCTAAAAGCTTATTCGAATCCATTATTTTTCTAATTTTTTTTTTTAAATTATTGAAAAAAAACACAGAGGCGGATCAAGAAATCGGAATGAGGAGCATCCACAGGTGGTGCATTGTCCTAGCGACAGTGGCTGTGGCGGCGTTATTACCAGTTCCAGCGAACGCAGGACGCGTGGAGCTCAAGAACGAGATCACCGGTCTCCCTGACAGGAGAGCAAAGCTTGCCGTGAGGTGCTGGTCGAACGAAGACGATCTTGGTTGGGCCGTGTTAAAGCCAGGAGAAGCTCGGAGCTGGAGATTCACGACAATGAACATGTGGCCGTTCAAGAAAACAGAGTTCCGGTGCCGGTTCCGGAGCGGGTTAGGGACGACCAAGGAAGATTTGGTGACGGTTTTTTCGGTTCGAGATGGGTTTCGGAAAGAGTGCAAGTCGTCGGAAACAGGCGTAGATGAGTGCGTTTGGGTTGCAAAGAGAGACGGTTTCTATCAGAGGAGAGTCGTAAGAGATATGATTGGTTTAAGATACAACGTCGATGTTCTTCGAAGCAAATGGGTTTGGAAATGGTGATATGATTAAGAACGAACTCTCTTGTAACTTTTCTTCATTTATGAACCAAACACAGAGCAATGAAATATATCTTTATTCTTTAGCTAATTTTTACTACTCTACTTGTTCGATTTTTAAGATTTTAGAATCCGACATTATGGTAAAAGAATATCATTAATTTGTCTATGTATTACTAGTGCCGCTCGTGAGACAAACAATTATGCGTTCATAAGATCTTTAAACTCCACGTTGGTGCGTGTAGCTTCTCTAAGACTAGACTGAACAGATGACAAAATAAACGATCCGGTTTTATTTTCCCAAAATCCAATTATCATAAATTCGAACCGACCCAAGAAAACAAAATTTAATCTCGTATAAATTCCTTTATAAATTACAGATAAATTTTGCTACAAATCAAATACGAATCAAAAATCAAAACTGTTTAAAACCGAATAACATAGTATTTGGTTTTCTATTTCAGTTTTTATATAAAGGGAGATCCCAAAATAACAAAACGGAAATGTTTATTTTTGATAAGAAAAAAAAAAAAGAAAACTTACCAGAAGTTTGTTACTTTGTTTTGTTTTGTCAGGAAACCAAAAGGCCAAAGGGAAAAGAAGCTCAACATAAAACGTCCAAAACCACTCCCGCTTTGTTGTTGTTCTTGTTGTTGTTAAATAAACCACTCATGTTTATATAAATTCCCAAAACAAAACAATTTTTTTTTCTAAAAAACAGAAGTGTTCAAGAGAGCAAGCAATGGGGATGGGGTGCACGATCGGTTCAAGATTCCGATTAGCCACCGCATTCACGTGGTGCCTTCTCATCGCATCCACAACAGCAGCCCGGTTTGAGGTGAGAAACGAGATAACCAAATACCCGGGACGAGACCGGCGTCTCTCGTTTAGATGTTGGTCGTCTAATAACCAATTGGGGAACCAGGATCTCAAACCGGGCGAATCCAAAAGCTGGTCCTTCACGCCAGTATATATCAAGATACCGTTCCTCTACACATACTTTCAGTGCACCTTCTTCACCGCTTTTGGCTCGCCTTATGGTCAGACCCTACCGGTTTTCGCCGGTGAGAGAAAGTTCAGGTGGCAATGCGACAATCCCGAGGAGGAAGAGTGCATTTGGGTGGTCAAGAGAGAAGGTGTTTTTCTAAGGAAGATCACAAGAGACAATCATGGCCAAAGGCTCTACGAAGACGAGTTGAAACTGTCTTGGATCGGCGGTACTAACTACCACCCGGTTCAAGAGGAGGATACTTAAATCTCAACACTTTCCATGTCCGATTCAGTTTATATATATATAGCAAATATCAGAAAGGTTATGTATCTTCTTCTTTTTTTTGTGTATGAAACTGGATAACAAGATGCGGAACTTAGAAGATAAAACAAAAAAAGCTTTTATCTCTTCTCTTTATGTAAGGTTAGCAACTTTGACATCAATCCACAATCAAATCCAACAGAGGAAAGAGTATACAATTGCGTCTAGAGTGGAGATGATCACAATTAAATACCTGAAATTTCGTTTTTTTTTTGTTTAAGCTCCATATTTTGGGGCCTTCCAAAGTTTGAAAGCAACTTCGTGGATGAACCGATCAGCCGGTATAACAAGATTTCCACAGAGCTACGATGAAAAACAGAGAACAAAAAAGAAGCATGAGACAAGCCATGCCATATATTACAGCGGAACTTGCAATTAAGTAGAATTCATTACCTTTTTGAGAGCTTCAAATGATAACGTATCAACTAAGTCTTTCCGGGTCACAGCATGCTGCCACTGAGCTACCAACATAGGACAGTAGTCCCTGTAGGTTGCAATAATGACCAAACCGGTCAAGAACGCAATTATAACTTCAGAAATTTTTTAATCAAATACATTTGGTTTTGACAAAAATAAAAAAAAATGAACTCTTACCGAACATCATCCCGTGTCTTTTCACCTCGCATGGTGTAGCTCTGACGCGGGACAAGTCCTGCAAATGCGGGGTTAACGCCTTCTTGTAGAGTCTTGACAGAAAAAACTGAAACATCCTTGTCTGTGACAGAACCGTAGCTAAGAACAACAGACAGATGCAAGCGCGATACAATCTCTGAACCCGGTTGAGCCATTCTCATAATACTACCAATCAAAGAGTCGATAACTCCCACGTTGTTCCCAGTACGCAAGTCTTTATGTTCATCAACCCCCATATGCACAAACACCGAGTCGTATAGGCTCACATCCAAGCACTTTCCTCCTTCAAATCCAAGCAGCCTTAGTAACTTCGATGCCGTGGCATCAGAAGGAGAGGAATCACTCTTATGGCATATTTCACTAAGCTGTAATACATCTAAGCCAATCAGTTTTCCGAAAGAACTCAGAGTAGAACAGTCCGTTACTAAAGCAGCCTTGAGTCCCATAAACCTGCACCATAATATTTGTGCCAGTGACATCAATGTCAAAACTAGCATCATCATCTGGAAATACTGGCTATTTATTATCCAAAAGAGTGTGAAAACTATACAGATAAGAGAAATGGCAAACCTTTCAGCCAAAGTTGAGATTTCATTTTCACTTTCCTTAGCTTTTAATCCAGTCTGTTACAAAAGAAACAAAAATCATGGATTTTTAGCCTCTACTGTCGTGAATAAAACTATGTACCAATACACCACCTAACTCGGCTCGCATAAAAATTCATTCTCAGAGAGTGAAGTATCTCACGGCTATAGTATAAGCTTCTGATGCATCGAGCAAATGGGCGAATTCTCGAACTACCCTTTCTTTCTCAGATTCTGCAAGTGAATAAAAACATGGTAAATAAATATCTAGTAGCAGAACAGCAAAGCGCTGGCAAATGTAACACAAAGTGATTTTTTACTCTTCGATTTTTAATATATTTGGGTCAAATTGCATAGATGAAGCAAAAAACTATTTTTCATTTCCTCTTCAACACACATGACACTAATCATGGATTCCATGTTGCCCAGTTAGATCAAGACAGAGAAGACTCAAAGTGAGCTGCTTTGCCAGTTTCATATTGATATTTGGCTTAAAAAACAATATTTTGGTATTTTTGATCAAACGGATCCAAATGCCTCACAAAATCAAACGACTCTCAAGTTTGACACGGTTCATTTCTGATAAACACCAGTCTCAAACAAGGATCGCCAATAAATGGGGAGAAATTCAATAAGTAAACCGGCGATCATGACCGAAATTGTTTGACTAATCAACGAAAGTAGGCCAATTAAGAGAGTGAGGGGGAAAGAGAGAGACCTGGAGGCGCATGAGGAAGGCTCAAGAAGCCACAATTAGCGACGGAAGCGAGAGAATGGATGTGGGTATTAGACGGGTCAACGAATCGAGCCAAGCCGTCTCCGTACAATACAAGTGCTCTGCTTGGTTTGTCCGCCATTGTTGTCAAAGGAAGAGATGAATTGTGGGAGAGAGAGGAATAAAAATATTGTATATATTTGTTTGTTTTGGTATATTTTTCTGTTATTTTTTATTTGTAATCTTTTTCGGATAAATACTGAACCCATATGAATTCAACTTTATCCTAGCGGTCGGATCGGTGGTTAAATCCAAACATTAATTTGGTCCCATTCATAAACCGGACTTTTATTGTTCTCAATCCAGAAAATGCCGGCAAAAACCAATAATCCGTCATAAACTTATTTGATTTTACGATTGATTTATTTTATTTGATGATCAGCCTCGAGTTATCGTATGTAATTGAGTTGATCCGTAGATAGGCGGACAAGGAGTAGATGATAAAAACTGATGAATTTTCAAAAGTAGAAACTCTAAAAGAGAGTCCATATTGAGTATGGCGTGGACATCTTAGCCAATTTCCAAAAAAATAACACTGAATGATTTATATGTATAAGATGTTTGTCCTAATCGAAATCATTATTCATGGGCCACACATGGTGCAGGGCAGTTGTATAATGCAACGAAAACGAAAAACAACATCCAGATATATAATTTTCTTATTTACAGATATATAATCCATCGTCGGCTACTATATAATAGTGTATGTATGGACTAGTTGTTTGACCATTGCAATCTCTCTTTCCCCGCTCTTCGAACAGTCCCTCTCTCTTCTCATCTCATCTCACTTTCTTCTTCTCTCTCTCTCTCCCCACCCCACTTGCGCACTCGCGACGCCACGCGACGGTGTTTAAACCGGTACCGGTTTTCTTTACCGTGCCCCATACCGGTTTAATCCAGATTCAGTCCTGCCATGGTGGAAGGGGGAGGAAGAAGAAGAAGAAGATCCTTACTCTCCTTTGAACTTGCTCTCCTTTTCCTCTGTTTCTCCTTCGCGTCTCCCCGGGCTCTCCCTGATTCGGATCTGTTAGACGAAACCCTCGGCAACTCCTCCGTCGCATCTCTGAACGATTCTTCTCTTGTTAAGCCCAAGGAAGGTAGCTTCGCCGACATCATCGATCGCGCTCTCGAAAAGGAGTTCAACGATAGCGACCAGAATGAAGGTACTCTTTCTATCTCTACCTGAGAACTTTATGATGTTGAAAATGGCGGCCATTGAAACTGGAATCGGTCCTACCTATCCCATTTTCATGATTTTTTAATTTTCTTCTAAAGATTCTGGTTCAGTGTTCTTCCCACTCGTGTTTGAGGATTCATCCAACTCACGAGTGAGATCTTAAATTGGATCTCTGATCCCTGGACGATTCGGAACTTAGATTGATCACGATCCCACAATGTGGAGTAGTATTAGTATGCTTCTTCTGGATCGAGAATGACTGCAGAACGATAATTTAAAAAAAAAAATTGTTTTAATGATTGGTTTCCTGAAATGGATAGATCTTGTCTTCTTTAGCCTTTACTATTAGTGGCGAACTTTGTTATTATCTTTATTTTGTTGTTATATTGATGGCAGTGGCCGATCCTGGAAGCTTCAACAACAGTGTAGCTGGACAGCAGGTTTGTATGATAAGTGGCTCATGTATCATTTCCTCATTAATATATTTCCAAATTTGGAAGAATTTTTGTTTATTTGTTTGTTTATGCTTTAGCAGATTCAAAATCGCTCCCATGTCTATTCATTCGAATAAATAGCAAAGGCTTGCTTTAGATTCGATCTTTTGTTTCATGAGTTTCATAATATGAGTCTCTGAATGTGATCTTGATTGTTGTACCTTGTGGTGATCAGGCTGTTCTGGAAACTGTAGCCAGAGTAAAGACAACAAAGAAAAATGAGACAAAAGAGGAGAAGTAACACTATTCATTTCTAGTTATTGTTTTGTTTCTAAAACTTCCTTATATGACCTTCTATAGTGTTTTTGAATTTTATACCTATTAAGCGTTTTCTAATTTCCCTTAGGCGATTCCAACTCCATGATGTTTTCAACTTGGACAATGATAACAGAGCTGAGGATACTCCGACTCTGATTGATCGAAAAGTAAGCTTTAGCACAGGAAGTCAGAGTTTTGGATTTCTTGTATTTGTTCTTACATGGTAATTTTGGTTTTGTTTACAGGACAATGTCTTCATCATATCCAATTTCAAATCCAAGTATCCAGTATTGCAGCTAGACTTGAGGCAAGATTCTTACTTATTAATTGATTAAATTTCTTTGAAAATTAGACTCGGGGATTCTTAATTAGTCATCTGATTTGTGCTTCTTATGGCATGTAGACTGATATCAGACCTGGTGGTTGTCATTGTGTCTGCAACTTGCGGTGGTATCGCCTTTGCTTGTGCTGGACAGCCGGTTTGACTTTCATTCTCTTCTGTCATTATAAATTTAGGTTTTCAGTATGATGTCTCTATCTTCACATTTTGTGAATCAATGCAGGTGATAACTGGATATTTGCTAGCAGGATCTATCATTGGGCCTGGAGGATTGAACTTCATCAGTGAGATGGTCCAGGTATTTAGGAACTATTTTCTTCTGAGGGTCTTTGACTAGGAACTCTTTTCTTCAGACTTCCGGGGGTCAAAACAAATTGAGCTAATATCATGTGATGGTGCATGGATAACAAAGACCTTAGTTCGTCTTTTAGTAGGAAACTATAGCATTAGACTGCTGTGGAGATGGGAATGTATATCTTTGCATAATTTTATGTGATCTTACATGTGGATTTGCACCTTCATTTTGGCATGGTTATTTATGTAGGTTGAAACAGTCGCCCAGTTTGGTGTGGTATTCCTGCTCTTCGCATTGGGTCTAGAGTTCTCCACTGCTAAGGTGATATCAACGTCTTTGATTTGCTTAGTATCAAATTGAAATCTTCTCTTGACCACCTTTCCTCCTACTATGTAGCTTCGAGTTGTTCGATCAGTTGCTGTTCTGGGAGGCCTTCTTCAAATTCTTCTTTTTATGTTCTTGTGCGGAATCACAGTGTCGGTGCGTCATTCTTTCACCAGTGGCTCAGGAAATTTTTCTCTGTTTTTGTCTTTTACTCGTGGACATTTAGTTCTATAAGTTTCATTTAGTTTATGCAGCTTATAGTGTCATGTCTTTGAAAGTTAGGCACTCGTATTAGAAGTAACTCTCTGTGAAATGCTTTCAATTGGTCCCGTTTGCAGTTATGTGGTGGTAAACGTTCGGAGGGTGTATTTGTAGGAGCATTTCTGTCAATGTCATCAACCGCGGTGGTAATTTCAGTGAATTCTATAATTCTTATATAACCATTTCCATCAGCAGGCTTTCTTATTAGTATTGTTGATTGTATGTTTCATTATGTGTTTCTGCCTTCAAACAATAGGTGCTGAAGTTTCTCATGGAAAAAAATTCAACTAATTCTCTTCATGGCCAAGTTACAATTGGAACCCTAATTCTTCAGGTATCTGATAGTATTTCCATCAACATGTGATGTCCATTGTCTTTCTAGATTGTTTAGTGTTTATATGGCAATCAAACAATGACCTTTTTCTTGTAGAATTCCTTTTCAAATGATTTGGAGATCTGATTTTAGCATCTGTTTCTAGGACTGTGCTGTGGGTCTGCTGTTTGCTTTGCTTCCAGTTCTTGGGGGAAATTCTGGCATTGTTGAGGGAGTATTCTCAATGGCAAAAGTGTAAGGAAATACTGATAAGAGTTATTTTTCCTATCGCGTAATTTAAAGAATCGATGTTAATAATTCCTTTTCGGTCTATTATTTAGGGCGGTTGTGTTGCTTTCGTTTTTGGCTGTTCTGTCAATATTATCACGGACATGTATCCCTTGGTTGCTGAAGCTAATGGTCAGCTTATCGTCACAGGTACATCATTTTGCTCTCAAGCTTATTTTCCCTATCTTCTGATCTAATGAATCCAGTTTCTAGATTAACCTAAACTCTTTTTCATGGATCAGACAAATGAACTCTATCAGTTAGCCGCTGTTGCGTTTTGTCTACTTGTAGCCTGGGTGAGTCCTACTTAGTCTTTCTCTTCCTCATGATCTTCCTTATTAGTATCCATCTCACATTGTTTTCATCAAGTTTCTTTTTCGTGCATTCGTTCGCCTAGTTTTCTGATATATGAGAATTTTTCTATTGACTTGTTTATTTAAATGGTCTTTCATGTCTTCAGTGTAGTGATAAGCTGGGATTAAGCCTTGAACTGGGTTCTTTTGCTGCCGGGGTCATGATATCAACTACGGATCTCGCTGAACATACGTTGGAGCAAGTAAGTTTTGACTAGTTATTACCAAAAAGGCTTTACTGTTTTCCCTGTTCAATCATAGCACGGGTTCTTACAGGGTGAATATTATGACCAAAAAGTAATCAGTTGACAAGTATCCGATCTAACCTCTGAAAGAGTTGATAGTCTGACTCAGATGCTTTATAATTCGCTGCAGATCGAACCCATCCGTAATCTATTTGCTGCTCTTTTCCTAGCCAGCATCGGAATGTTGGTTAATGTCCATTTTCTGTGGACCCATGTGGATATACTGTTAGCCTCTGTAATATTAGTAATTATTATAAAGACAACGATAGTTACAACAGTTGTCAAGGGATTTGGATACAACAACAAGACTGCTCTCCTGGTAAAAGATTCTGTCTCAAATGACTTATGATCATGTTTGCTTTCGTGTACTCTCCTCTCTGTTTGACCAAGTCTTATGAAAATGATGCAGGTTGGAATATCTTTGGCTCAGATAGGGGAGTTTGCCTTTGTACTACTTAGCCGTGCCTCCAATCTTCACCTCATCGAGGTAAGTGACGCAACTGGTCCTCGTTTGATAGGATTTAAGAATTTGAAGAAAGAAGCTTAAAAGTTTTGAAAATTGTCAGGGGAAACTCTACTTGCTTCTCCTCGGGACAACCGCTCTTAGCCTGGTATGATAAAATCATTTTGGTTTCCGACTCTCTTATATGTGTTCAAGTAGCTGAGCTGGTTTGGTTTTTGTATGGGGCAGGTTACAACACCTCTGGTTTTCAAAGTGATACCAGCGGTTGTGCATCTTGGAGTACTGTTAAGGTGGTTTTCTCCAGAGAGCTCTATAGAGGTAAAGGTTAGTTTGGTTTTTTGGTTGGTGTCCAGGTTCTTTCTTCGTATATGTAATAAATAACAAAGCTTTGGTTTTGGTTTTGGATTTGTGCAGAAAGGAGAAATTGTAAGATCAGAAAGTGGTAAACAACGGATGTCACGCCAATCTCACAATTCCTAATACCAGAATTTTCTTCTCAGGTGAAGTAAGTTTTGGAATACCAAATTTTGACAAAAGACATCTGTGAAGGGAAAAAAAGAATATTTTAACACTAACATTGTTTGCTTCCTCCTCAAATTCACTGACCTCTGCCCTTCTTACACAACCCATTTGTTTCCCTTGTAATTAGAGAGAGTATTGTTTCTTTTTCTCTTTCCTTAATTGTTGTAATCTGTAATAAACATTTAATCAATCTTTCTATTACGGTACAAGAATTTGGGAATTTTCTGTTTAATCATCACATATATACAGTATCTCCTATATTCTCACCTTGCTTAATTAATCTTTTGAATAGAAATCTGCAAATGAGTCTCCCTGTTTCTTGCACCTCATACTTGAAACTCGAACGCGTACTTGCCTATCCAAACATCGTCATGATGTGACATTTTCTGCATCTATGGAGTGATATAGTGATCGCAAGCCCACAGAGAAAATGTAAAATATTGGGAATAAATATTGCTTTTTTTTTTTTTTTATAAATATTGCTTTCACACACGCAAAAGTGTGAAGGATCAACATATATTATATAAGAGAGATGTGAGCCAATCTACATCAATTGGGTTTGTATCATCATCTCAAGGGGCGATGTTACGATACCACATAGACTTGTCCACTTGAACCTCACATGCATGAGCCATTGAGCCTTAAACTTTTTGTCATCGGAGTCCTCATTTTTGTGTGTTCATGTTAGTCCATTCCGTAGATTACATTTGCATTTGAAATTCTTAAAAAGTACATGTACAGAATGGAAGTTGATATCAAATATTATGGGATTTTCCTTCAATAATTTATTCAACGGAATGTACAGAATACAGACAGAACAAGAACAGCTACCACAAAAAAGCCCCACTGAAGACAACTTTAAAGAATCAAAATATAACATCTGTATTTTCTCTACCTTAATATCAATCCCTTCTCCATCCCTTTTTCACTCTTTTTCTTCTCACACTCTCTATATATATAGATGATCAATATCTGCCTATATCTACAGCTCAATTCATAACAGACGAGCAGCTCCAACTTCAACAATGGCGATTTTATGTGATGTATCATGTATATATGTAATAAATGTCTAGCAGGGTAGACAGTGTCATAGGGCGAGTCGCGTCTTGATGGGCTTGAGCTTCAAGCCCATATTTTCAGGGGAGAGAAGCTCAGGGGAGATTCGGGTTGGGCTCAAAGGACTCCTTGGGCTTACACTCTGTGTAGGTCGATATAAGCCATATCCCATTAAAAAGTATTCCATTGGTATTACCATCGCCTGTGGCTGTTCTTCTGTCACCAACGACCCACTTCCTTGTACCTGTTTAATTTGAAGTCCACCATTTTTAATACAATTATGATTTAGAGTGTGCACAAAGAAAACAGACATATCAATGGTTGATGTATTGTTGTACCTCGACTAATGCACCGTATCGTCTGTCTAGTTTGGTGGTCATGTGAACGGCCTCGGAGTGGTACGCAGAATTTTCACCAATGAATATTAAAGTTCTGCATTGCAATTTCCTCAACCCATCGCTGAGATCCCCTCTCCTGTTTCACCCAAACCCAAATATATAAGGTACATTTCTTTCAGCTTTGGACGGAAGAAAATACATTGCATAATCTTTGAAATGATATCAACTGAGAGAAACAAGAATTACCCGTTGATTGCCTCAAGGAATCTCCATACATTTGTGCTCTGCCGCTCACAAAGTAACTGGATAGTGGAGAATACAACATATCAATTTTACGGAATATTACATCAAAAATTGTCAAAGCATCAGGGAATTGCAAGGAAAGAGAATATTACTAACTCTTCTGCATTCTTGAACAATATCCGATTCTGGAACTTGAGCGTTACCACGAACTTCCTACAAGTCAAAAAAGCTTATCATTTGGCTAATGCATTATAAAAATATGTCACACTCAAAAGTATAAAAAAAAGTGGCTTCGTCTTGGGGTCAATACACTATTTACAAGAAACCTTTGAAAGCAAAAGCGTACCTTGCTGAAATACCGTTTTAGTAACAATTCCTTGACCACCCCACACATGCCATAGTAGTAAAGTAAATTAGACATAACCTGCATAAGTTAAAGTGACTGATATAAGAATAAACCCAAGTGATAACCAAAGAAGATATATTTGTGAAACAAACCTTATTGCACAACCATTCTGACCAAGAAGGCGCTTGGCACAGTGGAGAGACGAGAATTAACCCCAGAACTCTCTGCCTGTACTTCATCTGGAAGAATCGAGTTTCGAGAAAAATTAAAAAATTGGACATCAAGTTGAATGATAAGCTTAAGATAGGTGCCGTTACTGTAGATGACAAATACTTACAGCAAATAAGGTCAGAACATAAGCTCCTGCTGTGACACCCATACACATAACTGCACCAAGTCTGGATAAGAACCAATAAGCAATGAAGGAAGAGAAATTTAGGAAAATAAGAAAACAATAGTCAATCTTTCTTCTACCTAGTCGCCAGAGAAAGAATTTGGTTAACGAGAGCCAATACAACGCTATCAAAAGAATATAGGCAGCTTAATGAAATAATTTTCACAAATACAACTTATGCGGGAGATGAATTCTTACCCGAAAAAGTTAAGAACCTCGACTATCTGGTCTGCTAAGTCGTCAGCTGAGAGCAAAGGAGCATCAGCACTGATCATCGGAGCTCCCAACTGCAATGATTCTTGAAGAAAGCGATGTAATAAGGGATATGAATTGCATTATCAAGGGATTGTAATAGCAGTTAACAGTAAAATACCAAAAACATACAAATTATGTAAAAGATCATACTTCAGTTACCAACCTCATGGCCAATAGGACTTATGTGATATATGCAAAAGTTGTGAAGTAACAAGGAACTAGCTTCTGGACAAAACAATAATCCTTGAAAACAGAACATATCTGCACAAGATGAACGCAACATATTACACAAAATTCCTTTTCTAATCATATCGATAAACTACTGAAGTTATGGCATATTTGATAAGTATAGTGGAAGATTTGCTTACAATTTAAAGCTACATCAGGATATGTGACAAGCGCTGGTTTATCTGGATCTCCACAAACGGCAACACATACGGGGCCATAAGTAGTCTCCACAAGGTGTTCCTATCAGCCAAAAAAAAGTAGAATTTAATTCAGTAACCAATTACTCTATCAAATAAATGAAGGAAAAATATAAATATGCATAGATTAGGACCACAGCCATAACTTTCATTTCCCTTCTAAGTAATATAGATTAGAAACCAGTTTTTTTTTAAAAAGAACCAAAGTTTCCCAGTATGATCATATACGCAGACAAGAATTGGTTTAACAAAAGGGATCATTAAAACTTTAAACATCAATAGAAGAACCAAAACTTCATTATGGAATTTTACAGTAAGAATAACAAGACAAGAAAAAGAATGAGGAAAAAGAATGTGGAAAATGCAAGAGTTATATACTTGGAATCTAGTAGAACAAGAATTGGATCAAATAAACCTGTTCTAAATTAAGGTGTCAATTTAGCCATGAAATGGGGAATGCATGAAAAATCCCAATAGAAAAACATCCCTAGAGAAAAAAAAAAATAATCAACATCAAGCAGAATAGGCGAATCAGGTTATCGACAACACATTTCGTGATTTTGGATAAATCACCGACAACAAAAGCATCATTCCAATTTTAGCTCCAAACGATAATGAAGCAATAAAAATTAGCAACATGAAAGTTTCCCAGCATAATTGTGGAACAAACGATTCCAGAAATTGCTAAAACCAAAGTATCATGATCATGATTACAGCAGAAAAACAAAACAGATTCCAGATAAATAGTAATTTAAGAACAAAGCAGCTCGGAGAACGCAGAAAGCAAAAACAAAGCCAATAGAGTACCATTTCTCCTATATTGTTCTTCCCTTAAATCCTCAGTAAGCAAACAAAATCCTATAAACTCAAAAAAAAGAAACCAGAAATTCGAACGATAATTTACCTGTACTCCAAGAGACAATGCCTCCATATCAATGGAGACAGAATCGCTCGAATCCGCCATCTCTGTCTCTCTCTCCTCTTATATTTCAATAAAAAGCAGAGTATTATCTTTCCATGGCGTTCTCTCTCTCTCTCTCTCTCTCTCTCTCTCTCTTCTCTTCTCTAACAAAACGATGGCTATCTTCGTTTTTTTCTGTTTATAAATAGAAGACTTGTGACTAAAAAAAATGAGAAAAAACCAGGAATAACTCGTTTACACGACCCGTACTGAGTCACCGACGGTCGACTCGGGTTTAATGTAGGACCTGCAAAAAATAATCACAAGGCTTAACTAGATACCATGATCAACTTAACCTTGGTTAAGGAACCGACAGTTCTTTATTTTTCCTAAACCATTACATTATCGGTCCCTCTATTTTATTAATCATTCATATTGATGCCACGCTCTTTCTACTCGGCTAATGTTTTAACCCAAAACGTGTCGGCACCCTCATTTTCCACTGTTTTTACTTTCCTTTTCTGTTTTTTTTGGTACAATTCTTTTTTATCCAGCCACTTATTTAAAATAATTCATATTCATGTTTTAAACAATTGTTTATCATTAAAAAAAAATCTCTAGCTTGAATTTCACGTTGGATTCATCTCATTTTTACCCGTCAGGAAAAATAAAGAAGAGAAGAGAAGAGAACAATAAATTGATGAAGGAAATTTCCTCGTCTAATAATATAGAGAGAGATTAAGTGATATATATAAAAGTACAGGGGCCAAAACCAATTAAGCATTTTTGCTTTTGAGAAAAAAGTCTGCGTACTGTTGACTTTTTGACCAAATTGGTGAATCCTGGAGACAGGAGAATGAATGAATCCTCAGCCGTTGGATTTTAACTTGTTTTGTCGTCTTTCCCTTTTATGTTTAGTCTTCTCCCGTTTTAAAATATGAACACCGTGTGGTTTTGTATAGCAAAAAACGGGGTCCATTGCATGGAGAGTGAGAACACCACATGTCGTTTTCCTGTCGAGTTGGTATGTGTCATTGGCACCCCAACAAGAGCGTACAACCATAAGTCCCTTTTGCTTAATTATAAATCCGGCCAAATTTTCTTTTATTTTTATAATTCCCTTTATTATATGCTCCATATCTGAGCATCATAATTATATTGACCGTGACATAAAAATAGAACTAAACATTGACAACTGATATCAGTGAAAACGTATATTCTTTTGCAACAATGGAAGGAGCAGAGATATCTTAAATTAGTTTCATTTGGTTGATTAATCATGCTCTAAATAACTGTAATCATGGTTGTTAGAGTTCATTAATTCATCGTGTTAACTTGAATGGTTGTATAAGAAATGCCAAACTCGATGGAATATTCTCAATCATACTGTGATATGCTTTATTTCTTATTACTCCATTTTACACATTATATGATTGATTGCAATTTGCAATCCAACAACTTAGTCGCGTTTCAAAGTTTATTTAATTAAATATCTAGAGAACAAAAGGGAGATGAATTCAAAAGGAAAAGCTGGCTAGTCACCGAATAAATGTACCTATATATTATTTCCTGAGTAAATATTACACCTGTTTATTATTTTATGAGTTATAATTACATATTAGTTGCATAGCGTCTTATATCCCCACCTTTCGCTATATATAGTTGTTTTTTCCCTTGTTTTTATCCTATGTTTTTCATGGATATATTTTAATGATCAACCCACCAACCACGTTTCTTAATCTTCACATTTAGGATTCCATTTCAGTAGGAAATATTTTTATCCTAAGTTTTTCTCTCTAAAGTTTTGCTCCTATCAAACAAATGGTATAATGACCACTATAAGACTTGGAATCATGTATTTCAGTACATGTTCAATATATTGTTATTTGATTAACGATTTTACATCTCAACTGAACATGGTGTTATTGAAATAATTATTTGAAATATTTTAAAACAAACTAATGAATCTAGTATTAAACAAAAATAACCGATTATCTGAGAAGTCTTTGCATTAATTCCGATCTATCGGTCACACTATGATTAACATGCCAGGCAGTTTCCTTGCCTATGATAGAATATAAGTTTTTTTTTTATTTAAAATCTTGTAATTTAAAAGTGTGGGGATCCTTCCGATTTCATATAAGACTATTTGTATTTTCTCGAGTGAAGTGGTTGTTTGATCAATTAAGAGATAACAGTAACTGTTTCCTAATTTCTGATTAAATGAGGGCACGTGTGACGCCATTACTCAGCTTTAAAGCTTAGCTTACAGTTTGGAGTATAAATGATAATTTATTTAGTTGCTGTCTCCATCTCTCCACCATCACTCATCAAATCTAATATACGAATCATCTCATTTATATAAAAATGCCTATACACGAATCTTCGCCGAGAATATTTATGTAGTAAATTACGTCCACACGCAAAAAGAAGCATAACTACATTTTGTAGGGAAAGTTGTGTAAAATATATATATATATATATATAACACCAAAAAGCATATAAAATAGTATCCATATCCAAAAGTTACATTAGTTTTGTTTTTTACATTATCTAGCGACATTTCTTTGCTTTAAATCCAATTCTTTACATCATGGCTATTTGGCTTACATGGAAGTTGTTGCAAAGATTAATTACGTGTCCATCTGTAGAAACTTCCATTACTTCACGTTTAAAGAAAATGAAAAAGTAAGACACTCATACTCTAGTTCGATTAGAATCCAACAACACAATAAGAACATTCCTGAGATAGAATTTTTTAAACGTGAACAATGAGTTACTCAGCTAATTGTTTCGTAAATAGTGGTTCATATGAAAGACATTTGAAAAGACTGTTTTGGCGTCATATGTCATCAAGGTATACTAGCAGTCGCAAGAGTTATTTTAGGATATGTAAAACTTAATAGTATAATTTGGTGTACACATGTAAATGAAAACAAAACATGATTATCATGTTTGCAGTCATTTTAAAGATCATTTCTTACCATTTAGATTTCCTTTTTTTCAAAACAAAAGCTACATCGATTTGAGATTGCTGGTGTAAAATAGCCACATAAAAATAGCAAAACTCATTGAAAAGAGCATAGTCAGCATACGAATGTGTTGTCAAAAAAAAAAAAAAAAAAAAAAAAAAGAGCACACGAAGGCCCATTAACATTAACAGAGCAAGATGAACAACAAAACCCATGAACCTCTTTGTTTCTCTTTAGTTCTTAATGAATCTCAGAATTGGTACATATTGCTTGCTCAGTCACATCAGTCATATCTTTGTGATTCTGGAGATGGAGAAGAAATCAAAGACGCCACTGATCTTAAAGGACTTTTAATAGCTCTTTACTATATGAAGGTTCTAATTACTTACAAAGTGAACTTATTGTAATCTCTAGACAACAATAACTTCAGCAGCATTCTTACATTTCTAACATATGTGGGTTTCATTAGGCCGATCTCACCTATGACAAGTGGTTCAAAACTCATAGCTCCATGTCTGAAACTTCAACCTCAGTCCCATTCACCAAACGATCCGAGAAGACAAAAGGTTGAAAATTGGAGTTCCCTTGAAGGTTGATGTGTCTATGTTTGAAGAGTTTCACTCTCGTTTCTCCCTCCTTATTATGCCTCTCTTCTTTACGCTTTCTTGTGCTACTGCTGAGATTTGAGATAGATGACACTATGTGATCATCAGCCATTTCTGCATCTTGATCATCAGCAATGTCAGCTTTGAGACTGAGATCTGGTCTTGACCTGTGAATCACTGTTTTGGCATAGTTTTTGGAATGGTCACAGTCGAAAACCCTTAGTCCTTGCTCTTCAAAGAATACAAGCCATTCTGGGGATCAGGTTTTGTACATTGGGTTAGTCAATTGAGACATAGTAGCTCCAAATAACAGATGGGAATGTCCCGTGGAACAAATGACTCAAGAAAGCAGTCAACATGACCTATATAAAGAGATAAAGGAAGCAATTTACCGATGAAGGATGCGGGTGTCGAGTTTATCAGTGTGTCTGCATCTCTAATCACTTCACCTTGACTGAGTATCCAATTGATCAAGTGATAAGGAATACGTGAGTTGGAGAACATGTCCATGTACCTGCTGGTTTCCTCTTCATCTTTATTTCTCCTGTGTGTCATTCTTTGGAGTATCAAGCAAAACAATCAAGTAACCGAAGAAATTACTTTGTTTGGCCAATAACTACAGGCATACCTTAGAGAAGCCATAGCATGGTCAAACAGAAATAACCAGTTAATGGCAATATTCTTCAAGTGTAAACTTCTTTGTGAAGTTCCATTTCCAGGGTTGAGGAATAGCTTCTCCGCCGATTCAATCACAGCTTCAGTTATGATTTTCTTTAACGTAGCTTGATCTTCCGGACCCTGAAAGATTAAAATCTTCCCATGAGAACATAACTCAATCCTATGTTACATAGAATGTGATTCAATAAAGCAACTACAGCCTTTCTTAAGCATCCAATTATACAAACGCAGGCCATTTAACAGTGCCCTTGCAGTCTACTGACATACAATATGATTCAACAAAACAACTCAAACACATTTGATATGAAGAACAATAACTTGAAACTAGCCCAGAGAGAGAAAACTAAACAGTAGAAACAATGTTTAGCTAAAGAACCAACCAGCAGGGAAGCTAGGTGCAGATATGGCTCCAGCAGCAGCATCTTGAGAATACAATCTGTAACAAGATCAATAAAACGTCACATGCTTGCCAATTGAGGTATCTAGAAAGTTATAAAGAAGAGGACACTTTGTCAAATATTGCTTAACTACTCAATAGACTGTTTTCCCTGTAAATCTTATGTTATGGATTGGACGTTACAAGCAATCTCCATGGGAATGCAAAGTAGCTAAAGAAAAAATAAGACACTCACCAAAAAAGTAGCAAGTGTGGAACCCAGAAATCATCTGAAGCACAGATTCCCGCAGATCTTTTACTAGCTCGGATCTACTTAACTCCGAATCAAATCTTAAGCATAAACTGAGCAAGAAAACCTGAGAAGCTACGATTCCAGCTAAATAACCAACCCGACAGGACTCAGAATCCATCTCTTTACGCAATCTCTCGCTAACAAATGGCATAAAGATCTCTAAACAATCCTCCTCTCTAAAATTCTCTTCCAATTCATCCACAACCCAAACTCGACTCAGATCAGCAAAACTAAACCCTGAGACCATCAACAAATCATCTTCATCTCCTGGTTCCTCGACGCAGTACATGCTAATGTAGCTTACAATCCCTTCTAACAAGCTCAAAGCGTCTCTCCTCCTAGTATTAGCAAAACGAGTCAACTGGTAAACAAGAGGAGATAATAGAGCTATCCTCTTCGCGCCGGAAAAAGAGTCTGAGAAAGAAACTAGCAACTGGAAGAAGCTCCCGGTTAACCTAACGGAATCGTCTTCAAAATCCAGTTTCGAGGAGTAGAATCTGATGGCGGAGCAGAACCAGACGAGTTCAAGAGGTGGATCGGGGAGATCGTGAAGAATACGAGTGAAGATGGAGTCGAAATCGGAGAAATGGGTTCGTCCGCTCCGATACTGCATCAGGAACTGCTTGATCGAGTCTTTGAGAAGCGGTTTCAGAAATTCAAGGTGGCTCTGAGAGCTAGGGTTACATCTCGGAGGTTGCATTTCCGGTGACAGTGAAGAACGGAAAGGAATTTGAATTTGGAAAGTTGAAGGAGAATAGAGAAACCCTATGAAATTCAAAGAAAAGGGGCGAATGAATAAAGAGAGGGAATCGGTAGGCTAAATATTTAACAATTTCAAATTGGTTTCACTCCAAAACATATCGCATTTTAATTTTTAGTTTTTTTGTTCTTTTAATTATGACATGAAGAAAATAATTACTTTGTTCGTTTATAACATTAATACAAACGTTAAGAGATTGTTTACAAAATGAAAGTTGATAAAACTTAAATTTTCTTCTCTTAGAACAATATTTTCCACCCAATAGAGGAGAGAAATTTAAAGATTTTGGCAGTGAATAGGAATATATATATATATATATATTATTTTTTTGCTAGATTTGGATAGGGAAGAATTTAATCTAATGGTCTTCTTGATTAAATTTTAAACACCCATGAAATGGATCATTTATTGTAAAAAAGTAAGAAAATAAGGTGAAAAAAAAAAGATAAAAACCATTGATATATATAAATACTTAGTCCACCTGTTTTTAGTAAATAGTAGAGTCGCTGGTTATCACAACTCCACGACGAAACGAAAAACTCAGAGGACAGAGAGAGACAAACAATGGCCATGATTACGCGCAACACCGCCACGCGCCTCCCTCTCCTCCTTCAATCTCAACGCGCCGTCGCCGCGGTCTCTCACCTCCATACATCGCTTCCCGCACTCTCCCCCTCGACATCACCGACGTCCTACACCAGACCAGGTCCTCCTTCGACCTCCGCTCCTCCGCCGGGTCTCTCCAAGACGGCGGAGTTCGTGATCTCCAAGGTTGATGATCTCATGAACTGGGCTCGTAGGGGATCGATCTGGCCTATGACCTTCGGCCTCGCCTGCTGCGCCGTCGAAATGATGCATACCGGTGCTGCTCGCTACGATCTCGACCGATTCGGTATTATCTTCAGGCCTAGTCCTCGCCAATCCGATTGTATGATTGTCGCCGGTACGCTTACCAACAAGATGGCTCCGGCTCTTCGCAAGTACGCCCCTCTATTTCTCTCTCTCTCTCTCTCTCTCTCTCTCTCTCTCTCTCTCTCTCTCTCTCTCTCTCTCTCTCTCTCTCTCTCTCTTTCCTTTGGAATGAAACGGCTGATTTATTTCCTCGGATCTCGGGAATACTCTCCTCTTGAGTTTTCCGTGGGAAGATTTCTTCATTTTGTGCTGTTCTGCTTGTTGATAGCCCCTCAAAGCCCAAAATTAGGTTTTTAGGAGATTATGATTGGGATTCCGGGTTGAATTTTTCTCTTTCCCGGCGATTTAGGGTTCATGTATTCTGATTGGTTTGCTAGGTCTGTGTCAAATTGAGATTTTCTGTGTGCGTATAAGATTTTCCTGGGAAGCTGTACCGTTCGTATTCATTGTCTAGCGCCTGAAATATTTTGATTCGAAATCATGAACTTGGGAGAGTTCTAGCATTCAGGAATGAAGAGTAGATCATCTATGCAGGAGTGATATCTCTTTTCATGTAACCTCTGTGTTTGTCTTTTGTGGTTAGATAGGGATTTCAGATTATCTAGCTTGGTGTTTATTAGGAACCATGTATTATATCATGGTTGGATTTATCAAAAACTTGATCTTACTAACTAGATAATGGAGATTCAATGGTATTATGTCCTGTGTTACCTAATTTGTTGCTCCTTCTGCTGACAGTCTAGAATCTTGCTTGATGACTTTGCTTCGTTGTCCTTAAGACCTGATGTTCATTTTATTGGGAGGTGTGTTGTTGTGGAAAAATTGATATCTGACACTTTTAATAGGATTCCTATTTTTCTTGTTTGATGTTACGAACCCTTCATTCAACTGCAGAACTTGTCTTCTCTAAATGAGAATCCTGTTGTTAAGAAATGTATGTTTTTGATTTTTGGGTAGACAGCTGAGCTTATACTAATGATGTCTGTAGGCCCAGATACTAGAGATAGAAATTATCCCAAGTCAATCCACTAGCCACAAGGAACCACGGGTTGAAAATATCAGATGCATTTGAGAGATAATTGGTAGCTTTATAAGTTGGTCTAGATTAGTTGTCATGGTGAATGGAGACTATCAGTGATCGAACTAGTATTTAGAGATATGTTCAGAACTCTCTCTTCAAATTACCCACAATATCAGCCTTGGATCTGAATGGAGAGAAGTAGTCTTTGTGGATCAGCTTACTTGTTTTAAATCTGTTTTTCCTGATTGAAGAAGTTCCAGTTTCTAATATCTCAAAACAATGACAGGGTTTATGACCAAATGCCCGAGCCAAGGTGGGTGATCTCAATGGGAAGCTGTGCCAATGGAGGTGGGTACTATCACTACTCCTACTCTGTGGTTCGAGGCTGTGACAGAATTGTACCAGTAGACATTTATGTCCCTGGGTGCCCTCCAACTGCTGAGGCTTTGCTCTATGGACTCCTCCAGCTTCAGAAGAAAATCAACAGGCGCAAGGATTTCTTGCATTGGTGGAACAAGTGAAGCTTTAAAAATCCTCCTCCTTCCAATGTGAAATGGAGTTTTTTTTCAGACGATTTTTACCAAAAGTTTGGGGATAATAAAATGTGGACTTCTCACTGCATGTTTCTTTGTGATGGAGATGCCATGTAAAAGAACGTATTTCTTTCTTAAGTTTGTTGTTTAAGCTTAATAAACCTAAAGATGTTGTTGTTGTCGGAGTTCTTTCTTTTTGTTATATCTACCAGTTATGAGCTAGATGATTCTGAACCTTTTGAATTTATACATATATATTATATATATGTGTGTAATTTAAGCATAGAGTTGCTTAAAACATGTGTTGGTCGTTATGTGATCCTGTGGCTTTCAAGTGAATGCATTCTTGATTCTCATCACACGAGGCAAACGAACTTTAAACTCTTTGTCAATTAATGTTTTCTTATTTTGTTACTTTTGAAGATTTCATCAAACCTTTTCCAGAATATTTTATCGATCATATAAAGAACTGCAAAAAAAAAACCATAAGATTAAACGTGTCTGTCATCTATAAATGCCAATTAACTGCTGGGAAACTTTGTTTCGAACGAGATTATCCTGTGAGAGAGATATTCAACGCCCCAAGACAATTTTGGTAACAATCATCGATCGATCCTAGTCTTCACTGAAAACCTAAGCAATGTAGAACAATCTCCAACTACGCAAAATTTTAGAGAGTAACTTTACTGCTTCGGCGGTTAAGAGCACCATGAACTATGCCATCTAGTTGTCAAAGTCACAAAACTCTGAGACTGTCCTTTATAGTTCGCTGTGAAATGTGCTGGAAAACCAAGTTCATGTATAGAAATCTGATTCTTCCTTCGTGTAAAAAAGACTGATATATTAGACTAGGAGCAATCAGCTAGAAAAAATGAAAAAAAAATGTATTCTATTAATCAAAACATGAACAACAATGACTACAACAAACTCTGGTAAACTGAGATGATTCATCCATTTTCCACCAGACAGAGTTAATCTGCTTCAAAACTGGTTTGACAAGGAACTAGAAGCAACAATTACAGTCAAAGGGACAAAGAGGAGTATCACCAGCATAGGCCTTGTTGATACCAAGTTCATCTTCCGTGAACACTGGTAAACCGTCTTTGGTTCTCTTCCTTGGTCGGGATTTCGGGTTGTTGTTGAACCCGTCAAGCTCATTCCTCTTCCTCTTCCTCTCCTTCTTTGCTACCTCTTCTTTGGACTCAGGTTTCTCGAGCTCTGGTATCTTCTTCTTCTTTCTCCCACCAAATATCTCATCAATCTCTATCCCTAATTTACCAGGTCTTGGAACTGGTTTGGTTGGTTGTATTGCAGGTTTCTCTACTTCTTGTGATAGCTTCTTTTTCATTCTCCCACTAAAGATCTCATCAATCTCTATTCCTAATTTACCAGGTTTTGGAACTGGTTTGTTTTGTTGTATTCCAGGTCTGTCCACTTCTTGTGATGGGTTTTTCAAAGAACTGCTACTACTCTTCTTCTTAGGCATTTGATGCACAAGAAAGAAAAAAAAGCACAATCCCAGAGGTTGGAAGTCACCTTCAATTACACAACTTTACTTTCTCACTGTAAAATTCGGGAAAACATAAATCGATTAACAAATCCATTGCAAAATCTAACCTTTCGGAAACCCTAAATAACTTCAGCTAATATCACAAACAAGAGATAATATCATAATAATAACATTGTAATTCGGATTGAACAAAAAAAAATACATTACTCTACTATCCCATTAACCGGAGAAATTTCTACTTGATGCAACGATTCCATGACTGGATTTTCGCTACCTAAACACCACAACAAATTCCAATTTCCAATCTAAAACCCAGAATCTAGGTGAAGCAATATGGTTTATCAATCTCTTTAAGCTTTGAGATCGACACAAACCTCAGAAAAGGAATCAGAGGAAACTTACAGTTAAAAAACGAAACCACCCGAAGAAGATACAAGAAGCTTGTCTCGACAGAGGTAGACTAAAAACCGGGGAGCAGACAAGTCGGGTCGGGTTCGTAACTTTTTCCTATTATCGAGAGATGATAAATTACGAACTTAATTAATTTTTTTTTTTTTCTTTTGTAACAGCTTATTACCAAGTTAATTTTTTTTACACATCATTATACCTCTCAATTTCTGAATCTCAACATTTGTTTATGGTTTTGTGGATAATAGGATTAATAAAAATACTTTCATATCAGTTAATTGACAATGTATAAGATTTCTGCAATGTGTGATCCTCTAAACTCCTAGATGTTTCTTCAATATGAAAAAATATCACGAAGCTGGAGATTAATCATAATGATAGCTAACAAACTTATTAGAACAGGTAGGAGAAAAAATAGTTTCAAGGTATCCATCATTACATTACACAGTCTAATAATATGTGGCTTAAGCCAAATCGTCACTAAAAACCCCTCGACTTTGTTTATCAGTGTAGAGTGCGTTTATTATTATTAAGGTGCTAATGCTTCTTGAGAGCATTCATCTTGTCCCTGAGGTAATAAAGTTTCGCTCTTCTTACTTTCTTCTTGTCCAGCACCTTAATCTCCCTCAGGTTTGGCGAATACCTGTTACCAAACAACCCCACTCACATATCAGTTTTCTCATACAAGGGGCCTTTTGCTCATGCTATGAGGCTCTAATAATGTAAATACATCTTTGCTTTTTTCCCAAGAGAAGAGAGATAGAGAGTGGACAAAGTACTTACAAGGGGAACATGGATTCGACGCCCACTCCAGCCACAAGTCTTCTAATCCTAAACGTAGAGTTAAGACCAGCATTACGCCTTGCTATGACAATGCCTTTTACGATTGAAACACGCCTCTTGTTCTCAGGCACTTCCTGTTCAAACAATGGAAATCTAACAAAGTAAATCCAAGCCTCTGAAAGGTTTAACCTAAGAAGATATTTTGATCCCACACTCCAAGAAAAAAAAGAAAGTACAATCTAGGCCATCTTCAATAATATATTTACCACTTTAAGCTGCACAATGTAACCGGGCCTTATATCTGGTATCTCTCTGAGAGTTCTCACTTGCTCAACTGCCTCCTTGTCTACAATCTGCAGATGATTTGAGAGATAGTTAAAAACATGACATGATTTGACCCCATGACAATTTTCAAAGTTCGAGTTGTACCTGCATAATATGCTTGGCGGTTTTATCAAGCCGCTTGAACTTGATTCTCTGAGGCACATCAGGAGCTGACTCGGAAGATCCTTGAGGAGTAGATTGAATGGAATTTCCAATGGTGGAAAAGCACCTCGATGAATACGTAAAGTTTTGTTTCTGCCAAAAATTGCCAATCACCATAAAAGTTAGAACATTTTGTGAAAGCATACAACTGAGCCAAAGCCGAAAAGAAATAACAACAGCACGAAACTGGTCCCTTACTACCACACGAGATAAACAGCAACTTAAGAAGATAAACAATCATCAATAATGCTTAAGACAAAGACGAAACTTTTTTGTTTAATTTAGCTTAATTATCATCATTATCTATATTGTGTGATTACCATAGCGATGAAAGGCCCTAACATAAAGAATCTGAGCTAAAATTGAATGTGGAATACGAAATTAGTGGAATTTGCAGCTAAGGAAGAGACTACTCATCAGTACTCAGCAAGATCAACCCAAGAGCAAAGCTTTCCTTGTCTTTTAACACTAATTGCAATATCAAACCAATCTGAAAATTGGATCTCTAATGGCAACTAATTATCGTCTACATTTCTACAATCCGAGAAAAATATCAAACCACGATTAGCTAAAAATGAAAGCGGCTTACAGGTACTAGGGAAGATGAAGAAACCGCCTTTGTGAAAGAACTAATGAGATACGTCGCTGCTGAATCAAAATCTCTGGTAGAGCGGAAAGAATCAAATCCTAGCCTTCTCGATTCATTTTCAGACCAGCTTGACGAAGACGAAGTGAGACGAAGAGTGTTGGAGATGGCGAAACGTTGCCTTTGAAGCAACCTTGTACTGCCACGAATCGATTGCATTTCTTTGCAAGAGGAATCGATCTAATGCTCCAAATCTGTTAGTATGGAAGTTTTACAGAGATTGGCGGAGTTTGAGCAAAAAATGTGAACCTACAAAACCCTCGCTTCATCCTCCAGGGTTTTTTTCTTCCTTTCCTTTTCTTTAATGGGTAATTTGCATATGAATCCCTGATGTTTTATGCTTTTGTCAAATAAACCCTTTCATTTGTTTATTTCTTTTCTTCGTTAGTTATTGACTTATTTCCCATAAACCATGTGTCAAAGACCCACTCTGTTTTTTTGGATGATGAAATTCCAGGAATAAAGTTTGTTTGAAAATAATAACAGGTGGCGTACAAAATAAAGGAACCAATCATGAGACAAATACATTCAAACATCAGAGCCAAACGGTGAATCATGTGGAACATAGAATTGTTGCATTAAAATTGAAATTATTACCTTCAAGATCCGATGGTTGAGAATTGAGATGCACCCGAGCCACAGATTTGCATACTTTGGATGGCACAGCGTGAAAGAGAGTAATCTGATTATGGTGCATTTACGGAAGTAATTACGCAAATAACCTAATAAAATCGAAAGGCACCTCCGAGGAATTTGTTAAACTATGCGTCTATGAATATCCTACGTAGCTACACAGAATCACATATCAGAACACGTTACACATCCCTTTTATCGTAACCAAATGCTAAATATTTCGATACTAATCAACAGTTGATTATTCTTTGCCGTCTGAAAAAAGCTTGACCTTTTAACTTCTACATAAAAGTCCTCAAGTTTTCCTATCATCAAATAAATTCCACACTTTTTTTCTCAATCTTGACCAACATTGCCTTCCATTAAAAAAAACATGACCGTTAATAACACTGTTCTTTACCGTTTGTGATTAGAAGAAAAACACGTTTCTGAATCCATAAATCTCTAAATTGGGACTCGTGATAGAAGAAATTGAATCTCCTTCATGAGGGGCTGCTTGTTACCTCATTTTTCATCCAACTTAAAACGAAAGCTCAAAGCTTTTTTTTTTCCAATTGATTTCACACGCAGACGTGCTTTCTTACAAGTCGACCGCAACTTCCAAAACAACGTCAAGGTCAACAGTACACACCACTTTGGAAATGAACTTTTCACTTTTCTTTTTTAAGAAAAATGGAGAAACGGGCACTTTGGACTTTAGTTTCATTACTGATTAATTCTGAAATTCTATAATGCAATTCAAAAGTTTTATACCGGAGATACTAATCAGCCTCTGTTGAAGCAATGTATAAAAATGCTAACTTTTGTTTTAGGCTTTTCAGTTTTTAGATTTCCTTAGTATTATCTTTGATTTGGACCAGCTTGATATGACGTACGAGTTTAGTTTGCATTCAGATTCAGTTTCCTCCAAAATTTAAGTTGATGAAATTAATCTAAGTAATTGTTACAATCAAAATTCTGATTCAATTTGAGCTGAAATGATTCAATTTTTAACGCGTTTGACACTGATCTAACATGCTAACAAGCTTGTATCGTAGCAGAAGCAGAAGTAAAGAACGAGAAGAGAGAAATCTGAGAAACATCCATAAATAAATAGAATAGAATCATATCACATCAAAAAAACCATATCGCATCTAGAAATGACAAACCACAATACTCTAAGAGATACATCCTCATATAGATATGAAGGTAGATAGAAAACAAGAGCCAAATAGAAAAGAGATCTATAGCTTCTGAATACACACGAATGCTATACCGGATATAAACTCCAAAACAATCTCTGTACGAATCGCCATCACAAAGACTTAGATCCGAAGAGCAGAGCCGAAAACAAGAGCCGCGACGGCTGCGACACCAGCAGAGACCAGGGACGGCGAGAAGGCACCGGATCCAGAAACTGGGCTTGGCGCCGGAGCCTCAGACTGAGCGGAAGCGACGGTAGAAACAACGGAGACGATCACCGCGACGAGAGCAACAATGGTAGCCTTAGAGATCGCCATTTCAGAGAGTGTTGAGAAAAGAGGGGCTAGGGCTTTTGATTGATTCGAATTTTTTGCTTAAGCTCTTAAGGGTTTTCTCAAATTGACAGTATTGAGAGATTATGTTGTGAGGCGTATATAAAGAGGTCGGGCAAACGCGTAGCTGCCCGGTTTGATTGGGTTTAGCTGACCGGACTTTTCCCAGCTTAAGAATGCTGCAATTACAGCTGCTACACCTGCGGGTCCCGCAAATCAAGATAATCAACGGTTGTTATTCTTCCGCGTGTCCACTGGGAACTCGACAGGTCATCTCTCCGTTACGGCGCCGTTCGAAAGATATTTTATACTGCAGCCGATACGCCCTTTTTGAACGCTCACCGAGGCGCGTGCATCTAACTCGCTGACCTAAATAGGCACAACGGTCGGTGAGAGATGGTTGTTGGCGCGTGAAGAAAGAGATGAGCTGTCCATTTTTGCTAGTCACGCGGTTCCGTGAAGGAAACGGCCAAAATGAGCAGACTTGAGACCTTGTATTTGTTGAGAAGTGGGCACCACTTTGCACATGGTCGTGTAACGGCTAATACAATTTTTCTTCTAAAATACGTCGACATGTGTAGAGGAAACGGCAGTCCTTAGTTTCTCCAAGCGATGTTGATTTTTATTATTTTTAAGGGAATTCATCAAGACTTGGTGAATATGTATTCTGTTTTTGTTTGGTAAACGAACAAAGGTTGTTTTCGAAGATTTAGAACCATTGAGTTTATTCCTTTTACTTTTGGAATCGTGGCACAACCCAAACACCAAAATGATGTTGAAAAACATTTGAAAATAGGAAGTGGTGGAAATCCTGAAAACCAAAATGCTAATTTGATTGATTTGACACGATTTTTGAGATTAATGCAGACTTAGTTTACTTTACTGATTATGATATTAAAAATGATTTTTTCATGATTTAAGATACCAATTTTGTTAAACTAATGACAGCATTTGAAGCCATATAGATATGAATTTTTTAACTGTTTACAGAAATAAATTCGTGAATGGATGGAATACTTCTCCCCGCAATTATTTACTTTATTTTTGAAATCAGTGTGCAGACAAGAAAGTAGTTTCATTATTTATTTTTAACAATTGGGTGTATTTTGTGGAATTTCTTTCTATTCTTGTAAACATAGATTACAAATAAATATCACATTAGTCTTTTTGTATTCCAATTAAAGTAGAAACATTAGCCTGACCGAAATTATTAAAATGAAAACCTTTTACGACACTTTAATGAATTGCCCATAAAGAATAACTTTATTGAATTCTTTAAAAAAAAGGAGACAGATGGTAGACGTTGCAGGCTCTTGAGGGATTCGAGAAGCTTCGAATAGGTGTCAAAGTGTTTCTCCACCTGGCTGTGTTTAGTTCCCATTGTCATTTAGTTATGTATTCACATTCAAACCGAAATCTTGGTCGGTAAGGAAATTTAGTTATGTTTTGTTCGTTTTTATAACTTCCTATAATCAAAGAAATTGAATAAACACGGGAATCTTGAGACTTTAGAATTACCATATGTTGTTTAATTAGATTACTATGATCTTCTTTTAATCAGTTGATTAGAAATATGTCTTTAACTCAAAACACTATTTACACACAAAGATTAAAGGAATTAAGCCAATAATCACACAGAAACACAATACACTTTGTAGTGAAAAAATGCGATTCGAATAAAAATAGTTGTATATAAAGTTTTCGAATATATAAAGTTTATATAAACTTATGACTAAATCAGGTTGTGCAACGTTATCTATTCGAATATCTCATTCCTCCTAAACAAAATCAAATAATATTGGCGTAAAATTTCCCACAGAATCCATATCACATCCATATAAGGATCTCTATCTGATTTCAAGAGGGGTTCAGAGACACTACTAAGTAACTCAAAATCCCAAAATCTTGGGAGCTATGTGAAGCAAAGGCTCCAAAGCACTCGGAGCAAACTTCCTCGCAAAGAGATAACACATTGAAGTGTTGCGACCATTGTAAGTGCAGTTTCTTCCATCAAAGATCTTTCCAAAGAAGTTCTCTGTAATGTCCGATCTCCCAAATGTCGCCGGGTGTGGCCCGCCCCTCGACCAGTCCACCCACGTCAAGCTCCGGTTCGCCAAGACCACTGGTTTCTCAATTGTCAACATCGTCGGGAAGTAATGCTCGTCCACATAGCAAGCAGGCCTACAAAACTCTTTGAATTTCGGGTAATACAATGTGTCTTTGACAATGGTAGCTGCGAGTTCCCGGTTTATCTCAAACCATTGAGACCCTTTTCGCCATTTGGTGATGGGAACTTCAGGTTCCATGTTCGGGTTGTAGCGGCCGCGCCCAAACGGTCCAGGGTCATCGAAAGCACCCATGAAGCTGTGTTTTGATTGGCTTAAGTAGCTGTAGATGGTTGTAAAGTTGAAGAGTGGAATGCATGACTCCGAGACGAGAACGAACCACTCGTTGGAGATGTCGAGCAGCGCGTTGGCGAGAAGCCGCTTCTCTGCATCGCACATGGTCATTCTCCCCCATTCTGCAACCTGCGAAATGATGTAGATATCCAGATTACAATCGAATCAACTACATAGCAGTGACCAGACGAACTGCTAGAACAAAAGGCCTAAAGAAACCAAGTTCGATTCAAGAGTTACTTATCACTCATTCAAAATTAATACTTCAAGAAGAATGGCTACATAACAAGCGATGCGAAAAAGGCTTCTAAAGAAACCAAGTTTGATCCAAGAGCTCCATTTCCTCTTACTATATGTAATTGGTATGAGTGGTATCCATGAAACAGAGAGAGGGTTAGAGGAACCGTACCTGGCTCGGTATCTGCCTCCGGTAGAAAACAGAACTAGATGGAAACTTGGATGTAAAAGATGGGTGGGGATGAATGTAAACCGAGTAAAGCCCTTTGTGACCTTTGAGAAACCGCTCCCAAAGCAAAGCAAGCGGCAAGGGGCCTTTAGTCAAGAACATGAAGGCGATCTTTGGAACCCTTTTAAACGGATACTCTTTTCTCCGAGGCCAGAAAGACGCACGCCAAAGAAGCTCTTCATCGGTCATGTTATGCATCAGGACAAGAGGAGGTTGTATCCATCTACTTAAACCACTCGGTTCCTCCTCACGGCATGGCACAAAGCTAGAAGTGACTGTGGTTACTACATTTTGTATACCAGTATACTTGATTGTAGATACACTAATGATGAAGACAGTAGCAGAGAAAGCAAGAAAAAGGCCTAGCACAAGAAGCAGTTTCGGTCGAAATGCCTTGTGCTGCCCTGTTCTAACCGAGATTCCATTTTCTTTTCCTTCTTCCAACTGTACAACCCTAGTCTGCATCGTTAACAACTAAATAAAGAGTTATATCAATGTCTAGTATCAATCTAAACAACCTGATCTAAAGGTATGCTCTGATTCACTCTATCAAGTAGCCTAAACACTCTAGCAAATCGTAAGATCACTCTATCAAGTAGCCTAAACACTATGGCAAATCCGAAGTTACTCGTAAGATCCTAATTTAGCTGTAAGATCCTAAAACTAAAAACTCCAGATCTCATCGCTAATCACGGAAGCAGCTTGATTATTACTTCACCAGCAAAGCAGATTCAGCAAGTTTTCAATCCAGATAAACGAAATCGGTAATCGCACACGGAATCTCCAAAGAAAGTAGTTGATTAAATCGCTATTTCTTCACCAGACCGGCGCGAAATCGAAACTCGGAGAAGTCGACTATTCAACCGTCGAAAAGTTGATTTAAAACGAAACCGGATCCGGAGCTATACGAACTTGAAGAAAGTATGAGTGAGGCTTCACCAAGTAGAGGAGGATAATCCACGTGTCGATCTAACAGGCAAAAAGGAAGAATCAAGTAGTGTCCAGATAACTGGAAAACACCGAGAACTTACGAATCCGGCTCGAAACTTGGAGAAAGAGAGAGAGAGATGATGATGATGAATGGAGAAGAAAGTGAGGAAGACGCCGAAACGGTTTGTGCGTAGACCGATGGTCAGACTGTTGTCGCGTAGACTTTTGGTATATCGGAATCGGATCATGACGTTAATTTGTTTCCTTTTTTTTCATTTAATTTCCAACGGGATTTCAGGATTTTTCTAATCTGATTTTGAAAATTCAAGCAATCATAAAAATTTCAATAATAGAAACTTGAGTTAAACCAGATCAATGGCAGTTAAAAAAAAAAATTAATCGAGTAACTTAGTAAGGAATGTAACAGATTTGTGGCATAAGAGAAATGCAAAACAAAAAATTAGTGGGAAAATGGACAAATATGCTATGCGAAGAAGCTAATCTAACTCTATATACAAAAAGGAAATTAAATTGCATATAAAACAACAAACTAAATAATATCCGTGACAATACGCATGATGAGATGATTTTTTTTTTTCGACGATTCGCATGATGAGATGATATTATGTAAATTCGGTATAGTTTTAGATATAAAATTTCTTATAGTTATTGATAAAATTTCTTTTGGTAACTTTCTGTAAAGAATAAGTTAAGGTAAGGTTAGATTGTAGTATTGCTCTAAATTAATTTATAAAATATAAAAACATTAAAAGGAAAAGGAATCGAGTTAAAAAAAATAAAATAAAAAAAAAAAAAGGGAAAAAGCGAGATGGAAAATATCCATAAAAATATCCATAAATACAAAGGACTAGTAAACTCCTTAATAACAAAGGGTATATATGTTTTACCAAACCTTAGTTTGTTTAGCGACAAGGTAGGAGCTGTCTTCGTCTGATTCCTCTAAATCTTAAACCTTTAAAAACGGGATTAGGTCAAGTTCCCTTGTGATATCGCCGATCATGGATTCCGATGATGCATACTATATGGAATCTGGAGGAGAGGACAATATTTACAGCGACGATTACAACGAGAGTGATGATGATGAAACCTTGATCGATCAGGGGATCGAACTCCAAGGGTACGTTGAGGAATCCGTGGACAAAGCCACGATGATCTCCACGCATGGCTCTCAGATCAATTACGTCGTTCTCAAGGAAGAAGATATTCGAAGGCATCAAAAGGATGATATCGGACGAGTAACCTCTGTCCTCTGCATAAGCGAGGTCGAAGCTAGCGTTTTGCTTCTTCACTACCACTGGAGTGTTAGTAAAATCAATGATGAATGGTTTGCAGACGAGGAGAGAGTTCGGAAAACTGTTGGCATATTGGAGGAACCTGTTGTTGTTAATGTTGTTCCAAAACCTCGTGGCAAATTTAAACAACGACGTGTAACATGTGGAATATGCTTTGATTCTTTTCTTCCTAAAGATTTTGCATCCGTTGCTTGTGGTCATCGTTTCTGCTCTACTTGCTGGACTCGTTATATCAGCATAGCCATCAATAATGGCCCAGGATGCTTGTTGCTCAAGTGTCCTGCCTACCCGTCTTGTCCTGCTGCTGTTGGTCGTGATATGGTCGAGAAACTTGTTTCTGATCAAGAAGACAAGGACAAGTATGATAGATATTTCCTTAGGTCTTATGTCGAAGACAACAGGACGATGAAGTGGTGTCCTGCTCCAGGATGCGAGCTCGCAGTTGATATCTCTGCAGGGAGTGGTGATAGTTACGATGTTTCTTGCTTGTGTTTGCATAGATTTTGCTGGAACTGCACTGAAGATGCTCACCGTCCTGTGGATTGTGAGACAGTTTCACAATGGATACGTAAGAACAGTGCAGAATCTGAAAACACGAACTGGATACTTGCGAACTCGAAGGCTTGTCCCAAGTGTAAGCGTCCGATTGAAAAGAATCATGGCTGCATGCACATGACATGTACTCCACCTTGTAGACATCAGTTTTGTTGGCTTTGTCTTGGTGCATGGAAAGATCACGGTGAAAGTTCTGGTGGGAATTATGCGTGCAACCGGTATGCGGCGGGTAAGCTAAAAGGACTGTTTGATGAGGCTGAGAGGAAGCGAGAGATGGCTAAGAACTCGCTAGAGAGATACACTCATCATTATGAGCGATGGGAAGGAAATAGGAAGTCGAGGCAGAAAGCTATGGAGGATCTGCAGAATTTGAAATCTGAGAAGCTTAAGAAGCTTAGTGAGATACAGGGCGAACCAGAAACTCAGCTCGTGTTCATCACAGATGCGTGGCTTCAGATCATCGAATGCAGACGGGTATTGCAATGGACATACGCATATGGGTACTATCTACCTGAATCTGATCATGATAAGCGAGAGTTTTTCGAGTTTTTGCAAGGTAAGGCTGAGTCATATTTGGAGATGCTCCACAACTATGTAGAGATGGAATCGGAGGTGTTTTATACTGCTCAAGGCCCAGAAGGCTTCATGCATTTCCGGTCAAGACTAGCCGATTTGATCAGAACAACGAAAACCTACTTTGGAAATCTGGTGAAAGCTCTGGAGAATGGTCTAGCAGCAGTAGAATAAATATAATACTATCTCTCTCTGTGCTTGACGAGGTACCGTAAGAGTTTGTGATAGTTTTATTGCCTTAATTATTGTTTTATTATTGCCTTAATTAATGTGAAAATTCTGCACATTGTGTCATTGTTACTTTGCAATTTGATTACCTTGCTCTGGTAGTGCAATACCATGTCAAGAGAAAATGTTACCTCCTTCAACGTCTTTTCGAATTTGATTGATACAAGAAACCAAAAAACCCTTGATCGATATCTAAACTTAGCTACACAAACATCGTCTAGTCTTTTTTTTTTTTTTGGCATTACTCGAGATGAATTTGGAGTTTATAAAACTATGAAATCTTTACTCACAAACTCTTCTTTATTCATTAAGCATCCACAATTTATCATAGAATTGGGTATATATACTTTCTTCAAGTCAATTTCAATCGCATCTCGAACTTCTTCCCAACAAGCAACGACAGTCTAGAAACCTCCACACTCATAAATTTCGGATCATCATGGTCCACGACCGTCTTAATAACAGAGATTCTCGGACTCCTCAATCTCTCACCTGTCCTAACCTCGTACGCTTTCACACTCTCCACGTTCTCGAATCCAACAAACGTCACTTTCCCGATGCTCCATTTCATTCTCGACGCATACTCTGGGTTCACCACTTGCGATCTCAGTACCACGGATTTTCCAGTCACATAGCACCAGAACTTCACGATGGTCCAATCACGGTTCCCTCCTTCCTCTCCCATCCGTATGTTCTCCCCGTCATCGAGAAACACTTCGCCGGAGATGTTCTCGACCTTGCTGGCTACAACTAGAAGCTCAAACGGTGTCGTTCTGGCTTCTCTAGTTGTCATTGCTTCCCCTTGCATAGCCACAATGCTACCTATTCACAAAGTTAAACTCAACTTACGGTTATCGTCAAAACCGAAAAACTAGTAGTACTTAGGAATAGGCAAACGGAAAATTTACTACCTTCTCGAACATGAACATTGACGTGATCGGCCGGAGTATAAAGCCTAACGTGCTTACCGGAATCTCCACCGACAGCAATCGAATAGTTAAACATATCGAACCAGATTCCGGCGGGGAAATATGCGTCGACGGTAGTTGTACCTTTCTCCAGCGCCGGAGATACCATTATGCTTTTTCCGATCAAGAACTGCGAATCAATCTCATAGGTTTTAGTGTCACTAGGGAAGGAGAAGAAGAGCGGTCGCGCAATCGGGACACCGGTAACGTGAGCCTCGTACATTAGTGTGTAAAGATGTGGGAGCAGTCTCATACGAAGGCCGAGAACCTTTCTTGCAGAAGAAGCAACCGAATCCCAGATGTACAGTTCTTGTTTAGCAGTACCTTTGGACGAATGATCTCTTGCAAAAGGGTAAAATGCTCCGAGCTGATAATCTAAGAGCCAAAGTTAGAACATGAACTCTGGAAAATAATCTACAGTTTATGTCCGAGAATTAATCACGCTACCTGGATCCATCGACGACATAATTCCTCTGTGGTATCATATGAGAAACCGCAGATATCAGCTCCAACCATTGGAATCCCAAACAGCCCAAAGTTGAGAATTCCTGGGATCGAGTAAGCCAAATCCTCCCATTTTGCAGCATTGTCGCCGGTCCAGTGAGCCGTGTATTTCCCCGAGCTTACAAACGTGGATCTTGACAAAATGAACGGTCTCTTGCCCGTTAAATCCACTATGGCTTGGTGAGTAGCTTTAGCTTCCAAGAGTCCATACAAGTTATGCGCATCGTATTCACTAACGTTTCCAAAATGGATAGATGTTGCGGGTACTGTTTTTTTATTTATCGGCGTTTTGCCCCCTAAGTTGTTGATCTTGTAAGGAGGATCATCGAGTGAGGATCCAGGGGAGAGAGGTGAAGTTATGAAATTTGATAACTCATTCATGTCAAGCCACACACCATCCGATGGGAGAGTTTCCTGGAACATCTTGATTTCATTGCTCCAGAAAGTTGCAGCAGCTGGATTCAAGAAGTCAGGGTAGTATACTTTTCCAGGCCAAACCTCACCGAGATAAGGCTCACCATTTCGTTTTATGAAAACATCCGCTTTCAACCCTCTTTCATATGTCCCGTAAGAGCTATTCACATTGATACCTACATATAAACCCAAGTTTTCATGTCTTGAATCAAGTTTTTTAGAGACTCTAGAGATAGTACTACATATATAAGTTTTACCAGGATCTAAGATCAGCACGTATTTCTGACCGCTCTTGTGAAGTGTATCCACGAACGATTTCATCTTGTCCTCGGGGAAATTCACGGGATCCAAAGTGAAGTCTTTGTAGCCATCCATGTAATCTATGTCCGTCCACATAACCTCAAGAGGTATTCCAGCATTTTTATATCCATCAACTACAGATTCAAGGTCTGAGACATTGTTGTATCCATACCGACACTGATGAAATCCTTCACGAAAAGTGAAAACAACGTTTTAAGCCAATTATTCAAAACCAAAGCAAAAGACACATCTCATTTCACAAATAAATGCACAGAGCAAACGTCTCTTACCAAATGACCAGTAAGGCATAGGTGCAGGTCTTCCGATAAACCCTGTATACTGATTCATCACCATTTCCGGCGATGGTCCGGCGAACACATAGAGATCAATGATACCGCCGATCACATTATAAGTAATCCGATTTCCCTCATACCTCACGTCCATTCCGTTGCTGTTCAGCAAGAGAACGCCGTGAGTCGTCCCTGCTTCATCGTGGCCGTTTGATCCTCTTACGTCGATGTAGAACGGGTGCGATCCGTAAAGGTTGACATCGGGATGCTCGCTGCCGATGTCGGCGTTCCACATAGTCATGGTGTCGCCGGGTTTTAGCCTGAACGATCGCTTCGTGTGCTCTCCGAGACCGTACAGATTCGATCGGTTTTCCGGTAACGCGGAAGATAGTTGAAGGAATTGGTCTTTGAAGACGAAGTAAGTGTTTGGATCTGATGGATCCGGCGATGTGTCGAAGAGGACATCGCCGGAGGATCTTCTGGAAATGGAGAAACCGAAGGGCGTGGTGTTGTGGAGGGTGAAAACTAAGTCCGATGATGGATCTTCCAGGATATTGTTCTCCGACGAGTTTCCTCCGCCCTCTTCCGGTAAGAAACGGCGTAGAGAGTGGTTTCCGGCGCGAGAAATTACGGTTTCCGGTATCTCCCATCTTTGTTGACTAGAATCCCTGAGTCTGATTCTCAAACGCTCACTTGTCTCCAAGCTGCACATATATATACATCATTCCATTTAATGGCGGAACTTTCCCAAATTATCGCAAATTTCAAACTGAACTTGAAAAATAATAAGCCAAATTTAAAAATTCTGGAGATTGATTAGAGAGAGACGACTATTATCACCTGACATGAAGGCTAAGTGTTTGAATATCTGGTGCGTAAACGGACGATGGTTTGATCAAATCAAGCTTCGCCGTCAAAACCTTCTGGTTGGAATTAACGGCCACTGATCTGACGACGTAGCCGTATCCAACGACTGTGACTTCTTCATCTTCTGCTAATACTTGTGAGCTTCCATGTGAGGGCAAAGGTAAGCTCCAGAAGAAGACGACGACAACGATGAGGATAGTAGGAAACCACTGAAGTGGTGACATTTTGATTTTTGGTTTCAGACTTTTTTTTTTTGTTTTCTCTTCATCAAAGTTTTTTTTTTTGGGTCCCCACTACGCATTTTCTTTGTACTGTAGATAAGATTTACCTATATTTTATGAATTTTGTGACCAGTGAATGAGCGAACCAAAATGTGTAAAGCGTGATATACAATTGATTAGATAAAGACAAAGTAGATAATAAAACAAAGCTATGAAGAAAGATGGAGTCTATTGAATCTCTTCTGATTAAGAATCACACACGATAAATTCTCCGTAGAGTCGGACGAAATACATATACTTTTTTGTTCTATGAACAAAACAAAACTTAAATCCCATAAACAATTCTCTCTCATTTAAATCGCAAAGTAAATGCCACAACAACAATGGCACATCAGCCACCGACCAAATTGTCCCATCAATTAAGAGCGAGAATCCCCAGTAAAAACAAAAACATAGATCTCCAGTACAAATGTAGTAGAATCAAGCCTGATATCCCAGACAAATTCACTGCTTAAAGCCTCCAGTTTGGTACCTTTGGTTACTGAGGCTGGAAAAGAAATCATCTGAGATTTCAGGTGCTTGTTGTTGTTGCTGCTGTGCACTGTATACTCCGGTTTTACCGAGCCCTGATCCTGCGCCCATGGACCACCCTGAGTAGTACGCAGCAGCAGATCCTTTGTTCCCTTCATCATTGCTCAAATCACCCACAACGCCCACATCAGCAAGAGAAGCCTTTTTGGCTGATTACAGAGAACAATGAATAGTCAGGTCCAAAACGGGACTTGGAAAGCAAAACCCGACAAATTATTTGTCTTGACACAGTGCGAAGTCAAATACATGATATTGGAAACTCTATGTGAGCGAAGAATTTTTACTGGTGTAATGTAGAAAGTAACTGATTCACCATGCCTTTGGGTTTCATACGCATATAATTCAAGAAAGAAACTAATCTGATGAAAAACATAAAGAGGGAGCTTTGACTTACGAGCACTTATATTAAGATCAATTAGTCCACGGCTCAGCGAATCTGCCCAAATTCCAGATTTCACCTGGAAAGGATCCTTCTTTTGCAACTGTTGTGGCTTCGAGTCTGCCAAAGACATTGGACTTGTGGTGTTTGTTGCACTCCCATGTACAACTGGAACCTGTGGGCCTGTAGAGACTGAAGACGAGTGAGAAGTGAAGGCACCAAAAGGATCAGATCCATCAAAGTTTTCCATAGGAACTGCAGCAAATGGGTCAACAATGTTGGGAGTGGTCGTAGACTCAGGTTTAGGAATCTTGGCTTCTGGGCGTGCAATTGATTCAGGAGATGCAAAAAGATCAACCGTCTGAGGAGCTGGAGTAACTGTGGCAGAAGGTTCAGACGCAGAGAAAAGATCAACCTCCTTCTGTAGGAGCAGACATGCGGAAACATATCAGTCTACGATTCAACAGGACAAGTCATTGCGAGGTCTAATAACCTCAACAGCGAAAAAATGAACGTGTTTGTCAGGCATTGCGAAATTGCATCACATAAATGTACACTAAATAAGGAATATTTCCATTGTGAAAAGCCGTACACCAGCTTGGATGAAAAGAAGTCACCCACCTGTGCCGGCGACCCAAATTCTGTTCCCTGAGCAGAGGCTGATACAAAAGTTGCATCAGCAAACAAGTCCGCCTCTTGAAACTTTCCGTTGTTGTTGGTGGAAGATGTTTCAGTTGGCCCAGAATCTAAGAGGTCACCAATCAGATCTGTTCCAAAAAGGTCCACTTGGTTGGCACTGCCTGTGGAAGGCTCTGCAGAAAAGAAAAGCCATACAAATAAGAGATGGACATACATTCTCTATAGATATATACATGTTGTGCTCTATTATTTACTAAACAAACTCTACTCCAGTTAACCAATCTGCAAGTTCAGCAGCCGTTGAAAGGAACATACTATTGCTGGAAGTTCCACGTGGATCAAAATCATCAAAATCATTATCGTTGTTTGAAGGAGCTGCAGATGCATGTGAAGGTATGGAACTATGTTTGCCAGAGTCGGATGACTTTTTTCCACCAGATACATTATCATGGTCCGTGCTGCACATTCAGAATTGAAACCAACTGAGCAAGAATGCAAGATTAATTTGATCAAAACACCAGAGAAGAGCAGATGCAAAATGAGTAAAAAAAAAGGAAGCATACGAGCATTCTCAACTGACAAAAAACATCTTAAATTGACGAATTACCCAAAATCCATAATGAAGATAATAACATCAGCAAATCAATGGGGTTGAACAAAACCTGCCATAGCGTGAAAAACTTTTCTTTGATGTGTAGCTTTGCTCTTCACTTTTAACACCGCGCCTTGACTTCTGAAAAGACTCGTAGTCGTTCTTGTCTTCTTCTCTGGAATCTCTATCCCTGTAGCTATCATAATTGCTTGAACCACTTTGAAAACTACCACCAAATGAAGATGAAGCTGAACCAGACTTATATGTTATTCCTGTTGACGAGAGGCCAACATACCTAATTGGAGGCAGCAAGACCGATTAAGGCAACGCATAAAGAAAAACACGCAAACAAATTATATTCACTTGCATAAAGACTAACTTGTTACGATTTGCTGTTGCTTTGTCTCTGATTTCTGATATTTTCTCCTTGTTATTCAAGAGAGCGACTATGTTTTCAGCCTTCTTTCTCACATTGATTCCCAAATCTTTTCCATTCGGTTCAACATACTCAAAACTCGTGAGTGACTACATGAATGACAAATAACAAAAAAAAAAGATCATGTCAGTAGAAAACCACAACGCCCATCACAAGAAAACGACCAATAAATGTGTAAGAGAAACTGACAGATATTTGGTAAGTATGCTCAATAATCTCATCAACTGCTCGTTCTGATCCGTTTGAAATCAGATAATCAATAACAGCCAGTGCCTGGCAATAAAAAGACACAACCTCGGGTTACACAAAATTATAAACTGTAACTTTCAAATATTGCAGAAAAATGTCAAGAAGATTCTCACCTTGTAGACATATCGCCAATCCTTTCCTGTCTCACTCAGTCTAGTCCACAAAACACTCATAACCATCTGGCACTCCGAGCTAAACATAATGAAAACGTACAAGGTAAGTAAAATATAAATCCAAGTTGAATGAGATGTCGAAGTGAATGGTTTTGGAAGAACAAAAATCAAGAAAGAAGGTGAATCCATAGATTACAATTTCTTTGTGGCCTGTGCTATCTCTGCCAATGCAGTACCATGTGGACCCCAAGGCTCATTATCTGTAGCATCCAATACCTGTACTAAACATAACCATATATTTATTAAAAATTATCACAGAACTCCATATGAACAAACCGAATTAGAAGACGTGATCAAACAGAATATCTCGGAAACTAGGATACTACATAGGATTAAATTGTTCTCCATTAAACTGAAACTCAAGATTTCTGAGTCCGGATGATGGATCTAATTTCGGCTACAGCATCAGAAAATAACAGCTTAAGAACACATTCAGCATCAGAACACGGAATCATAACAAATCCAGCTCAAGTGCTCGGGATTAGTGTCTAGCAAGATTTTCATTTGGTGCAATCGCTATCCCTATATAAAGTTTTGAATTCAATTTATCAAGCAACATGCAATCACTTGGCAAATAAAGATAGATACGAATCAAATGAAATCACCTTTTGCTCCATCTCAGGGACCTTCAAAACTTTGAGATTCACCTCCCTCTTTCTGTAAGTGAAAAATGAAATCGAGATCAATCGAAGATATCAACCGAGGATCTACGGATTTGAATCGAAATGAAACCTATCCTATCGAAATCGAAGAAGAATAGATAGACAGAACGGAAAACCCACATCTCTCGAACCGTTTGATCGAAGACCTTCATGAAATCCATTTCGAATCCGCGAAAATGCTATGAACAAAGGAACGAAATTCGGCAAATTTTGGTGTGAGGAGAAGTGTAGATCTGATCAGGGATGACTCGTTATTTATTTATTTATGTGTTTTGTTCTTCTTTCTTTTTTTTGGGGGAAACGCAACCACAACAAAAATTTAGCACTTAAAAATCGATTTTTCGCGTAGTTCTTTTTTTAAAGCCGTCAAATAACTCGTGGGTAAGACGACCTGACCGGTATCCGATCGGTACAAGCCGAAACTCGTGCGTATGGGTGGTTTTATCTTTCGATGACACTACCTACTTAGTTTCACATTAAGAGGAATTTGTATCCAAATATGATTACACGAACTACTACGATATTGGTCAGATAAGTTTGAGCAAATGACGTTATAGCCAACAAATTACTATAGCTAAAGGAGAATAGGTATTGAAGAAGTCAGCGTGATGAGTCATATGTAAGTCAAATTGGTTTTGTTTTTAATCTCGTACCCATTAATTAAAAGTAACTACGTAACATCAATTTGATTTAGTGAGACACTTTCATACAAGCGAATCATTCTATCCTTGAAACTTCTATGTCTAAAATTGAGAACTGATAACTATATTTTCTATATGAATCGGATGTAAATATAGATTTGCATTGATGAATTGAATTTTTGTGTTAATTGATCCAGAAAATACAACGATGTCGAAAAACATGTTTTAGTGATGATAATGTAGCTGGTAAAGTACATAAAGTGCCAGCTATTCCTATATAGCCCATGTCAAACTCTAGTCTCTTCTGTATTTTTAAATTAAATAACATGCCCGACTTGACTCCGCAGATTTCAGTATAACTTTAATATATTGAAGATACATCGGTATAACTACTCTGAAATTGATGAGCTTTTAGGCCTAGTTTCACGTATGAAATCTATCTCAACGTGTGATGTAGATTTTGATCCCCAAGCCATGTCTCATGTAATAAGTATATCCTCATCATAAAGATTTTAATTTGTGAATGGTATAGCTATAAGTTGTTTAAATCATAGCTATAAGTTGTTTAGCATACACATCTATATATACATATCATTTTGGCTGAAACATCTTTTAAAATTAAAAGTCATATAAAGACGATTTGGTCCATTCTCATTTCATCTAGCGAAAAAATGGAAATATGATCCAAATCGTAAAATTTTGGGTCCAGACGTAAAAATTTGGATTGGCTTACTTTGGGATTTGATAATGCTGCTAGTTTTCTATTGGGCCAGCCAGATTTGTTAGTTTTTGTTTTTACTTGGTCCAAGTCACACGCCTTTCGTTTTTCGTTTCTGTTTCTCAAAATTGAACACTCACACTCAAGCTTGGCACGTGTCTATCAAGCTTTACTCCTTCGGAAACGGGGCCCATCTAGCCCCACTCTAAACGCCCTTTAATGTCTGAACGTATGCCCTGACGTTTTTAAGTCTTTTAAATCCAGAGTCATTAACCCCTTAAACGAAACAACAAAGCGATAATTACATGTAATTTGACACATGTCACGAAACAATTCGATGTGAAAATAAATTTAAGATTCAGCTGACACTTCCAGTTCCATGTGAACAGACGATACAGAGTAGCATTACCTTTGAGGCCAATCTGAAAGAACGACGTGGCGTAATATGATTTGTTATAGCCAAAAGAAAAGATTAAGCTGATTTTTCGTGATTACGGTGAAGCCGCACGTACCTGATCGTAACTACTCTCCGTTCCAACCTGTTTCCTTCTTCTTGGAAGCTCTCTTCCCTCTCTTTCTCTCTCTTCCGAGAAAAGAAAAGCAACATTTCTCTCTCTAAGAGCCATATTTTCGGTGGGGGTTTATGCGCTTTTCTTCAAATCTTCTTGTGCAAGACGACTAGACGTGTACATGCATACATATATGTGTATGTTGATGTATGCATAGGTGTGTGTGTGGTGAATTAGAGAGGGAGGGTTTGTTTATTGGGTTCTCTGAGTTTTCAGTTTCGTCAACCCTATGCTCAATGACCCGAATTGGGGTCGAATCGAAAACCTTACTGGACTTCGTCTGTGATGACTCTTGATACTAGTGGATGGCTCGATTTCGATTCCTCTTCTTCTTCTCTGTGGTCGCTATTGCGGTTTTTGCCGTAAACCCTAGTTCAAGCTATCGATTCGCCATTGTGGAACCGAATTCGGGTTTTGATTCGGGTTTGGACCCGGATTCAGAGTCGCTGCTTTTCCATCAGGATTACTCGCCGCCGGCTCCGCCACCGCCACCTCCGCACGGACCTTCTGTATCCTGCAACGAGGATCTCGGCGGCGTTGGATTCTTGGATACTACTTGTAAGATTGTTGCCGATTTGAATCTTACGCACGATGTTTATATAGCTGGGAAGGGTAATTTTATCATCCTACCCGGGGTTAAGTTTCACTGCCCGATCCCCGGATGCTCCATAGCTATCAATGTTTCTGGGAACTTCTCTCTGGGCGCGGAATCTACAATTGTCGCTGGGACATTGGACCTTTCAGCTGGTAACGCTAGCTTTGCCGACGGGTCCGCTGTGAACACGACGGGCTTAGCCGGGAACCCTCCGCCACAGACCAGCGGAACGCCGCAGGGGATTGATGGTGCTGGTGGTGGACATGGTGGTAGAGGCGCTTGCTGTTTGACCGACACTAAGAAGCTTCCCGAAGATGTGTGGGGAGGTGATGCATACTCCTGGTCAACTCTAAATAAGCCGTGGAGCTACGGTAGTAAAGGCGGGTCAACGAGCAGGGAGATTGATTATGGAGGAGGAGGAGGCGGGAGAGTGAAGATGAATATTCTGCAGTTTCTGGATGTTAACGGAAGCCTTTTGGCAGACGGAGGTGATGGAGGAGCCAAAGGCGGTGGTGGGTCTGGTGGCAGCATCTTCATCACGGCATATAAGATGTAATGAACTTTCGTTTCTATGCTCTCTTTCATTGATTGTTAATTTCATTTCCACTCAAGTCTTTCTTCTCTGCAGTGAAGAAAATGAACTTTCTTTTCATGGTTTGATATGCTTGAACTGTGCTTATCGATTTCTGTTCTCATTTGGAAATATTCATGATATATTGATCTATAAAGATTTTAGTTTTTGCTCATAACTCTCTGCAATTTGGTGTTTGTTGTTGTATGGTAGATATGAAACTACGCACTTTCTGTGCTTATATCAAAGATTGGTAGTAAGCCTTTTGTCCTCTCAAATTCTTGGTTAACTGATCTCAGCTTGCATCCTCTGCTTTGCTGTTATTTGAAGTGCAGGACTGGAATTGGACAGATCAGTGCATGTGGTGGGAGTGGTTACGGTGGTGGGGGTGGTGGAAGAGTATCTGTCGATATTTTTAGCAGGCATGATGACCCGAAGATCTTTGTGCATGGTTAGATTCTCTTCCTTAGGAGGTCACTATTTCTTTCTGACTATCGTAATAACATCCTTACCTCCAGATCTGTAACTCTTGCTAAATCTATTGGGGTCTTAAAGTATGAGCCAGGAAATTGTATGCTATAGTTCCATTTTCTCGGTGATTAATCATCACAGCAAAATTCTTCATCTCCTTTATACTTTTTTTCTTAAGGACTATTAGTTGCGGAATCTGTTGGATCTTAACTTAGTTATTTTGTTTACATCTGCACACTTCACATCTCCTTGATAGTTTTTTTTTTTTCGAGAGTATTTCAAATACATACTTGCTTAACATCTTCAATCATGTGAACTGATTTCATTCTTCTACATGCAGGTGGACACAGTATCGGATGTCCAGATAACTCAGGTGCTGCTGGGACGCTATACGATGCTGTTCCTCGAAGCCTTTTCGTTAGCAACTATAATCTGACGACAGATACTTATACGCTTCTCTTAGAATTTCCCTTCCAGCCTCTTTGGACCAATGTTTATATTCAGGATAAAGCGCGAGCAACTTGTCCTCTGCTATGGAGCCGTGTCCAGGTATTTAGAAAATGAATTTCCAGTACATGGGCTTGGTAGGCTAATTGTTTCATCACCTTTAGCAGTGTCAATGCTAGGACTATTAGTGGTTTTATATACGAGGATATAGTGTTTTTTTTTTCCTGCAATTCTAGTGTCTTTTCTCTACAGTTTTGTGTTGCCTCTATATATGCATTTTTAGGTATTCAGTGGATTTTTCAGTTTTCAGCATATTAGATTCAAATATGTAGTTCTAAAACAGAATTCAATTTGTAGGTTCAAGGACAGATTAGTTTGTTGGGCGGTGGTGTTTTGAGCTTCGGATTATCACATTATGGTACATCAGTATTCGAGTTGTTGGCTGAAGAACTCTTAATGAGTGATTCCACTATCAAGGTGAGTCTTATCCTGGTTCTCCACCTTTTTGAGATATTAAAATGCAGCAGCATTGTGTGTGTAATGAATATATCTGTGTTGCTAGTATCAGTTTCATTCTTGCTTTACCTGGCCTTTTATGATATTCCACATCCTATGTTGGTTCTCACGTAAATCATTGTTTCATCATGCTCTGTGTTTATTGGTACGTACCAGGTTTACGGGGCTTTACGCATGACTGTCAAGATGTTCTTGATGTGGAATTCAGAGTTGCATATTGATGGAGGAGGAGGAGATACAAGTGTTTCGACTTCCATACTTGAGGCTAGCAATTTATTCGTTCTTAGGGTACTCACAAATGCATGTCATTATTTTTCTCCTTCAAGTAATTTGTGACATACCGTTACGTCTAATTTGTTTGTGTGACCTGTCAAACTAAATATAGGAATCATCTGTAATTCGGTCAAATGCAAATCTTGGAGTCCATGGGCAGGGTTTCTTGAATCTAACGGGACCAGGGGATTCCATTGAAGCACAACGGCTTGTTTTATCACTGTTTTACCGGATTTATGTAAGGGGTTTCCTTGTGTTTATTTAGGTGACAATTCTGCATTAGATGGCTATTTGTGCAGATGCAAGAATAGCTAGTGTGTATAGCTCTGAAAATGCAGTGAATACAGGCATATTTTGACTATCGGTTTCTTTGAAAGCCATATTTGCTTCTAAATAATAGACGTAGAAAGGTACTTGAGGAGATAGTGACTTTTTTTTTTGGTGATTGAAGGTTGGGCCCGGATCTATTTTGCGTGCTCCTCTTCTGAATGCATCCCGAGATGCTGTGTAAGTTTGAGGGAAAATGCCCATATTTATGCTTAGTTTCATTCAACTTCAGAGATAAGATGAGCTAACAATAATTGAACTCACGCCTTTGCAGTACACCAAAGCTCTATTGTGATCGGCAAGATTGCCCCTATGAACTACTGAATCCACCAGAGGATTGCAATGTCAATTCATCTCTGTCCTTTACTCTACAGGTATTTCTGCTGTACTTGAACTAGCATGCTCTATCATGAAAGTTCTGATAACTTGTCTTTCTTTCTAGAAGCTCTGCTTGAAAGTTCTGATAACTTTTCTTTCTTTCTAGAAGTTCTGATAACTTTTCTTTCTTCCTAGATATGCCGAGTTGAGGATATTCTAGTCGAAGGTTTCATCAAAGGATCAGTAGTTCATTTCCATCGCGCAAAAACAGTTACCCTCGAACCCTCTGGAGAGATTAGTGCCAGTGGAATGGGTAACAATACCTATTTTTCTTTTTAGATTTTGTTTCGATCGCGCATTCTACTTCTACATGTCATATGGGCTTGTCCTTGGCTTAGTCCCCCCATATAAGATTTAAGGTGCTACCCATTCTCCATTTAGGGAGAAGATGATATGGTCTTATGTTCTTTTTAATGTTTTTTCTTAGCAACATACATATGCAATTTTTATGTGTTTTACAGGTTGTAGAGGTGGTGTGGGTGAAGGTAAATTGCTTGGAAATGGTATTGGCAGTGGTGGTGGGCATGGTGGTAAAGGGGGCCGTGTATGTAACAATAGCAGCTGTGTTGAAGGTGGAATTACGTATGGAAATGCAGATCTCCCTTGTGAGCTTGGCAGTGGAAGTGGTGATTATAGCCCGGGTTATTCATCTGCTGGTGGTGGTATTGTAGGTATGAAATGTCAGAGATGTTGATGATTCTGGAGTTCTGTTAAACTTGAGAGATTAGGTTGTTCGTCATAGGACTTGATGCAAAATGTATGATGCAGACTATTAACTATTCATATTCCGCGTGTATGGATTATATCCCGTTCATGTTATTGAAGCTTGTCATCATTTAAGCCATGCACTACAATGCATGCGTAGTGCTTTCAAGATGATACCTTTTAACCTGTTCTTTCTTTTCTTTTGAATCTGGTCAGTGATTGGTTCAATGGAGCAGCCTCTATCTGGTTTATCACTTGATGGCTCGATAAGGGCTGATGGAGAAAATGTCAAACGTTTGGGCAGAGATGAAAACGGTTCTATTGTAGCACCTGGTGGTGGCTCTGGTGGAACAGTTCTTTTGTTCCTGCGTTATCTTATGTTAGGAGAGTCGTCTCTTCTCTCAAGTGCTGGTGGGTCTGGCAGTCCTTCAGGTGGTGGTGGCGGCGGAGGTGGGAGGATTCATTTTCATTGGTCAAACATTCCCACTGGGGACATATACCAGCCTATTGCTAGTGTTCAAGGAATAATCCATGCTCGGTCTGTCCTCTAAATACCTATGCATTTCGCATGATCATTAACCTGTTTTGGCATTCGTATTTTTTCCCGTCATTGACTACATTTTCCATTTCCATGTTATTAATTGATATTGTTTATAGCCTGTCACATCAACACACTGTTTCTTTTTTGCAATTGTAGGGGGGGAGGGGCAGTAGATGATGGTTTTTCTGGTAAAAATGGCACAATAACTGGGACGCCTTGTCCAAAGGGACTCCACGGTATATTTTGCAAGGTTAGGAAAACTTGGTTCAACATCTTCCTGCTCTATAATATCACAGGGGTCTATTTGCCTTTTGTTAGCTTATCGCTGTTGAATTGTTAATAGTTTTTTACGCTCATTGTAATCTTAACCCTATTATTTTCTCCAGGAATGTCCATCTGGTACATTTAAGAATGTTACTGGATCTGACACGTCTCTTTGCCGTCCTTGTCCCGTCGATGAGCTTCCAACTCGTGCTGTCTATCTCCCAGTTCGAGGTATACATGACGTTCGCAAATATCTTCTCTTTTGTATTAAATATGTGCTATAGATTTGTCTAAACTGTCAGTCAAAAGTGTTGTTTCCTGTTCTACTACCTAGCCTAAAATTGATTTCTATTCATTTTTCCACGATAATACAAGATAACTCTTTATTTACGTTGGATATGATCTTGTTTTCTTACTCATTCCGTACCTCTAAACTGGTGCTAGAAATGTTCATGTCTCAATTATAAGCCTTGGGATTTTCTATGCTTAATACAGGTGGTGTTTCTGAGACACCATGTCCGTATCGATGTATATCGGAAAGGTATCACATGCCACACTGTTACACCGCTCTGGAGGAGTTAATTTACACATTTGGTGGGCCCTGGTTGTTTGGTTTTCTTCTGATGGGTCTTCTCATCCTCTTAGCACTTGTACTTAGCGTTGCACGAATGAAATTTGTTGGAGTTGATGACTTACCCGGCCCAGCTCCTACGCAGCATGGCTCTCAAATAGATCATTCATTCCCTTTCCTTGAATCACTAAATGAGGTTAGATGATTTTCTAAAAACTGTTTGTTTCTTATTTTCTGCGTTCATCGATACTGGCAAATGAAGAATGATTTATGTATTCGCTAATTTGTCACTCCAGATGCAAGTATTGTATGGCCAGTAGGCATGATCGAACAAAATAACCTGCCAAACACTCCTGCTAGTGTTGTGCTGTTTATAATGTTATTTTTTTGTCAGGTGTTGGAAACAAATAGAGCAGAGCAATCTCAGAGTCATGTGCATAGAATGTATTTTATGGGTCCTAATACGTTCAGTGAGCCATGGCATCTCTCGCATGTCCCCCCGGAGGAGATAAAAGAGATAGTGTTAGTTGTTTCTTATTATATTTCCAAGCTGATTTGGGACCGTGTCACATTGTTTTCTCTATAGTTAATTAATAAGTTACCTTGGCTCTGAAATATTCTTTTATTGGTTTTGGGTTCTTTAGATATGAGGCTGCATTTAACACATTTGTCGACGAAATCAACTCTATAGCTGCATATCAATGGTGGGAAGGTGCAATATATAGTATTCTGTCTGTGGTTGCATATCCGCTTGCGTGGTCATGGCAGCAGTGGCGGCGGAAGTTGAAGTTGCAAAGATTGCGTGAGTTTGTACGTTCAGAATATGATCATTCCTGTTTACGCTCCTGTCGCTCCCGGGCTTTATACGAGGGTCTGAAGGTAATTGGTTTATGATTTACTTGATCTGATAATTGCTTAACAGGGCTACAAGTTGTAAAAATATCAGATTCGTTTTACTTGGATAAGTTTTTTTTTTAAGCTTAAGTAAACTTTTTATTATAAATATAGGTCGCTGCTACCTCCGATTTGATGCTTGCATATCTGGATTTCTTCCTTGGCGGAGATGAAAAAAGGACGGACCTTCCACCACGGCTTCAACAAAGGTTTCCAATGCCCATAATGTTTGGTGGTGATGGCAGTTACATGGCTCCTTTCTCGCTTCAAAATGACAACATTCTTACCAGTCTGATGAGTCAGGTTGGTTCCTTAGTTAACGAGAGGCAGTTTTTAGCGACCATGTCAAAGGTTGTATTGATATTTGTCATTGTTTTTATTTTCCCAGCTCGTTCCGCCCACTACTTGGTACAGACTGGTGGCTGGTGTAAATGCTCAATTACGTCTTGTTCACCGTGGGCGTCTGAGATCTACATTTCATTCTGTTTTGAGATGGTTAGAAACTCATGCTAATCCTGCTTTGGAGACACATGGCATACGGGTTGATCTTGCCTGGTTCCAGACTACGGCTTGTGGTTACTGCCAATATGGTCTCTTGATTCATGCTGCTGAGGATTGTGAATCAACATCACCTCGGTGTGTCAGTGAATCAGCATGGACTGATATCCAGCCACGGTAAAGAAATTATAAATTGATCAAGTCTGTCTTTCTATTGTTCGTAGTTACTATAGTCATGATACCATCCATTCTTGAATGCGATGTGTTGTTTTAATTTGAATATAAAATGTGAACTGAGCAATCTAGATAAATAAGATGATCACGATTCCTTATGCAGATCACTTTAGACATTTTTTTTTTTTTTTTTTTTTGTGATGTCCCACATTAGCATGTTTTCGTCGTGCACTTTATATCTAGCTATCCGAAGTTTTGATATGTTGTGCTTGTGACTTCTAGTTACGGCGTGAGTGCACATAAAGAAAATTCTCCAGCACATTTAAGAGAGAGTATGCTCTACAACCAAACTCACACAAACACAGAGGATTATACAACACGCAGAAAGAACTATGGAGGGATAATCGACCTTGACAGCTTACCAAGTCTGAAAGAGAAGAGAGATTTGTTTTTCCTTCTCTCTTTCTTAGTTCACAACACTAAACCTGTGGGCCACCAGGTACACCTCCTATCAAAATCCGTATAGTATGGATGTCTTCTTATATGTTGTGCCGTCCAAGTTTTCGAGAATTTTAATGTCTCTTCCCTCTGTTATCTTTTGTGATATTGCAGGATATGGTTGGCTTAGTTATCTCGATGTTACTTCTAGGAGATTTTAGTCTAGTCTTGCTCACACTGCTCCAGCTGTATTCGATTTCTTTGCTGGATGTACTTTTGGCTTTGTTCATATTACCTCTCGGCTTGCTTTTGCCATTTCCCGCTGGGATCAATGCCTTATTCAGTCATGGACCCAGACGCTCTGCTGGCCTAGCACGAGTTTACGCCTTGTGGAACTTCATGTCCTTAGTCAATGTGGTATGTTCTCTTTTGTTTAGTTTTTTTTGTTAAAAAAATATTGTTGATAACTTGTTTTGTTGAGAAATGCAATGTTAACTTCATCATGTTCACGTCACATGAGTATGAATTCAATAGTCATATCTGTGGAGATTGTGGGTGATGATTCTTTAGGAAATGTTGCATGTCTCACGTTAGCTGACAAGCTTTGTTTCTGTGACAGTTTGTTGCTTTTCTCTGCGGATATGTTCATTATAACAGCGAATCATCAGCTAGCAAGAAAATCCCATTTCAGCCGTGGAATATAAACATGTGAGTTTAATTACTATGCAAAGTAATACCCAAAAGGAGTCTCTCTCTCTCTCTCTCGCTGACAATCTTACGTTTTAGTATATTGGGTTTCTGATGTGTGTGCGTTTTTGGGGGATGCAGGGGTGAAAGTGAATGGTGGATATTTCCAGCGGGACTGGTCGTGTGTAAGATAATGCAATCGCAGCTCATAAATCGACATGTAGCAAACCTGGAGATACAAGACCGTTCGTTGTATAGTAAAGATTATGATTTGTTTTGGCAGTCGTAACAAAGTCTTGTCAGGTAAATTTTTCGAGAACAATCTAAAACAGCCCTGCCCCAGTTTTTTTTTTTTTTTTGGGTTTTGTTTGTTTCTCTTCTTGTAATTCTATTACTCTAGGTGAATAGAATTAGGATACAAAAGAGAAGGAACTCTGATTGTCAAGGGAAACAGAAAGAAAAGAAAAAGGAAACAAGCTTATTTGATGGATATAATGTAGAGGGACAAAACTTGTAATCTAAAGATCCTTGGTTGGGTTTTTTGGTGGGGAAAAAGAGTTGGTCTTTGCTTTGGTTTCATTTGGATAGTCGCATTGGTGAAGATGCTTAATGTTTGTATGTAAATAAGTGAGAAACCAATGATCTATCTTATCTACTTGGGGCTGTGTTTATCATTTCTGCCTCAATACTCTTTGACTTGTTTTTAGTGAATATTAACAAGAAATGGATTTGCGTCTTCATTTTTTGCTCTATTTTTTTTCGTAAAGTAATATTTATTAGAATGGTCATAAATGATAATCATGGAGGAGTTGACTTTCGACTTTTGAGCTCAATGAGCTCGCTCTCTTTCTTTTCTACACTCGCGACTCATTGCCTTTTTTATTCTCTGCCTTGCCCTTCCCAAAGATTTTTCATCTCCGTAAAAAAGTGTAACTACCAACTCATGAATAATACAATTTTTGATGATGTTGTCATTACACGACATTTATTGTGTACCAAATGATCAGAAATCAACTGTTTACACAAGTCAAACAGATTGTACAACTTACAAAGAGTAAAACCAAAAATCGTCATAATGCTAATCGACTCTGTAACTCGGATAAAGAACCAGTATGAGAAGTGAATCAGAGAGACATTGCCAGTGTTGGACGGAAAGAACATTATTTTAGAAACAAAAAGAATAACACTGTAAAATGATTTTACAAAGAGTACAGTATTTAGATTCCAAGATTTGGGGAGAGAAAGCTCATCGAATCACAACCCCAAAAAAAAGGCTTTACTTGTTCAACATTAACGAACCCCTTTGAACAAAGCAAGCAAAACCCCACACATAAGCGCAGATCTAGAAGCTGCAACAATCCCTTGACGCATTGAAAGAAAGCCTCCCGTAGCAGCACCAGCTATGATGGAGTTCCATGGATCTTCCTTGTTCCTGATGTACACCAATGTGTAGTCAAATGTGGAGAACAAGCCTCCAAATACAGCAAAAGCGCCTCCTATACGAGGAGCATTCATGCTCACCGCTTGTGCTCCGCCAACAAAACGACGACCTTTCGGGGAATTGTATGTGCCTTTTATGAAATGAACTACAGATCCTCCAATAGCTCCCATTCCAAATGCCCCACCGGTATCATCAACTATATGGTATAGGCTACGTTCTCGAGATTTCTTCTGGGTTTCCATCATCAATCAATACTATAAAGGGAAACACCTTGCCGGAAGAGAGTATTATTACCATTATGCTCTTTATTTGAAGAAAGAACATAACAACAGGAAGCTCAAGGATTCAATGACAAGGATGAAGGGTCATCAGAGACACAACACTAAACAATCATTCGATAATCTTATACGCTAAACTCGGAACACCGCCGCAAATTTCAAAGACCTAGTTCCATAAACTAGAGCTTCAAAACTACTGACACTTTATCAATTAATTTACAAAATCGAACCTACGAAATCCTTACAAGTTATCGCTGATGTACTGAGCCCAGCACAAGAATCCAACTACAGGAAATAAATCCTTACAGAAACTAATCGACGAGTAAGTGGAAACCAAACGGGGACTAACCAGTAAGAAGCAGATACAAGTGACCTATAGTTGATGAAGTCGCTTCTGATCAGAGAGGGTGCTCAAACTGTGCTGTGCGACTGCACAGAGCACCCGAACTTAGGGTTTCTAAAGGTCAAATCGATCAACAATTAGAGATCCTCACTTAAAAATCCCTTTGTCTCTTGCCTCTCCCTCTCCTCCTCATTTAGTAGTTTACTCTGTGTATAAACGACGCAAGTAACTTTACTTCTTGTTTAAATTTCAAATTCCCAATCGGTTTATATCGTCAATAGTACTATGCTGTGTATACGGATTCTGTAACTAAATTATATCGACGTTTTTTATTTGACTTGAAAGGACTTGACTGATTGAGAAAGGAACCTTGACTAACATAATGGGTCAGAGTCTAGGCTAATCCGCCACACATCTGATCGCCTCATTTTCCGCAGTATAACCAAACCAAACTTTTACTTATAGAGAATCAAAGTTTAACAGATAAACCCACATCAAGTCTTTATCTTTTCTCATTACACAAAGTTGTTTTAGTTTTTTTTTTAACTTTAAACACACCATACAACGCGTTTGCTTATTTGCAACACTAATCTGTTGCTGTCTATGTACCCATCACTCTCATGTTTTGATATCATCAATGTTCCCCTGCATTCGAATGGTAGGCTCGCCGCCTCAGCTGAGATTCCCCTCCTGATGGCTGCTGCAGATATATCTTCGTTGGATCATTCGGATCCACGTACCTGCACATACACATATAACCACCATACACGACTCTCAGAAACATGATGTTTTTGATTGCTATCAAACACTTTTGGTTTGATTCAGAGGGACTTACGCATGTCTCATCATCTCATCAACCGGGGTTTGTGCAGCTTGAAGAGGATCAACACGTGGAGCTGCTGCCGCTGCTGCTTCTGCTGCTTGGTGCATTTGTCGATTGTATTGTCTCACTGATGATATGAGATTCAAGAAGAGAGGAACAAACGTCCCGCAGCCACCTTCTTTAAACAGGATCTTGAAACTGTGTGTTGAATATAGAGCTCTATGCTCGTTCTCTGGGACCACCTGAAAGTTTTATTACATGCCAAAAGGGTTGTAAATCAAATGCCTATGGTAGTTTTCTCGCAAAGGAAAATGAAAAAACACCCATTATAACTAACTTGTACTTACAGGCTCCACTTGTCCAGATATATTGTTGCAGTGGAATATTGGCTGGTTGAATTTCTCGGCGTGGATGTAAAGCTACAACATAGAGTAACGCATAGTCCATAAATTCCCAGAGCTACTATGTATAGCAGCATGCATGGATATATTCAATAGAAGTGTAATTGTGCCATGTAATAACCGAATAAGCGACAGACATGATAATATATCGTACCAGGGGCATGTCAAAAGCAACAAAGTTCTCAACAGGCTTGCTTGCAACAAAGACTAGCCGTATGTTAGACAAGTACATCACTCCCTTAGCCTTAACATGACCTCCATGTCCTCTGGATCAAACAAAAAAGAACGTCAGCAAAGTGTTTAAGACCTATATGGCTGTTTATTTATGGGAATTGTCTTCTTTACAAGAATATTATTGGTTCATAAACCCCCCGGCAGAGTAATTATCAAACCAAACCCACAGTCAAGAAAACACTGAAGCAGATCCAAAAAATGCAAGATAGGAGAAGGAAACACGAACCCAGGAATCTTGTCGACTTCGAACTCAACCCCATCTCTGACTAGAACAAACATTTCATTCACAAAGGGAATAGGCATCCCATTGGGTAGTAATTGGGGGTTTAGCGCCATGAACTGCAGTTTCAATTGATCAAGCCGGGTAAACAAATAATTAAATTCTTCTTCTCAAATCTCAATTCTTCCTTGCTGGTTAAAACCTGATCACCGGATAAAACATGTAAGACATTATTGATCATACAAATGAGAATGTGAACACATTTCAAAGAAACCTATTATCAAAAGTCAATTCAAAGGTTCATAAATAGAGGATAGGCTCAGCCAAAAACATGAAACATGAAACCCAAGATCACTTCTTCATAACTCAAGCGCATAATATACGTGAAACTAATATCGCCTCTATTACTCAATCCAAAGAAGCTCGTTCCAAAATATCAATTTGTAACCATAGATCGAACGAAGTAACCGCAACCGATTGAACATCCACTGATTATCGACTTCCAACTTCAGATATGAAAAATACATCCTTTCATTTTTACTCAGCATTAACAGGTTTATACAGAGCAATCACATTGAGATTTATCTGTTAAAAATCAAACCGCTCAAATAATTATACAAAACAATACCTTAGTTACAAAACGAGTTCCATAATAACTGACAGCCAAATCAATCCGCAAAGAAAGCATGTAATCTCATAATTAGAAAAGAATCAAAAATCTGAGAGCAATAAGAAAGCAGTCTCAGAGCGATCCAAGTTCAATTTCAAGCAAGCCAGCGCGCGTAATATCACCGGGAAAACAATTTCACCCGGCCTCCTGAAGACTACTACTTTCCGAGGAAAGCGAAGAATTTCTGTAAGAACATACCTTGATCGCCTGATATGGATTTGATCGGTGGAAGAGAATTTGGTGAAATTAGATTTTGACGAAGACGATTAAAAAAATGGAAATAAAGGGACGCGCGATCTGATTACAGCTTCTCGCTTGTTCCAGATGCAAGAAGATCCCGCGGTTAAAACAAAAAAACAAAACGTGTTTACCCTTAACAAATTTTAACCAGTAGTCCCTCAACTTATTTTGTGTTCCGATTTCGCCGCGCATAAAATTATTTAATCCAATTTCAACAACACTATATGGGCTTTTTTAAGCTTAATGCTCATGACTTCTCGGCCCATTGGGCATTTGTCTGTTTTTATCTATTTGAAGGGAGTTGCGTTAAGACAATTTATTGGACTGTTTTTCTTTTTCTTATTTCCGATTATGGTGATTTAGTTCTTAACAAGCTTTTCTGTTTTCTTATGAACATGTATGAAGTGTTTGATACAAAAATACTACTAGATATGATACCTCACTTAAGACCACATGGTTCCTAACATATAACATGATGCGGTTTTCACATCTTCTGGTTTATCAATTATGCAGTGGAAAATGCCAATTTACTACTTCATAGTGCAGTGCAAATAATAATTCCCCCCTCTAGTTTCAGGCCACAAGATACTAAAGATTCTTAAGATAACAAAGTAAGTTCCCATTAAGACTAGTAATTGTGTGGTGAAAATGTAGCTTTCTTAAGACAATAAATACTTGGTAAAATTAAATTTATTATTATTATTCCTCAAACAAGAAGCAAAGAAAAAAAAGAGAGTGTGCGCAAACATCATAATGCAGAACAAGTAGAAAACAAAAACAAGACAACAACAACACTTATACAAGCCTTAAGAACAATAAAGGTTGTTAATACAAGAATCTGCAGGCTTCTTAAAATTTTAACGGTAGTTTCTGTAGACAGGGCTGTACATGCAGCTCTCTGCAAACTTTACTAGATCCGCTGCACGCGGGAGGTTCGACGCCAATCCTATACACCACAAATACACATTATCAGCATAATTTATTTAAGTCAAGAACTTGTGCTTTAACAAAAAAAAAACAAAGAATAAAGAACTTGTGGTAGAGAGTTAAAGACAGTTGCATTGATGGAGGGAAATGAATAGAACTAACCGAGGTCATAGGTTTTAGCGGCGACATTGGCTGCAATGTTAGCAGAGATCTGTCTGATGTTTGAGAATGGCGGGTATATCAGACCGTTGGCGAAGTTCTCTTCTGTGACTTGGGCGGCCAATGCTTCAGCTGTTGATAGAACAGAGAGAGAGGAGACAGTTACAAAGAGTTTTATTGAGATCTTGTAGTGTCCTTCAGTTTCAAGAAGATGAAATAGACTCTTAAGTCTATATTCCAATGTTCTGTTTTGGGGAATGCTTGGATTCGGAGAAATGGAAAAATCTTGCAACATCTATGGTGTTGTGCATAGAAAAAGTTAAGGGAGTCATTAATACTTACAGGCTGCGAGGAGCATGTCATCACGGACACGAATTGCGCCGGACATGATCAAACCAAGGCCAAGACCCGGGAATATGTAACAGTTGTTTGCCTGAAGTGAAGTTTAGGGTTATGGAAATATGATGTGAGCATTCAGGTTGTCACAGAATTACAAATTGACAGGAGAAAAATATTATGGAAATATCACAAACCTGGCCAGGCAAGTAAGTTTTTCCATTGTACTCAACAGGATCAAACGGGCTTCCACTACCAAAGATTGCACGACCCTATTTTTAAGCACAAAATTAGTATCAGACTTGAGAGCCGCATCAAATTCAAAATTACAGTTTGTTATAATCAGGACATGAACCACATTCAGATGTCATAAGAGAGGAGATACCTTGCTCCATGTGTAAGCCTGTTCTGCAGTACACTCAGCTTGAGAAGTAGGGTTTGAAAGAGCAAGAATCAACGGTTTCTGTAAGGCAACACCAATTAAAACCAGCATAAGAATCGCATAGATACCTTATTTTTTGAGAAATCAGAGAGGAAGAACAAGAAGAAACCTCGTTGTTGGTAGCCATGGCCTCTACAACTTCCTTTGTGAAAGTCTGACCCACACCAGAGGTTCCAATGAGAACTGTTGGCTTGATTGCCTGTTTGACAAAGTTTCAACAAAGAGTGAATACAAGAATTAGAAAATCTAACACCAAGATTCTCTATTAATCAACCATCAAGCGATTTAAAGATGGGTTCATCGCGTACATTCACAGCACCAATGAGATCCTTGACAGGTTCGTGCTCATGCGCCCATGGCTGCTTGAAGTGCTGAAGCGATTCTTTGCGCGAGCTAACGATCAGTCCCTGCAAATAAATATTCAAAAGAGGAACATAAGTGATCAAGAACTGGTTACCTACAGAAGATAAGCCTGATTTTGGGTGGTTGCCAACAAAACCTTGGAGTCCACGAGCCAAATCTTCTTCCGGGTCTCATCGATGGGAGCTCCAGTCTAAAAAAACAACCAGGATAGGATCAATCACATATTCTTAGCCAGAAAACAGAGCAAATGCAAGAAATGTCCCACATTTTACTAACCTCTCTCGAAATCTTAAGAGCAATTAGCTCAGCGATACCGGTTCCAGCCTTTCAAAGAACCAAAGAGATAAAGCGTAAGCAGCAAAACATATATGCAAGAGAAATGATAAGCTTATAGAGTATAATGCTTATTGGTCTCACCTCTCCGGCACCCAAGAACAAGAAGGTATGGTCAGCCAGCTTTTTACCAAGCACTTTCTGAGCGGCAATAAGCCCAGCAAGCACCACTGATGCAGTACCCTGAAATCACGCAAGACAGAAACAAGTTCTTGATAACGTTAGCTCTCTGACACCTTGAACAAAAAAAAATCAATCTTGAGGAAAAGATGTTACCTGGATATCGTCATTGAAGACAAGATGAGTGGTGCTGTACTTGGACAGAAGGTCAAACGCATTGTGGTTTGCAAAATCTTCAAACTGAAAAGAAGAATATGTATGATATTATTATATATCTTAGAACCAATATCAAAAATTCAATACAACAATCATAGTTCTTAGCAGAAATGATCCTATGGCTCACCTGTACCAACACTTTCTCTCCATAGTTCTGCTTAACAGCGCACATGAACTCATGCAGAAACTCTGCATATTCCTGAAATCACAAAAAGAAACAAGCAGGCTTCTCAGTTTCTAAAATACTCATTTGAACTGGTTATAAGAAGACAAAAGCCATAATAGGAAAGAGATTAGTAAACCTGGCCAGTTGCCCTTCGCTGTTTAAGGCCGATGTAGAATTCATCATTTAGCAACTTTTGATTGTTTGTACCCACATCAATGGTGATTGGAAGGCACTGCATTTAAAAAACAGATTTTGCATTTTGTATCAAACGATAAAGCAGGCTAAATTTGAAGGCACACAAAACATTGTAGCTTTTGTTCCGGTGCTTACAGCTGATGGACGGATTCCTCCCAAAGCTGTGTAAAGAGAAAGTTTTCCCACTGGAATTCCCATTCCCTGGAAAAACAAATCACAATCGTTCAAACAGATGGTAAATGCATAAATTAGACACAAAATGTGGTCAAGTTTCAAGTGTTAACTCAAAAGGAACCATTTTATTAATTACCTGGCAACCAAGATCTCCCAGACCAAGAATCCGCTCACCGTCAGTAACAACGATGACTTGGATCCCTCTCTGAGGCCAGTTCTTCAACACTTCAAGAATCTTGCCCCTAAAGACCATACGTAAACTTTAGTATCTCAAAGAAAACAAAAATAGAATAGCGACCTGGCGAAAAGAGAAAGAGAATACTAAATTAGAAAACACACTTCTCTTTCAAGCTGATGTAGAGACCCTGTGGCTTCCTGAAAATGCTCCCATACTTCTGGCAAGCCTCACCAACTGTTGGTGTGTACACTACTGGAAGCAACTCCTCCACGTTATCAATCAAAAGCTTATAGAACAACCTCTCGTTCCTTTCCTGCAAGATTCACAAAACGTAAATAAGCCACCAGCTGACCAAAAAATAAAAAACTAAGTAAAGTGAACACACATTCGAAAGAACAATCAATCACCTGAAGATCCATCAGGGCCATGTAACGCTGTAGAGGTACAGTGTACTGGCGGAGATTGTGCATCAGCTTTCTCTCCTAAATAATCAACCACAGATCACAAGTTAACACAAACAAGCCCAGATCAATAATTAAAGATCAATGGGTTATATTCAAAACTCAAGGTCACCTGAACATCCTGAGTTAAAACAACAGGGGGAAGAAGACCAGTTAGGTAATGTGCATCTCTTTCTTTGTCAGTGAATGCAAGTCCCTTGTTGTATCGCGGGTCACGCATCAACGTGGAGCCACTGAAAACATTTTCATTTACGCTTTAACAACAAGAAAAAAAGCAGTTTCATATTTCACAGAAGAAGTTTCTTGGCTCCTAAGTTAGTTTGAGCAGCTAACAAAGCGAAATTCTACTTGAAAGCAAGCAGCTTTTACTTTAGCTAAATCTCAAGAGTTTCTTTTAGATCAAAGTGAAACAAAAGGCCCCTCCAGAAAAAAAAGAAAAAGAAAAAAGAAAACAGAGGATGAGAACAAGGTCGTTGATGGCTCACCTGGCGACGGAGGTGACCCAAGGAGTGACGAGCTGATCCAACGTGGCCAAATCCTCACCGTAGACGTCGGAAATCCCACCTCCGACGCCGGATCTGTTATCGGCGACATCGTCGCAGGGTAACTCAGCCAGAGCACTTCCCATATCTCTTTTACGAGCTGAAACAAGACAAATCTGGAAACAAACAGAACGATGGTTGGAAGCAAAGCTTTACGAAAGTAAATTGATCAGCTTAGTGAAATTGTATTATTATTGAGTTGGAAGATATTTTTGGTGGATGTAACACATAAGAGGATGATAGTGTTATTATATAGGAGGAAGGAAAATGACCCATTCTTTTGAAATTTATAAAATGACAAAAAGTAAGAAAAATTCGATCAAAATGTCAAAACGAGAAGAAGAAGGTGGACGAAGTCACCCCTCCGTGTAGGTCCCTCTCTTCATCCATTTACCTCTTTTGCCTCTTTTTCGTGTAATATTATTTTATCTCGTTTTTTTCGTTTATTCTATTTAGACAACTTTCCCTTTTTAAAAAGACCAATTTGTT